GCGATTGGCGAGGAGCGTCAAAGGCAATCCTCTGATGGACCAGCGCGATTAAGATGGGCAGAGTGATGCCGTCGTGAAAATTAATTACTTTTCGTGCCTCCGCATCTCGCTGACCGCTGGCGATGGTTATGCCACAGTGTGGCGGCGCACAGTGGATCGAGGCAACACGAGAGGCCGGACAAAATTTGGAAACTTTAAAAACTCATTACTCTGTTCATACACTGATTTGAGGTTTTAAAAGTGGTTCCATTGGTTTTTTCGTGAAATTTTCTTCGATAAACACCCCTTGATTTTTAAAATGTGACGGTATAAACATGAAAATTACCAGTTGAAGTCAAAAATTTGATGTCCGACCTCTGTAATTGATTGGGTCCATTGTGCGGCGGTAGCTGATTTGATGCGGTCGCTTCAGGCAGCTTGACTTGCCGGGTCAGCTACATCGTCGTCGTAGAATATTTCGTCATTTTCCGGACGAAAGAACGTAACTCCATTCCAAGGTTGCAAAATTGACTCAAACAATCCAGTTTCTTAATAGGAATGCAACTGTGCACTTTTCGTTTAAAATTTGTTCGATTTTTGCACATGATCAGAAGAAAAATCTGTGAAATTTTCAGTTAGAAATTCCTAAGATTCTTCTCGTAAAAATGATATTTTAGAGAGGAAATTTGGCAACATTGAAATTTAGATACATTCTCTTGTGAGGGTAACGACAAATCAGGTGAGAATGATGCGCCTCCACAGCCCGCAACACCGAGGTTTCCAATCCCTTGTGCTTCACGTTTTAAAAGAATGAGCTCGTACAGGACACAAAACATAATTTGAGGATTTTGCGGGGACCTTTGTCCAGTTTTTCAGGAATTTCAAACGGAAAAACATGAGTCATTTTTCCTTAGATGGCTGAGTCGATCAGAAATTGATCTTTCAGTGTTCATCGTGTCACTGAAACGGTGCGGTTGAGTCCTCTATAGAGAGAGTCGAGACAATGCAACTTACGGATGTCACAAACTGGAATAACGACTACACAAATCGGACGTTTTTTGTAATCTTTGATCTACCCATTCCCGAATTCCTGTCTCCGTTCCCTCTCTCATTCCATTTGCTCCTTGCCGCACCCCCAATTCCCCGATCTATTCCAGTTTATAATCTTTGCAATTGGTGAAAATTTAATCTTTATTCCCGTTTGTGACACTGTAAAGGCGGGAACCAATCAGAAATGGATTCACAGTGTCTTTACTCTCAGTATAAAGGGACTCTACGGGCAACGCGTCGTATACTGAGGGCGTGCGTGATGCCGGCGCGTTCCAGGCGTTCCTTTCGACGAAATTGAGTCGTCCGAGATGGGACTGGCGGTGCTAAAGCGGTGGATGTTGCCCGGTGATTGCTTTACACCGGCTCCATAAAACACTTGAGTGTCTTTGCTTTGGGTTGGCCGCGGCCTCCGCCTGAGTTCGCGCCTCGGAGTCCGGGATCGGAGTTCACCGCCCGAAATTCAACCTACACACTCGGGTCGCTTTCAGCTTTTAACTCATTGTAAGTCGACCACTCCTTGCAACGCCGTCGTCGCACAGTAAAATTTGAAACTAGAAATTCCAAATTCGTCGGCTTAAAGATTCAGTCTCGGTGAACTATTGTCAATATTAATGGACCTGTCGCAAATTTCAGTTATAGTTTAACCACAATGGCTCAATAATCACGATGATCGGATTAGGAAATCTGAAATACACTCCTAATTTCACAATCTGCGTAAAAAATATGCGATTTTTTATGCTTCCCGCTTAAAATACCAAGGTGAACATTTCGTAAGAGGTGTTGCACAGTAGATGGAGTCAGTGAGCAGGGGCGTAGCTAGGAAATTTCTCTGGGGGGGGCCATGGGACCACCTCTCGTAGTGAAGAGAGCGGGGAGGAGTGAGGAATGGAGGATCCCGTTTTTCTGGGGGGGGGGGCACGAGATTTCTGGGGGGGCAGGCCCCCCCCTAGTTACGCCCATGTCAATAAGAGAGGTCGGTCATGAATGATTTTGAAGAGAATCTCACGAGGAAATCATTGAAATCACTTTTAGAACCTCAAAGTTGTGTATAAACGGAGTTAAAAACGTTTAAAGTTTCCAAATTTTGTCCGACCTCTCCCATTGACTCGATCCACTGCGTGTCATTCCATCCAACCCTTGCGCACTATATAGGATGCCACGCAATATCCAACATATCCGACGCCACCCCTCCAAAATACACGTGACGAGACGGGATTTTATCAACCGGCGCGTCTTGAATTTACGTTTTCCTTGTGTTCATAAAGACCATAGTGCTTACTTACGATTTGCGTGCAGCCATGTTAAATATTGTGTAGCATCATAGTGCGTAAGGGTTGGACGTAACAACTCCTGTAACAAAATGTTCACCTGTGCCGGAGTAGCGTTTTTGAAGCGGGCCGCTTAAAAAACACATATTCCTTACGCAGATTGTGAAGTTAGGAGTGTATTTCAGACATCCCGATGCGCTCGTGATTTCCGTGATTTTTTAGCATTTTGCTCTAAGAAAGAACACCTCTTTTTACTCTAGCTGAAGTTAGCAATAGGTCCATTATACACGGGTAGATTGCATCAACCAAATTTCTGTTCGCACGACTCAAGTTTTCGCACAAGATAATTGAAATTCCGGTTCCAGTAATCAAAGGAAAGAGAATAAGTTTCAGAGATCCCTCCTCTGCTATGTTACTTTGGATAGTCAACGCTCGGGTTCGCGTAATGGAGACTATGTATACTATCTTTAGAGCCTAAAACGCTCTTGAAGAGTGAAGTATATTCTGCCAGATGGTGATTGATGTGAAAACAATTAAAATCAATCATTATGAATCTTATGACAGTAATTAGAGTATGAAATGACGTATGGATCGTGGGCCCTTTAATTTTCGCCCCGGTGCGGCGCGGCGCGCGACGTCTCGGCGGGTGTTGGGCGTCCAAGAGAGTGGGAGTCAGGTGAATCTGCACCTGAGTTGCCATGTTGACAGCAGCGCTATGAGGAATAGGCAAAATTTAAAGCTAAGCATAGTTCGTTCAGTATGCAATTTTTCTGTTGAGCGAAAAAGTTTGGCCGAGTCGAATAAGTTATAGTACCAAAGCTCAATATCAAAGGAGGCTAATGTTAGAAGCTCCATACCTGAATTATTTTTCCATTCTGTAGGTAAGTCAATGAATTATTGTGCAAAATGGCAACATCGGTTGGGGTCCCATACCAAATGGGGAACCTGGGATCTGACTCAGTCATGAGCCGCGTGCCGTTTTTGATTTGAATTCCGTGTCGAACACATTTGAGAGACGCCATTCACAGTGCCGTCGGAGCCTTGGCAGCTACAGGGCCGTCATAACTTTTGCAAATGCTTTCTGTTCGCATTTATCGCACTTGAAGTTTTCCTATTGAGAAACGCAAAGAAACCGTGGAAGGGCACATTTATTTTTATAAAATTTAAAATCGTGAGATAAGTCCGAAATAATTCCACAATTCTCAACACACGTTGATGTGTCGATAAACGCCTCAATGAGTGTTAAATCGGTATTAATTTTCAAATTTTTCCTAACCTTCAATGTTTTGTATCATTTTATCTTGTATAATTCTGACTTGCAATTGTGCACTTACTTTATAATCCAAGGGGAATGCCCTGAAATTTCAGATGCGTTTAGTTTTCTGTTGAAACCCAAAATGATAAAACATGAGGGCAGATTATTATAGGCAACATGAAATGCATTTAGGTTCATTCTGATTAAAACCGTCCATTTATGAGTAAATAAGAACAGCGAAAAATTGAAGGACCAAGTTCTATTGAGGACTTAATTTTTTCTCAAAGCTTACATTGCAAACTTGCCTTATCGAGCGGACTGAAGAAACTTAATATCTCTGCGCTCTTCGTTTGAGTTCATTTCGGTCTCAAAGTTCCGAGACAGGCTGAACACATTCCCCATAATTGCGCTTTAATTTCGCCCTCCGTTTTTATTTAAGTGCTAAAAGACCTGCGCCTCAAGCAGAGAGTGAACTCATCCACGAGATGGGGCCTTGAACCACTAATTCAGAAGAAATTCCATGCGGTTTTCTCGGATTTTTCCACTGGCGTTAATTACCGCATGATCTAAGTTTTTTTTTTCTCTCTCTCTCTCGCTCACTCCCCCCCTCTATATATATATCTCTCTCTCTGTCTGTGCGTCAATTTCATCATGTTAAACTTGCAGCATATACATACATTCGTTGCCAACAAATATACGCAAAAATTGTCCAGATAATTCAAGTAAAAAAGCTAAGATGACGGAAAATCAAGGCTGAAAAACTACGAAACATAAAGTCTGAAACTTTTCACGGTGGTATCAACATCCTCTTTGACCAAAAAATATAATAAGAATATATAAAAATCAAAATTTCAAAAAAATGTAAAAATCAAAAAATAATTTCGTTGATTTACTGACGCAAGGGTGTAACAATACACACGGAAATAGGCACTATCATCACCTTACAACTCCATGCTTTCCAGTACCCACGTGGAGTGGAATTGCAGTTACACCACGTATAGCGCCGTATTCCTAGTCGTTTCTTAAACTGATGAATATCTCCAACTATTTCAAGCAACTATTACTGCGCTTGAGCCGCTCACATTGCCTGCCAGCTCATTGAAGGCGAACTGGTGAGGATGAGTGCGGAATATCCTGCATGGATCAATTGAACTGCAATTTGTAATTTGGAACTACAGTATCAGGCTCAGCTTAGAAACGACGTATGCACCATTAATTTCTTCATGCACTTGAGAGTTTTTACAGAAGTTTGTCTTCTTTGTCCATAGCTTTGTTTACCAATTTCAATAATCACCCCCGCTAGGGCCTTCCTGAAGAGAGGAGCTGTTTAAAAAACGGCACTGCATGCGGCTTCCTAACGCTTGCTCTGATTTACGGAAACCATTCGTTTTTCTGGTGATTTTATTACTTAGGTGCGTATTAACCGTCTTGTTTATCTTTTGTTCCAGACGGAAGAGCTGAACTCGATAGTGGAGAATGCGTTTCGGATGGCGTACGCAGCTCATCTGCAGAGGCATCCCAACTTCCGCGACGTCATCGCTTCTCAATTAGAGGAGAAACACTTACAGAGGGTGAGTTGCGAAACTGTTCAACACATGGCATCCGCATCCTGTCGGTGGCGTTGCTTGCGCCAAGTGCATGGGGTTATGAGATTTGAATCCATTTCCTAATAGCACAACGACGCTGAAGAGATGTCATTAAAGTATATCTTTGAAAAAATTAAAATGTCTCAAAATCGTTTCTTTAAAACCGAAGGGGGGGGGGTTGAAATATTATATTCGACTACAAATCGTTTTCAGAGATGATTTGGACTGCGTTGAGCAGAGAGGAACCAAGCCACGTCAGCTATTGATAAAAAGTGGGCAATTTAATGTTCTACTAGAGAACGTTTATGCGGATTTCTTTAAACTTAGTCTAGGGAATTCGCTTTGTACTGTGCTAAGAAAAAAATGAAAAAAAAAAAAAATTCTTGTAAAAAAAATTAAATTGCCCAGTTACCTACATTTGGCGTGAGCTGATGTGTCTTGGCTTCTATCTGCTTAACGTGGTCGCCAGTTATGATTTCAGTAATGTTTTTTTAAAAGTTTTTAAAGTCAATTTTAAAAACATGTTTTAAACGTCAAAAGTTATCAAAATACATTTAACGTTTCAATAGCTGAAGAGTTTGTGAATTTGAAGGCGTTCCAAACTTTATATCCATTTTTATTCCACAGCCATAACAGCTTAGTCTGAATTTTTCACTGTATGGGTTTGGTGAGTCAGTACTGGCGCCACGGTTATAGAGTCCATACTTCTGCTGATCACGCTGACAGTGAATTTTTGCACAATGACGCGATTCCGTTATTGGAAATATAACATAAATTACGTTATTTAAGCAACTATACGGTCAAGTTTAGGGTATCGAGATCTTTTATGTTGTCAAGCGATCGGTTAATATTCTTTATTTATTGACGGCTAAAACCAACATAAAATTAATGAAATTCTCAAAATCATAAATAAATTAGTATCTATTTGAATTTTAATGAAGAGGTTTTCTAATTCAAAAGATTTCACAAATAATTCCTGGCTTTAGCGAAAAGCAGGATTGTAAAATGATGTTGGCTCCTTTAGCAAAATGAAATTTTATTTCCATCAATTGAGTTTGCTCGTACACTTGGATCATACTAAAGTTCAACGTTTAGTTTCTAGAATAACACACATCAATGGGACTTCAATGGGTCGAAAACACAAGGAACGTCGACCTCCCTCCCTCATCCCCCTCCGAAAAAAGTTTTCCTGCATGCAGATATTTTTTCGCGGTTTTCAAGATTTTCCTGTTCAGGCATCCTAATCATTTTTTCACCATGAACACCTCAACGCCCGCTATCTAAAGCATTCCCCTGCAAATTTCAAGTTGACGAGGGGAATGATTTTTCGAACTCGGCCGCTGATACTCCAAAGCACTCATCTTATAGCCATGGCCCTCAGAAGATCCAATATTCACCTACATTAAAACCACCCTTTTAGACGCATTAGATATAAATGATCTTACTGAATTATTCTGTCAAAATCTACCCTCCCGTTTCTATTTTGGATTCCTGTAAATCTCAAGTTCACGAGAGGAATGATTTCTCGAACTCGGCTGCTGATACTCCAAAGCACTCATCTTAGCCATGACCCTTAGAGGATCCAATATTCACCTACATATTTTAAAACCACCCTTTTAGACGCATTAGGTATTATAATCTCACTGAATTAATCTATCAAAATCTACCCTCCCGTTTCTATTTTGGACTCTACATTTTGGCTGAAAAGCGGGTGATTTTTTTTCCCTAAATGTGCTTAGCCTCCCTATCACGGCCGCACTCATTTCCTGCTTGTATTCACCCTCGACCTTGGCTCCAATTTTTAATGCAGCATTTTTTAATTTTCAGATGAATCTATATTCAGGCGACGCTCCACTCAGCCCGCTGACGGTGGACCCGTTGACTAGCGGGGGCTCGCCGACGCTCCTGGCCCACAGCAAACCCTTCCCGGAGCCGAGTCTGAGGGCGTACAGTCACAGCAGTCACAACAACAACCGAACAGGGCTGGAGCCGAACCAAAGCCTCCTGTACAGCGAGGAGAACAACTCTCCGACGGCGCTGAACACGGACAAGAGCATGGAGGATAAACCGCCGCTCATGAAGCGGATAGCGATGAGCCTCAACCCAAAGACGATGCCCGACGACGAGGATTCGCCCCTAGTCCAAAGAAATCCAGTCACTGGCCGAGAGTCCAGGTCGTCCACCCACCCCCTCATTGATCTAGATGTTATCAAACAACTTAATTTAGATAATAGGTTCGTTTCTCCTTTTCAATTTTTCACTCTAGCAGCTTCTACGAACATTTGAAGCCGTATCTCCAAAAAGGGCGGATGTCAAGTTTTTCACACAGAGAAAAAAACTTCGTGCGTGGGACCCGAAGTTTAGGTCATATGGATCTCTGAAGTTTTCGGATTGAGCATCTGAACACTTTAGATCTAGCTGTCGAGGTTCCGATCACACATCTGAAACTTCAGTTCTTACATCTGAAGTACTTCGGTTTTCACATCCGAAAAACTTCGGTTCTTACATCCGAAAAACTTTGGTTCTCACATCTGAAGTACCTCAGATGTGTGATCCGAACCTCGACAATTAGATCTAAAGTGTTTAGATGCTAAATCTGAAAACTTCAGAGATCCATATGACCTAAACTTCGGGTCCCACGTATGAGGTTTTTTTTTCTCCTTGCAGTTTTCAGAAAAACTCTCAAAGTTTTCAAAGCTCTGCATTTTGACTCCAATTGAAACCCAGATGAATCGGCTTACGGCTTTTATTAGAACTAATCCTCCCCTAAAAAAACCTTTTTTAGACTTTTTAATTCAAAGCAAATTCAGTGAGCTACATAGGGGTTGAAAGAAAAATTCATTTCCAATAATGCAGACTTGATTTAGGAAATGCACAAAAGTTCCCAGGTTGAAGTTTACATTATTTTTTGCGAAGTAAGACTCGTAAACGACACAAGGCACGCAAGTCCTCAAATAGATAACTATTACTGCACGAAGTATGTTTTTGGCCTACATCGAAAATTGAAGGCAAAATAACGGTACAAGTAGCCTCTATACCCAATCCTTGGCTCTTCTACTTATTAAATTATCCGTTCAAAATTACCTCTATGCCCCTCGTACGTAAGGCTATCAGCTTAATCACAAACATCAACCTTTGGTGTTTTGCATTCGAAGTAAACTTCATGCATATGGCCAAAAGCGATCTCTATAAGCTTGCCCGCGCTTGCGATAACATAGAGACTGTTGTAATAAGTAGATATTACTACTTACTATTTTTCTTTCTTTATCTGACTTTGCATGTAAACATTTTTTGCTGCTAATGCTTATTTTATATTTTGTTTTTGACTGTTTCAGTTTAAATCTAAGTCCTAGCGTTCCGAGCGAGTCTGACTTGAAGCTGAAAAGGGTATCTCCGATCAGCCGAAGTAGCTCAAGTTCAGTTTCCATCGTAGGAAACAAAGTACCAGTTCCTCCTCCCCCTCCTGAACGATTTGATAGTCTATCATGTAAGGTACATGAAGAATTAAAGGCTGCACCTTGGTTTCAGGCTGGCATACCTAGGTATGTACATATCACTTCAATTAGTATCCATTTTAACTTTCATTTATATTTTATCTGTTGTGAAATATATGACAAAGATCTGCAGTGTGAACAACGAACTTTTTCAAAAGATCTGTGGGACTAAACTCGTATCAGTCTCAATGTTTCGTATTTTTTTTCTTTTCCTTTATTAAATATATAGAGAACTACAAAATACATTTATTGACCCTATTTGTTATAACTTATTATTAACTATTTACAATAATATAATGGGATTTACAATAATATAATGGGGTATCTTTTTTAAATGTGTAGTCAAGGAGGAATTGGGATGGAAAGGCAACACAATTTTTGTGGTGAAAATTGATGTAAAAATGTTCCTACTTCATTTTTAAATCAATCACGATTTTATAGTCAGTGCTACCACTAACTAGGTTGTCATTTGAAAATAAATAACGCGGAAATTGATAAGTTCTGGAATTTATTGCCACTCTTAACAAAATCTCAAAATTGGCAATTGTTCATTTTGCTGACAACGTCGGCTTTAAACTTCAATAAAATATATTTTTTCAACGCTGTGATTGTTCGATAATTTGATTGAGAGTGGGTCGCTGAGGGTATTGATCTAGGAAAGAGCTAGAAAACCGATCCGGCCATTACTTTTTAAAGACAAGCAATTAGAACTAGAAACAGGCTCGGCACCCAAAGAAAAAAACCACTCCACATTTCCCGAAATTAAACGCCCAGAAGTTCTCCAAATTGTATCAATTACCCAGCCATATCCTCGACAATAAACTCAACGCTCTAAAGGCAAAAAACAACAAAAGTAAATTAGTCGATTGTATCTTTATTTAATCCTGTATCGGAGCTCACACGTTCGGTCACCACTCTAATTAATTCTGGGCGGCGGTGGGCACTATTTGAGGACATTGAGACCTCTCCTGCCCTTCTACGCAAGGAACAACGTAACATCCATTGAGTCGTGTGCGGTTGCGTCGTTTTGGAATTCTCATTCTCATAGAGTCGGTGGCCATATCCGCTGCCGTGAGAAGCTATTCCGTGTCAACGGAAAGGAGCTTTATGTTCGTCCATCCTCTTGACTTTACTGCCTTGCTAAGGAAGAACGCCGTATGAACACTGAATCGCCAAATTTCCTTCGATGAAATGTTTATTTTTGAAGTAAATTATGAATATTTTTCCTTGAAATTTACAGACGTTTTAGATCAAATTATAAACAAAATTATATGAGAAATTGGTGGACATACATTCAAAAAATTTTCCAAAAAATTAGTGATTTGCCAGGGGAAATTTGGCAACGCTTGAAGGCTTATACGGCGTTTTTCCTATGCACGGCAGTTTACTGCTTTTGATCCTTCCGTCGTTTAATTGTATTTCTTCCCGTGTGTTGCAGGGAAATTACATTGGAAGTATTAGGCCAGGAGCCTATCGGTTCGTTCATCGTCCGAGAGAGCACGACGAAGCCAGGATGTTTCGCCTTGTCACTGCGAGTGCCGAAAGATTTCCAGAACTCAGGGATCGCCCACTACCTTATTATGAGAACAAACAAGGGATATAAAATCAAAGTAATTAGACTTGACGTAATATTAATTGTGCCACTGCTTGTTGTATAGCACGTTAAGGATGCGCGAGAGCAAAGCGTTTCTAAAAAGTTTGGACCGCGGGGTAACCGGGGGTGGCACTGGTGCCCCCCAGTGAAAAAATGAAAAAAACAATAGAAAGCTGTGATTTCAAAACACGGCAATTGAGGTTCGTCATTCGAATGTCATCGTCTGAACGGAAACACGCTATGATCCTAGTTTTTTCATCGATTTATTGTTACTTCCTCTCAGATGACTTACAAGGAGTAAATCGGCGCGGGAAACCTTGCTAAGGAGGCCTTGTCCTAACCACTCATGCATATTCTACCGTGCTACGGAAAAGCTCAGTGCGAACATATAAATGTTGCCAAATTTCTTCCGAGAATTTTTAAGTTTATCACAACGAATGAATATTTTTTTTATCGTGAAAACTACGGCAGTTCTGAAAGGAATTCTCTACTCGCCGGCACGTGAATTCATGAAACTGGTGGAGGAAATCATACACCCAATAGGAGACCTGACGGTTGAAAGTTTTGAGAATTGAAAACTAGAAGGCTAAACTTTCTGATTTGAGGAGTACCGGGAAGAAAAAATATCACCGAATCGGAAACTTTACCCCTTTTACTTTGCAACCTTTGGAAGCTACAGCCGCAGCCGGAGGATGTGGGTGTATATTGAACATATTTATGCTGAAAGGAACTATGTGCACATGGATTGCGTGTAACATAGTCCCTTTTAGCATAAATACGTCCATTTCATTCCTCCACTAACAATAAGTTGTTCCGAGTATGTGCCGTCGGTGAGAAGAAATTGCTTTGCAGCATAGTCGTAATTATTAACGATTCTCATCGTTGAAACAGCGTACTTAAAGGCCCGATTGCTATATTTGTACTGAATATGTTGCCTTGAAATTTTCCGACTACTATATTACATTGCGAGGAGAAATTCTATCTCAAAAAAATCAAAGCTATTAAGACCACGTAAATTCTAGAAAAAAACAGGCCGTAACAACAAAAATTTGGCAACGTGTGGTTGTTTATACTCTTTTTCTTGATTGAGGTGATATTTTGACGCCGCATCATCGCTTAAAAGATGGAGCTAAATTTTAAACTAATTTCCGATGTGTAGTAATGCATATATCCGCGCTGCTTCACTTTTTGATTGGAAAAGTAGTCAAATTCTCTTTCCAGGAGCGCAACAAATCCACGTATTCAAAGTGCTAAAATTCGCCGATGTCTCATCGTGTAAAGTCACCGGCTTAACTTCCTTTGTTTCTTTTTTGCAGGGTTTCACGAAGGAATTCAGCTCGCTAACAGCGTTAATAACCCACCACTCGGTTATGCCTGAGCTTCTGCCTTGCCCCCTCTCCCTGAGTCGTCATAATCCTAGTCCAGCGAAAGACGAAGACGGGAACAAAGATTTTGCAGACATCGACACGGAACCCGATGAGAACACCCTTGCCAATTTCAGGAAAATGATGGCCGATTTGAATGTCTGAACCACCTTGACCCTTCTCTTCGAGAAATTTTTAGGTTTTGAAGATGAGAAAGCATACCGTGCGCGTAAAATAATTGGCTTAGAGAAGGCAGTTCGTGCTCCGAGAAAGAAAAATAAAAATAAAAGAAAAGAGAGAGGAAAAACGGTCAATTTGTCAATTAGCCCGTTGGTCACCAATTATAAAATTTTCTAGCAGCAGAAAAAAATATTGTGAAATTACCAAGAATCCTCGTTATTTTGTAACCACTTGAAATTTCTGGTATTTTACCCCTCTGTTCCCCCTTTGAACTAAAAAATTACAATTATTCAATGTAAATTAATTTAAGACATTCTCTGTATCCGTTATGGAGTTCTTCAACCTGCAGCTTTGCTAGAAACACGCGCTTATATTTTTGATAAGATAAAATTGAGCCACATTCAAGAAACTTATTGCATTTCTGGATTCAGAGATGCAGACAGTATTCCTCTCAGCCTCAAAGAAGGTTTTGTCCAGGTCCTTGTTCTTCAAAATTAAGTTTGCAAATTATCTGATTGGACGCGCATCTATCAAGACCACGGGTTAAAATGACACTGAAGAATGAAATATTCGACAGAAAGGGTCGTTGTATGCATTTTTTAATTTTAACTAGTCACTTTAACATTTTTGTAATCCCTACCAAACTCTTATTATGTTTTATTTGTCTAGGTAGAAAACTAATTTTATAAGCAGGTGATGTTTCTTTGCCTTACCTAAAATAAAGATTTCTAAATGCATTTAAGTTCTTTTTTGTGTCCCGTCATTATTGGGCCGTATTTTTGCCAAAGAGAACTATGTGCATTAAGACAGCCCCGAGACCCATAAGAATATTTGTTTAATAATAGGGCTCACGTCATAATGCTCATAGTTCCGTTTGGTAGAAATACGTCCTTTTACTCCCGAACGTATAACGATACAAAATAATGAAAAATAGCCCAAACTGTGATTTTAGAAAACCTCAAAAAACCACAGCCAACTTTGAGGTAATAGCTAGTAGCTAGCCCCAACAGAGCAAATGAGATAGTATTACACGAATTCGGCGCCATTGGGAGCAGTGAATTTTCTTGCCTAGTGATTCAAAACGCCTTCCATTCCATTTGCTGCAACTATGAGTACCTATAAATTAGTGTCCAGCCGAGCTGCTAAAATCGCCCAATTCTCTTTGCGGAACGGTCTTGTCAATTAATGGTATTTCCGTGACCGTTTTCAAATCGAATATGCTATTTTTTTGACACATTACAAGCAAAGAATGAGTGATGGTTCCGTGTATTGATTCAAATGGATAGTTGATGAAGGAGTAAATGTGAGAGCCGTAGGCGTGAGGACTGAATTGTGCTGCAACTTTACAAAGTCTCATCCGCTTTTACTTGGGCGCTTTGCGACGTCTAGCCGTCTGTCCTCCCAAAGCCCCTCCGAGAAATAATAAGACCTCATTTGAGGGGCTTGGAACACAAGGCACATAACTTAAGTTTTCGAAAAAATTGAGATCTTAATGATTCCAAGTAAAACTAGTCTTAATGCGTACGCTATGAAAACTTCGCTTCTTAATTCCAATTTTTAGGCATCAAAAAATCAGTTCGAACTTTCTTTCCGCCAATGATCCTTGTAGATTCGAAACCTCAAATTTGTTTTTCTCGAAATACCAAAAACTGCACATATGCGCTTTGTCCTTCAAGCCCCTATGTCATGCAGAGCCCTCTGTCATCATACTTTCTTTGAGCGTCTCCACCCTGGAGGATTCCAAACAGACATCCTATTAATATGACCAAACCAGACTAACTGTTTGGTCATGACGTCGAACACGTAAAATATTTGATTAACATTTCTTGTGCGAAAACCCCAGAAAATGTTGATGCAAAAGATGCGACTATCAAAAAAAAGAAATATAGTTTGTCAGAAAAAGCTTCAAAACTTTGCCATGCAACCAAGCCCTTCCAGTTCTCGCCCCGTCAAATAATGGGCTCATTTTAAATATCACACGAGTACATGTTTACGTGCGATGTTAATCGAGATACTGTAATTTAAGACGGAAGCTGGAACTCGTATATTATTTGCGGCGGTGCATATCATTGTACCCTTTATCTCAGTTTCATAACTAAGTCATTCGACCCATCTTTTTGTTTAATTCGACGCTCAATGCGATTTCAACAAAGGTGAGACATCGTTATTGTAAGCTCCCTCATCTCCTACCCTTTCATTTTTTGTCACAGTTCGTCCAACCGTTCCATCGGGGCAATTTCCATTATTTTTGCGGCTATCGACAAGTAACACTCCTTAGATTAGCCCGCTTTGTCCATATTTTGAAAATCGATGTGTCAACATTTAGTGACAACGTTGTAAATTCTCCCATTCAAACTCGTTACAGACGAATATAAGTTGAGAGAGGGAAGTTATAACGCTTTCAATTTTATACATACATATTTTGGGGCAAAATGAGAGACGACGTTTTTCCATTTGCGACGTTGCAGACTTCCTTAGAAATTTTATTTTTCTTTCGAGAAGCTGGTCAACATAGAACTTAAATTCTCCACGATTTTTCGTATTCGAAAGCAGAAGTTTTGGTTCAAGATTGAAAGTCGTAGATTTGGATTGCTTCTCATGGAAGAGATGAAAAAAGAACGGAAATTTTGAAACACCGCAATGGAGATACGTGGTTTCGCACTTCAGTCGGTGCGATACGGACATCCATCAAGTTTGGATAGTTGCATCAAGTCCCCGTCACCGCCAACCAACGCGTCTGTCGATCGAATCAACTACAGATACTTTGAGCGGGGAGTCAAAACGCCTTCAATGTTTTGAACGCAATACGGACATCCGTCGAGGTTGTATAGTTGTATCAAGGCGCCGTAGCAAACGCGTCCCATTGTTTGTAAATTATGTATATTTTCTTTTGTAATCGTTTCATCTAAAGATATACTAGACTAATTTGCATGATTTTTTCGGCTATCAATTAGACTGTTCCTGGATAAACCTACTTTATTTTGATTAAATTACAGGGACCCACAAAGTGAGCCTTGGGAAAAAAGGCCAAGCTGAGCCCCTTCCTAAGTCTTTGTATAGGCACACAGTCCTTTTTTTTCCAGCACATATACTTATGGTCCATGAAAAACGAATGAAAGAGCCCGTCTGTCTGTTTTCTATACTTGCAAAACCCCTTCAAATTTGTATGCAGCAACTTTCAATACGGTAGCGTTGCTGCCCAACCGAGCCGACGTGACGACGGCACGCATATTTGTTTTGACACGAAATACCAGCCTGTATATCACGTGTAGGATACATTTTGCTCGTTTAGTAAGGTTTTCTCTTTTATTCCTTCCTGAAAATACCATACAATTTTTGAGTTTATGGTTTAGCCTGTATGTGTGCACTCTTAAATATTTCACATGAGGAGCAACTTACGCAACCAAATACAGAATAACCCGAAACTCAAAACTCGTTCCTATAGTAGTTTTTTGAATAGAGGAAAAATAGAAAACCTTATTCAACGCGAAAAATGTATCGGAGACGTGATATACAGGCTGGTATCATGTGTTAAAACAAATATGTGCGCCGTCACATCGGTTTGGTAGGGTAGCAACGCGATTGCATAGAAAGTTGCTGCATGGGAATTTGAAGGGGTTTTACAAGTATAGACGACAGACGGGTTCTCTTATTCGCGGAACTTTATTGCGAACTATTCAATGCAGTTGGCGATGAAATTGCAGTGGAAAATCACAAATTGCCTCTATTTAATTAGCAATATTTAGCACCCATTATTCCCTCTTTAAATCATCAAGTTGAATTTCGTTTCGTCTCTTCTGAACTTTATTTTACTGCACTTAAAAATACTAAACTGAGAAAGGCTTGACTGCATATTATTTCCTCAAAAAAGGAGGCTATTCTTATCCCTTCTTCACAGCACTTCTGAAGGATAAATGATGGACTAACGTGATACTGTTGACCTATATTTTCATTGATATCAGATTTTGATAATGAAGACGGACTGGGAAATCAATGAAACACTTGATTTCATCTGATTGAAATTTCTTTAACGCAAGTCATAACGGATTCATATTGCTGAGGAGCATGTTGCGCTTTAGGCAAAGTGAGAGTTAACTTTTTTATCACTCCCTTTTTTGTCGTACATCAAAGAGGAAAATGCTGACCTTAAGTAACATTATCTACTTATTTCCAATGCTGGTAAGTTGTTAAAAAATATAGTATCAAAGTGAACACCCCCTCCCCTCACAAAAACTTTGTAATTAAAATTAAGTATTGGTAGAGACTCTAATTTCCCGTCCCTATAGAAGGGATAAGCTACCGTAACTCTTTTTTTCCCTTTATTAAATATATAGAGGACTACAAAGTACGTGTATTAACCCTATTCATTATAACTTACATACTATTTACAATAATTTAATGGGTGGGCCGGGGTACCGGACCTAAAACTTTTTTACTGATATTCCACAAATGAATTGATCGATGGAAAATCGGCCTTTTCCAGTGACTGATAACGTAGATTGCCAAAGCTGCAGCCAGTAATTGCAAATTTTGGAGAGGAGGGTTGCCTCTCTTGATGACAATGAATATTTTTTTTTTAAAAAAAATATGTATTTTTAGAAACACAGGGCGCGGTTTTTAATTTTTTTTTATAATTTAGCATAGCACTTAAGTAATGTCTAGACTTTTCAAGAGTTAATTGATGGAAAAATCTCAGAAAAATTCTATGACTTTCCAAAACTATTCTGTTGAACATATAGAGACAAAACTTTTAAAATTGAAACTAATTTATGCACTGCTACAGGTATAGGTAAAAGACATGGGGCTCAGGCTCACATCACAAAAACTGGCAGAGAAGGGGCGAAGTTAGGAGACCAGCTCAGTCCATGGTTATGAGGTTGGAATGCAGGTGTTTACATTGGCTTTTTCAGGCCCCAAAAAGCTGGACAATCCTTAAATAACTGCCTATCTGTAGGGTAGGTGTGTATGAACAGTAGATTAGCGGTTAACATTTCTTGACATTTTCCGATTTTTAGTATTGATACATACCTAAATTCTTTGGGTTCTCTTCATAATTTAGGTAACCGTCTATGAAAAAGAGCTTTTCTGGTAGCCAGACTCTTTACCCAATTTTATTTGGTCCAAAGTTTTTGTGGTCTGTTTTTAAGTTTGTCCGATAGTGCAATGTTATTTGAACCCATAGTTTACTTAGTACTTGGTAATTGATTCAAATGAGTTTACTTAGCCCAGTCACAAGCAACAACATAGGTGCTGAGATTTCGCCAAGTAATGATATTTAACCCTTAGATGCCCAGACCGGGTCAAACTAACCCAATGACCGCTGACAACACTCGCCCCGCAGGTTTTATGGAGCCGGTGCATCCGAACCTGAGATGTAAGTTTACAAATACAACTTGAAAAAAGAATAAGATATCGAATTGAAGAAAATCACATAAATATCAACACAGCCGAAGATAGGAGATACGTTTTGGGTCTGGTTTTTTTTTAAAACTCTTCGCCCGAACCAGAATGGCAGTTCATTGGCAGCCCAGAGCGGAGCATCGCGAGCTTACAACTCACGCCTAAGCGCCTTCAATTTTGTAGATACAACACGGACATCCATCAAGTACGAATAGTTGTATCCCTACGCCGTCATCAACACTCGACCTTTCCCTTGCTGTATTTCAACGTTGTGCTGGTTCCGTCTGTCTTATTTGTAGTAGTGCTTCAAGGGTAACGTTAGCGAAACAGCCGAAGGTAGGAGAGATGTAATCGGGCTCTTTTTTATTACCTTTTCTCTCGAATCTAAGCAGCACCTCACTGACAGCATAGAGCGGAACATTGCGAGTTCACGCATCGCGCCTTCAAGTTAGGAGATAGAACACGGACATCCATCAAGTACGAATAGTTGTATCATTGCGCCGTCATTAAAACGATACCTTTCTTTTACTCTATTTCCATGTTGTGTTGCCTCCGTTTGTCTTACTTGTAGCGGTGTTTAAAAGGCTACGTGAGCAACACAGTCAAAGTTTAACTTGAATTGCATTTGTTGGCCAAACTAGGGACCGGGTAAAAAAAAGGGTGAAGCGTCTAGCTGCCGCTTTTCTTTTTAGAAATCTAACCATCATTTCATTTTTCCTGAGGTCGCATTGTAGATCACGATTAGGTATAATTTTCGCTTCCTCATACAGGTTCCAAAGAGAAATCACAGGAGACATACCTTACGAGCGCAGTCGAGTACCTACATAGCTATGAATCCTGTCTCATATTTTTACAAATTTTTGGGAGACAATTCTAATTTAAAATCAGGATCCGAAACTAGGAAATGTTTTGGTTTAGTTCTGATAAGCGTTAATGAAAAGTCCCTTACTCATGATGGATGAGGATCGAAACATCTACCTAAGGTGAAATTCTGATGTAAATTTCAAAATCAAACCCTTTGGATGGCCTTTTTAAAACAATTAAATATATTTTCCTTTTTCTTTCCATTAGCCACTGTAATACTTCAGAGGTTGAAATTAATTTCGGATATGGTTACAAATGCAGAGAATTATTCCCAGTGAAAAAGAATAATTTTAATGATTCACTGCTCTGATCATCGACTTTAAAGTTAATTTATTTCAGTTCCTCTTTACTCATCTGCCGACTCATGGGGTGGGTACCTTTTTTCCAGGTGTCTTATCTCGATGATAATGATGTAGCAGCGATAAAGCTTTCTCACTTGATACAAGGGGATTCAAACGGATCGCTCACAACTGCAGGTATTCAGCCGTCAACAACAAAATCAAAGAGTTCGTTTCCAATGATGTCCTGGTCCTGTAGTATAGAATGTCTCAATCGGTCTGTTGAATTAATTCCTTGAAATTAATTATTTGAGAAAAAGAAGAGGGAAACGATCAGATCAGAGCCTAAAAATTCCTTGGATTTGCTGTCCTTTATTCTGTTATATTCTTTGGCAGACATTTTTTTAGATGAATCATGCGCATGAGAAATTTTCAATCCGAATTGGAACAATATGTTGTGTCAATGCTGAGGAGGAAACCATGGAAAATAATTCGCTATGTAAATTTCCAAATTAGGTACCTACAAAGTTATGAATGATCTGATTGATTGCAGCGTGTGAGCTATTGCGCTTACTGCCTTTTCGCAACTGACAAAAAGGGACAACTGGTCATCATGTAAAATAAAGCAGATCTCAAAATTCGAAAAAATAACAACTAGCTGAAATTATGGAACGGGCTGATGCGATATATCGCACGTCGCTCTGACACATAAAATGACAACCGTCGAATCACCTTAAACTTACTTTCTCCTCGACCTTATCTGAAGTAAGCGTCTTTCTTAGGAAATGCCACGAGTAGGCCAATTGATGTTAGCCGGCTAGATCTAAGGGTGGGAAGAATCGAGGCAATTCAAGAAATAAGAACCACACAGAAGATGTTCCGTTTTGCGGAAGTTGATGTTGGTGAAACGATAAGCAGATCTGTGGTAAGTTTCTCAACGGATGGTTAACATCCTTGATTTAAGTGAGAGCAAATTCAGCAAGCATGGGACACAAATTGTCGAAACGCTACTAAAGCGAAATTTGCACATTTCATTTGTTTGTAAACGGAGTAGAAGGGAAATTCAGACTCTTGCTAAAAAAAACTTGAACATTCTGAGGTTCTACTTTTAATTTTTTCTGACTGTCCCTAGTTCAGATTTTCTTATATTCTCAAAAATTTACCACTTTGAGTTTTTAGGGATCTCAGTCAAAAATTGCCTACCTTTACATATTATTATGGAAATAAAAATATCCAATATTAAGGGTACTTTTAAAACTTTTCGTTTCATCGTTATATGCAACATTGAGAATGTACATGAGGACTTATGTAACAATGGCGGATGTGAAAAATCCTTTTTCGAAACACACTCCAAAAACTGATTTGGCATCGAGAAAATTTTGAGAAAATACTTGAGATGTGATCTTCGAGATCTGCACATTATGCCAGAGCCAAAGGTATTAAATTTTTGTGTGAATAAAACTTTTTTTAAGCGTGTTTCGATAAGGTAATTTTTCGCATCCGCCATTGTTACGTAGAAGGCTTCATATGCTATTCACATTTATTCTGCTAAAATCGTAGAATTTTAAAAACGTAACTGATTGCATTCTCAGTTCCTCACATTCTTAGAAGAGCCTTTCAAAAAACTGCAAAAGAAAGTCTTTTCAAAAGATCTTCTTAAGTACAGCCTGTTGAGTCAATGTAATTCAATGGATTCTTTCGCAGATAAGTGAACTGGTTAATAATATCCCACTGGAAGACTTGGAAAACAGAGAAGTTGTGGTATTGTGCAATATTAAACCATGGAAAATGCTTCGCTACGTCTCGGAGGGTACGTTCCTTTGCGCCAAGACTGATGATAAAATTGAAGTCCTGGAGCCTCCACCCGACTGTACTCCAGGAGATGAAGTTACTGTAGCAGGTTACAGTGGCACTGCTGACAGAGTTTTAGATCCAAAATTAAAGATGTGGGAAATTGTTTCTGCAGATTTGAAAGTGAATGAAGACGGAGTTGCTTGTTACAAAGGCACACCTTTACGAGTGCAAGATAAAGGTCTCATCAAGACAGAAACTCTGAAAAATGTGAGCATCATTTGAAGAGAAAAAGTCATAATAATCTATACTTTAGCTTCGATCCTGATTATGATTGTAAACTGTTTTTTTAGAAAATGAAAATGGAAAACAAACAAATAATCCGTATCCTTCATGTTGTATTTCGCATTTCATTTTCATAATTTATTCTCAGCGTGCATTTGTATATATTTTTACAGAAATTTCAGTGTAAAAGAAAGTGCCGATGTAAGCTTTTAATTTTTAATTTTTTGCAATTGCAAATTAAGGGGATATTGAACTGCATCTAAGACTGTTATAATTTAGATCTCCTTCTTTCGCTTCAATAAATTACCTTGGATTGCCAAGGTCTGGTCATAGTAAGTCTGAACAATTTTTTCTCGTTTTATTTTTTGTCTAAATAACTCCCTCATTATTTTATTACCAACTCTTGCATTTATTGTTTCCGTAATGAACCTATTTTATTCGCATAAAGATTAATTAAGCGATGAATCTCAAAGCATAAATGAATGAATTACCCTATTTCAAACCGCATGTTCTGGTTTTTTTCTCTCATTTTCACGTAGATCTAGTCTCCCTCCTCCCCCCCCCACACACGTATTATCTTTCCTTGTTTAATTATCGCAGGCTTATTCTGTTCCCTAATTCCACCCAAGTTAAATTCTGTCGGAATTATCGGACATTACGGATTGGAGTGATAAGGTCCCATCAAGGTTCGTACCGGCTAATGTTCCGTTTTACCGAATGTTTGGCCAACACGGCTCTATTAATTAGTTTGAGAGGTCATAAAAAACCGGTGTAGTGGTGCACGATTTTGAATTAAAAACAAGGTAGTCTCGAGAGCTCATATTCCCGCTAATTTGCGGTGCCAATGCGAAAAGTACCTCGTAGCTCGCGCTCCGTCTATAATGAGTCGCAGCGTGATTTACCAGCCAAGCTGTCCCAACGGTCGATGATTTTAAGGTGATTCGATGGACGCTATATATTTTGTGCCAGAACGGCATGCAATATATCGCATCGATTGGCACCATTTTCTCAGCTACTCGTCATTTTTGTCGAATTTTAAAATCGCAATTCTGTTGTCAGGAGGCTAAAGAATTCACTTACCAATTTTGACAAACAAATACGACTTAATGAGGGCGAGGTTTTTTTTAGGAATAAAATATCGCTTTCGATACAGATATCGAAAATGCAATATTTTCCCTCTAAAAAACCACGCCTATATAATGTTGAATTTGTTTGTCAAAATTGGTAAGTGAATTCTTTAGTCTCCTGACAACAGAATTGCGATCTCAAAATTTGAGACAAATGACGAGTAGCTGGAAAAATGGAACCAATCGATGCGATATATTGCATGTCGTTCTGACACAAAATATAGCGTCCATCGAATCACCTGTAAAGAGTGAATAGTTCGATAAGTTTTCTTTCACAGGGAAAAACTCCGCATGTTCACGTGCTAAGGAAAAACGCCGTATGAACCTCCAGGCATTTCCAAATTTCCTTTGATAAAACATGAATTTCCTATTAAACTCATGAATATTTTCTTTCCAATTTTTCAGATAATTTTCCTCGCAATTTCACCTGAAGTTCCTGAAAATTTCATGGGAAAACGTTCATAACTTTCCTAAAAAATGAACATTTTATCGAAGGAAATTTGGCAACTCTTGAATGTTCATACGGCATTCTTCCTTAGCACGGCTAAAATGCCTAGCCCCTTTGATATTATTCACAAACGTATTTACAGGGCCATCGCTCAATGAGAGTTTGGAAGATTCAGCGCGTATTGCGTTTGAAATATTCAAACCCTGTTTCTAAAATTACTTTGAGCAAAAAAAGACAGAAAAGAACGATAAATTAAAATTCGTGAATTTTCTCCAAAGGTGAATTTTTTCCCGGCTCAATCGAACCTCATAATAAGGTGTGTCTCACATATGTTGAGCAACTTTTTTTTTCATTCTTTTACTTCACCACTTATTAGATCTCTAAACTCATATCGTACGTGAGCCACAAGTAAGAGTATGTAAAAAGAAAAAGGAAGTGAACAAGATCAGTAGTCAGCAAGGTAAACGCTCGTGCGATCGCCTCACTGCCCCAGTCACCAGTTTGCAAAACAAATCATTCAATTCCCTGCGAGCTCGAATAAGAGCTTTTATGACTTTATGTCAATTTGGCTTCAGTGATTCTCAGGTGTCATTCATTGTCACACAGACTATGTTCACCGGTTTTGCTTCGGGCTACTGTGACGCCGCCAACTGCATTTCCGCTAGACTCTTGTGTCTGTTTCGTCAACACACGATACAACACTCTTCCAAGTTCAGATCATGCTGATAAACTTACCGTACCTGCGGGCTGATTATTGAGATTGATAGACAGAGCGATAGAAAAAGAAGACATGGGGAACATTGAGCGATCCAATTGGTTGAAATGGTTGGTTGTCATTGACTAAATCGGAAAATTATGGACTAACTCTACACGGAGAAAAAAACCTCGTGCGTCGGATCCGAAGTTTAGGTCATATGGATCTCTGAAGTTTTCAGATTGAGCAACTGAACACTTAAGGTCCAGCTGTCGAGGTTCGGATCACACATCTGAAACTTCAGTTCTTACATCTGAAGTACTTCAGATGTGAGAACCGAAGTTTCTCGGATGTGAAAACCGAGGTTTTTCGGATGTGAAAACTGAAGTTTTTCGGATGTGAAAACTGAAGTTTTTCGGATGTGAAAACTGAAGTTTTTCGGATGTGAAAACTGAAGTTTCAGATGTGTGATCCAAACCTCAACAGCTGGACCTTAAGTGTTCGGATGCTCAATCCGAAAACTTCAGAGATCCATATGACCTAAACTTTGGGTCCTACGCACGAAGTTTTTTTCTCCGTGTAGGGTCTCTGGTGAGTTGCCCTTAGTTTGTCTGTTGCTTAACCTCTTTATCCATCGTCACTACCCGCTTCCACCACTAGGATCGCTTTATTTTTAGTTTGCCTTCTTTGTCTATAGCTTTGTCCATCAATTTCAATAATTCACCTGCAGGTATCTTTGAGGCAAACATATGCCTACACTGACAATGAGAACAAAAGGCTCGGTCATATGAACTTAGGCACAGTGTCCTTTATCGGTCGTATTGTTCGCCTCATGGAAGCACCCTTTGGTGCCAAGAACCGTATCCTTTATTCACGCAACTGAACTTTTTTGGTTTGATAGCTTGCGATTATACGGACCGAATAAAACGGCCTGTACAGCATATCGACGGTGAAACTACCAAACCACGTATCTCGGTTTGCGACGTCGCAGACTTCCTGTCATACTTTATTTTTTAAATGAAAAACTACTTAACATCCAGTCTTGAAAATTTCTGTGATTTTTCCTCTTTGTGTGGAGAAAATTCCGCGAAAATTTCAAGGAATGATATTGATTTGGGCCACTTAAAAAAAATAAAATGTGAGCGTAGATTTTTAAACACCGCAAACGAGATACGTGGTTTGGTAGTTTCACCGTCGATATTGTAGTCACAGGTCATAAAACTGAACTTTGCATGGGTGACCTGCTTATTTTTTGGGTTACCATACCTAGATCATCTAACGGTCCAACATTTTTAATCCCGAGGCGGAAATGAAGAAGACCTAATAGATGAGTTGTATTCCTTGCTTGGTATCCATGTAAATTGGCTTGGAACTCGTTTTAGAAATTGGAAATGAAAAAAAAAGTTATTCCATATTTTGAGCTGTATTGCCATCCTGTCTATTTGGAAAAGCTGAAAATTTGAAGACCAATCTCAAAGTGCCATACAGTGTACCTGTATTAAAAGGATATCCAGGTGACATAGTTCTCACCCTGTTTAGATAATCAGGTATGCATGTGCGATTTCCATTAGATGGAAGCACATAATGATACCGTATTCCAAATTTGAAAAATGAAATGTACGGCTGAAAGCTGTACAATATTTTTGCCTTCCCGTCAGTTTTTTTTTTTTTTTTTTTTTTTTTTTTTTTTTTTAATAGAGATTTTCCATCAATTTTTTAAGCTAAAAATTCTCATTGGCGATCAGTGATAGTTTGAACTGTGACTATTTGAAATTCTTAATAAAAACGGAAAAAAGCTCAACTATTCAAGTCTCGAGGAATTGTGCGAACCGGAGGCTTTAAACATAAAAGCTTTACGGTAAAGATTACTTTTGTCTACGTATCATGATTGATGGATCCAAACAACTAGATGCAAAATGACTTTTCAGTGTTCTAACTTTTCTTATTTTGTGCTTGTTTTATTTCTTTGTTGCACTATACCCATATGTAATTGCAGAGGCGGATCCGGCAATTTGGCAACACCGAATTTACTCCATTTAAACCTGTGCTAAATTACCGATTCTCGTCGGAGCACCTGGCCCCTCCAAGAATCGATACATTTCCATAGGTTTATATGGAGAAAATCCGGTGTTGCCAAATTGCTGGATCCGCCAATGTGTAATTGTGCGGAACGACGGGAGCGTGAGAGAGGGGAGGGCAGAAAACAGATAAGTTGACTCTATTCATTTTAAAGTTATCATAAATAAATGAAAGCATCGAAAACTTTACATCAGCCGTTCCAGCCATCAGCCAGTAGGCATAAGTTTGGCCCCGACATTTATAACGTTTATTTCCTCGGAAGAAAGTTTGAACAGATGCGAATTAGAGACACACACACATATTACCTAATAGAATGCACGGTTGATGCACTGGTCTTTCTAATGATCTAATTTGATGTCTGCGGAAAGCACTTTTGTTATGAAGGCCATCCGGTGAGCGGGGGCATTGCCAAGGGAATGGAATGAAAGGTCACCATCGAATTTAGCTCAAATGGGACAGCTAAATTTTTGAGTGTTCGGGAGATGCTGTGTTAATCACCTCAGGATCAGTATATCCGGAAATGTACACTGCATCATCCGCACTCGGCTAAGGACACTAGAGAAAAAAATAATTTTGAGTGATGAAAAAATGAAGAAACTAATGGGCGAAACTCTTTGAGTACATGAGACAGTGGACATTGGGCGATTGATAAAATTATCACTTAAGTCAAAAATTAAAGAGAAAGAAATTTTTCTGAATTTCATCGAAGCAACTATACAATAATGCGCACGTAATTTGATATTGCTTGACCAAGGCTCTATTAGAGATTAAAGTTTAGGACGTACGTATTTTGTAGAAGCTTTTCGCACTTTTGTGCTCTATCAGGACTTAAGAGTAACACCAACAAGTGATTACAGCACTGAAAAAAAAGTATGGTAATATTTATCATTAGTCTACTGGATTTTTTACGAAGTGATACTACTTGGTGAAAATAACCAGACTTATAGTTGTATTCGCCAGAGCTTTGGTGATTCTTACCATAATATGGTAAATGCTATATCATAGAGTCTAGTGTTTATTACCATACTTGTACCATTGTATCAGAGCATAGTAAAATCTACCATATTTTTTTTCAGCGAGTCGTCATTATCCACCTTTCTTTTTTACTTTTTATTTTGTTCTTATTAAATTTCACAATCCCAATAATCTTCAGTTTATCACGTTGTTTTGTGATCTCTGTACCGGCGATGCACTGAAGTGCGAAAAGCTTTGACAAAATAAGTATGTTCTAAACTTTAATTTTGAACAAGGAGTTGGTGAGTGCGGTAACGATAGTTTTATCAAACCATCTTTAACACCACATTGCCCATGTACGTTATTGAACCATGATCATCAGACAGTAGTGGGATATCCTGACCCTTTAGGCTGAAGGGGCGTGAAATCAGACACTATTACGATCCAACCTTACTAGAATCAGCGCATGCACGTGTTACATTAGTGAGACCATTATAAAAATAGAGTGAAATAAAGAAATAAAATAAAACAACAAATAATTACAATGAGTTGAAATTCTGCTTCAAAGGCCGACACCTGCAAAGCAGAGTGATGCAGCTGAATAAATAACACTAAATCTCGCAAAAACATAATCGCAAATCACTTGACAAAATGAGAGTCTTAATAGTGTGTGAACCTGAATTATTTTAAATTATTCATGAAACTTTCCAACATATTAATTGAGGAGGACAATGACAACAAGGTGCCCATTTGCATTCTAAGAAAGTAAAGTGCTTCAATCTTAAACTGCCAGACCTTGAACTTTCAGGCTGAAAATTTTTTGTGACTTCACATTCTTTTCTTACTGCAGCTACAACTTGTCGTTTAAATCTTTCAGCGACATCGGTGAGGATGTCAGTATCATTTTCCTCAAAATTTCTTCATTTAAAATGTAGGTTTCCGTGCGTATCATCGTATCAGAATACGTGGTATCAGAACCTACTTATCTGCATTAAGATGGATCCTCCAAAGGTCACTTCGCTTGAAAAAATCTCATTATTACTTAAAAATAATTTGAATGGACGAATTTTCCCCTAAATTTCAAAATAAAATATTTGTTTCCCAATTTTTTCAATCAATCATATTTGTAAACAAATAGATCAATCATAAATAATTAAGAAAAAAATAAAATTTCAGACAAGTTGGCAAAATACATATTAAATACAATTTAGACTTTCGCACGGACATGAAGTAATGTAACCAAATAAATGGATTAATCCTGATGATGGTCATCGAAGGCAAAATTACTCCGGTGAATATAGATCTTTTCACTATTGAAAGTGAAAACAAACGTGTTAAGAAATTTTAATGAAAATTATCAATCTATTTTTGAAAGCTCACAATAAATAAATATCACTACATTTTTTCGACTTTAATTGAAGATTCTTCTTTTTTTTTTTTTTTTGTTACCATTTTCAGGATGACTTACATTTCATCGTTACACTTACATAATTGTTCGGTCGACTGACCATTCGTATTTAAAATGCAACTCCAGTCCAATGCCACCACGCTCCTTCACAGTCTCTTTTCCTCAATCGCTGATTATGAGAAAAATTAAAAATTCTGGATAATTTCTGACTACGCCCACTCAAGTGGGTGAAAGAAGAGAAGAAAAACGCGGGGAAAAGGTGCAAAAGCAGGAGTCACGGATGACTGCTGCGCGCAGGCATTTGCTCGGGAGGGCTGCTCATAAGTGTATGTTGAGAATTACTATGCTAATATTTTAGTGATCTTCAAGAGTCCTTTCAAGTATTTCAAGGATCTCCAGTCAAGAGTCTCTGTTTTCTGCTCGCGTCAGTAACTCTTCGTTTGTGCTCTTAATCACTCACACAATTATGGAAACATTTCAGTTGGACCTGTGAATGTTAACTTGCCCGCGAAATACTACCTCCGGTCGTTTATCTAGTCTCAATTAGTTTCTGTAAGTTGAAATTTGTTTCGTCGTATTCAAACTCCTTTAAATTTTCTTCGACTTTTTCAGTGTTCGCACAGTTTGAGAAGTAATTCAATTTTGTTCTGTGCCGGTGGCTGCTCCGTTTTTGTGATTTTGTTTCTGAACTTTTACTTTCAGGAATTTTTGGAAGTAAGTTTTCTTTCAACGTTTAGGTAATTAAGCTACTTTTACGTTAGGTTCATATCCTCATTATTTTTGAATGGTGCTTTAAAAAGTGAAAAATCAATCGAAACTGGAATTTTGACGGGAAGTTTCATCACAATATTACATTTTTCTGAAAAGTTACTTTATTTTTCAATATTTCTTATGATTTTTTTCAAATTTTAATCCCTGCCCGTGTTTTAATTTTTTTTTCATAGACAATAAATCAATGCGATTTTCTTCACTCATTCAAAAATTTTCTAAGAAAATTTTAAAGAGATATTTTGAATATAGTTATTGATAAAAAGTTGTATTAAATGTAGGATAATAATAAAATACTTTTAAATGTTTCAATAAATATATGTAATTTTGGTTAAATACTTTTAGCCGTCGATATAATATGATTGTATGTAAAGATAAACAAAGGCGAGCCTTCGCGGGAGGATACTTATTACTGAGCCTCGTAACAATTAGCCGAGAAAGATTTACTAATCGTTAGAGAAAATGTTCAGACAATGTCACATTTGCGCAGCAAATTTTGAGTTAATCTACTTAGTTGATTAAATATTTATTGACGACGCAGTCTCTTTTCGCATGGCAGATGGATTCTACGAATTCTCTTTAATGTGTAGTATGACTAACGGATAAAGTTAGCTAGAAAAATGCCGTTTATTATATGGTAAGAATTCAAAAGGGCTTTTCTTTATTTCTTGAAGCAAAACCACCATTGACGATTTTTTCTATGAACTAAAGTTAGGTGGGCTTCGAACGGTTGGGTATGAAATTATCAATTTTTGATAAGTGATGACGAATCAGTAGTAGTAATCTTAAAAATATGTATTTTGGCTGGGAAGTCGCAAAAAGTTTCTGTTTTTTCTCTCGTTTAATTTTTTTGGAATCACACTAATAAGCCAATGAATGTCATTTATTAGAATGCTCTTAAAAATTTTCGTACAGGGCGAGGGAAGTTTCGGAAAGTTTCGGAAAGTTTCGGAAAGTTTCGGAAAGTTTCGGAAAGTTTCGGAAAGTTTCGAGAAATAATTTTCATCAGCAAAAGAATAGATAAACTAAAAATAAAGTAAAATCAAATAAGGTTTGGCAATTAATCTACAACGTTGCAAATTGAGATAGATTTTTCGACCGTCAGCAGAGTTGATACTTTAAATGTCAATTTATCCAAGTGTATCATAAAGGGGATTTTTCCCCCAACATTAATTTAATTCCTAGGTAAAAAAGGCTCCAATCAAACAGTTTAGGTTTTCTCAATGTTTGTGAGCCTTAGTTATAAATTTCAATGCCCTTTCCTTTCAAAGGCGAGGCGTGAATGATCGATTATCGATTTTCCCCCTTTAAAGCTGTGGTACAGAATTGATTATTAAGGCGTTCGTTGCGAACACCCTGCTTATCGATCTTTTCCCATCGATTTAATCGACAGATCAATCGATAAATCGCAATGCACACCACGCTCCTGACTCCTTTCTTGAAATTTTAAAGTTTATAGCCAAGTTCTTTTATTTGAAGAAGTTAGAAGTTAAGAAGTCCCTTATAGAGCTGTAGACTCTTATTATGAGTAGGTTTTCAATTCCATGAAGTTTGAGGTAAAACTAATTCAAATCGTGTAATTAAGACATAGGGGCATTGAAAAATACAATCATGACACTCTGCTGGGAAACAATACGCACGAAATATAAAGACCGAAAAAGAAAATCGTTTTGACAAAGCTAAGAGAAGAGTGGTTCTTAGAAATTACTGGCAGAGGGCGTCGACTTAGCAGATTAACACTTTTCCAGAAGAATGTTTATAAAAACCACGTCGAACTCAAATATCAGAGCCAGGTGCACTAATTTGATGAGATTCCTTGTCAAACGATGATAACTTCGAGCAAAAACCAGAACTAGGGAATTTTGGCAATTTTTTATACCTATTTAGTAATTTATTCCGAATCCAATTCTTTTTTCTCTTTTTGTCGTGTTTTTTAAGTCCCGTGACGTGTGATGGCTTGCTTTTTCCTCTACAGGGGATACCGGTGCCTTAGTTTCATCAACATTTCTCCTTGCCCTTTTCTTAATTTGAAAATACAAATTTAAATCATTATTCGGCGTTCGAGCCCTTTAATCATCTAAAATATGAAAGAAAAAAAAATTGAATTGAAAACGTAGATTTTAAATCAGGGAGTTGAAATCGACATCAGTTTCAATTTTCACACTATTAATAGTTAGAGACTATAATACAGCCGTATAAAAAACTTGCAGTGGCCACGAAACTTGTCCTTCTTCAAAATGTCGGGAATTGTTTTCCATGACTTTATCGAGAACTGATTTGAAGACATTAATTTCTCCAGATTTTATCTTGTTCATTTTAGAAACATCAATTTGAGAACCATGTTGCTCCATATTCATGTTTCTTGTTGTGTTTATATCGACGCCTGCCTGATCAATGTATCGCCCTAATTTTTCAGGGATGACTATAGTATTAATACGTATACCTCTATGCACCTACTATTCGCAAATTTTCGAATTTTTCTCATAACTTTTTATTGCCACAGTCTGTTCTAACGAGGATGCTGTCCAATTCCTCCCCCCTTAAAAGTGTTATTTCGTGGAAAAAAAAAAAAAAAAAAAAAAATTCTCGGATCTTTTCCCTCGACAATTCAGAATACATTCTAACTTGCTGATATTGAAAAATCAACTGAAAATAATTGACAACCACCTTGATCAAATTTAGATAGGTGTTGTGCATTTGAAAGAGCAAATGTTCCATACTAAACTTAAAACCTTCACAGTCACGAGTGTGCATCTGTAGCTCATTTGACGCTAATGGTGCCTACCTTGGAAGCTCCTTCCAAATCCAATCACGTGTGGGTAAAAAAATTTTTATCTCCCGAGTCACTTTATCCGCAGGACACCAAGTTAAATTTTTCTCTCTACCTCGACACATGAATTCCGAGCACTCCATTTGCTAATGACCAGTGGCGTGGCGTGAATTGCGGTGTATCGATTGTTATGCCATTTAAACCTATGGTAAAGAATCGATTATTAAGGTGTTCGCTGCGAACACCTTGTTTATCGATCCTTTTGCATAGGTTTAAATGGCCGATCAATCGATGTATCGCATAGCACGCCACGCCACTGCTAATGACAACAATGCAAGCAAGGACAGTCCCCTCCTTTTTTACCTTTTTTGCAGCATTGCATCTTGCCGAACGCGATCAGTTGAACATTTTTATGTTAAAAGGAACTATGTGCATAGGGTTTGCGTGTAACATAGTTCCTTTTAGCATAAATACGTCAATTTTTCCTCTCTCTCGCGCTTTTGAGGAGAAACAGTATCAAAATGTATTTTTATGATTTACAAGGAGCTTTCGCCCATGTAACAAACCACTGCATACACCCCCATCTCTTTTTTCATTGAAATTCCACGTAAAAGCACGTTGAACACACTTCACATTTTTAAAATCAACTCGTAAATAAGATATTAGAAGTATTAATTACCTTCAAAATTAGGAAATACAAAATTTTCCGCTCCCTAAATAAAAACCAAAGTCTAAGTAGTATCGCATCGGTATTGGGAAACTGACCTCCACGCTCAGGAAATAACTATAGAGTTGTGTTTCAAAAAATGATCCCTCCTCTCCTGAAACACAATACGTGTGAACTTACCGAGAATAATCCAGCACCTTAAGAAAATTGTTATCATCTCCATATGTAATAAAATCATTTTTAAGTCGCCTGATGCACGGGATGAGGAAGGGGGGTAAGACGGCCCAAGGGTCAACTTCCAAAAAAGGAATCAAAATTCAGAGAGAGGAGAAAGTCATTGAGAACACTGTTTGGCGGGAAATTTTTCTGTGAAACATCGTTTTGTTATTCAATTAAATTTATTTGCTTATGAACCGCCAAAGGGCGATTTAGGGTTTCGCTGGCCGCGCAGCACCCCGGGGGGTCGGGCCGCGTAGCGGCCAGGGGGCGGAGCAACCTAGTATTATAAAATTTACCAGAATTAGTTCAGTGTCTGATTTGACTCGAGTAGATCTTGGTTTTTGGGCGCGCGGGAAATATGAAATTAAAAACACGAAATTTAGGCTGAAATCGCCTTTACGCGGGTTAAAATTCAGCATTATCAATATTCTCGCGGATTTTAAGTATAGTTTAAGTGCAAGAAAATTTGATGTTATGCTTGATTTCCATCCAATCGTCCAATGGTTTATTTCACCTTGAATTCGGACAATAGTAAGAAAAAACAGTCTGATTTATACAAGTCGAACTTACTGTGATTAAAATGACTCCTTATAACCCATCAATCTGTCAACGTTCAAAAGGTCCTTAATATACACTTTGAGATGAGCTCTGTCGTTCATTTGTGTCTCTGTCCTCCATGGCTCAAATAATAATGCCGCCACGCCCTTTTTCATCAAAGCGACGATGCTTGTTTTCCTGACTTATCAGCAGGTCTTACATCATGTTTCTCCACGTTTTCCAACGTGCAGCTAAATGATTTACCTTCTTTGCTAAGCGAAGCTTAACAATGTTACTCTAATAGGTATGTTGCACACTTTTGATGGAGCGAGGAGAGGAGTTATTAATTGCGGAAATTGGCTTAAAAATTGTGATGGAGCGCATCAGGAAAATCTGCAATTCACAACTAACTTCGTTATCCGTGTGGAAAAAAAGTGCATATTTTTAGCCAACTTCTTTGAAAAATGGACTACGACAGCAGCATAATGTGATACTAATGAATCAACTAGTGTATAGTTTTATTACAAAGTCCCACACGACAAAGAAACATGAAGCGGCAAAGTTACTGATGTAAAAAATTAAAACATAATGTTCAGTTACTCTTATCGGAGTTGCGAAACTGGGGTGGCTCGAAAAGCAACTTTCGCAAGCAAATTTTGAGGGTGGGACTTAATTTTAGACTTCCCTCATATTTTCATCCAGATTTTAAAGCTATTTCTCCTGATTTGCAGCAGTTGTTTTACTGCAGCAAATTTTTGCAGCGAACCCATTAAAATCCCTGGGCGGAGTGTTGTTTTTTTTAAAGTGACACAGCTAGATTGATGAGTCATTATATCACGCAGCACTACTCTCGTGACAAGCAACAACAACAAATATTACACAAGGATTCAATGGGGTGTAGGTGGTTATTGGTTTTGCGAGTGAAGTAGGGAAGTGGAAATATTGTGTGCTGGTTTACAATTCGTATTTTTCTCTAAACACTCCTCCGTGCATCATTTTTAGATTTTTTTAATACTGTTTACTGTTACGGACGCAGCTCCGTCGATAATTAAGTTAATGATCATTGCAGACGGGTATGCGCATGTGCGTAGCGCCATCAAATTCAAGGATGATTCAAAACGCAAGTCAGGGTCTGCGTGGAATTCAAATATTAGGAAAGGATATCTCGACACTATCGCGGCGTGAACAATTAGAGGATTAAATTAATCTGCCGAAATATTAGTTTAGGCCGTGCAAAAATTACAGGATGTTCGCGGTGTGATAATCTTCCAGCTCATCGATGGTCAATGCATATGAGTTAATGCAACGTCGTAAATCTAATGATTTATTTTCTTGAGCTATAGTCTAAGCAAAAAAACAGGATGTCTAGATGTTTGTTCATTTACTTAACAGACAAAGGTGTTTGTAACATAAAATGCAAAAAGTAACTATGGTCACAAAAAGACCAAGAAATTTGGCTGGTATACCAGTGGCACCCTCTTGAAGAAGTAATATATAGGTAATCAGAGATTTTGAAACATTGCACCAGAGGTACTTACACACTTTTTGACTTTGTCATGATTAAGTAAATCGTCAATTTACTTTTCAAGAAACGTCAATGAATGATCTGCTGTAGCTGTATTGTGCGTTATAACAGGGGAAGTAAAACGAATGCGAAACATAACTATTTGTATGTTAAAAAAAAAGAGGTTCAAATTTATTACTAAAAAATAAATACAATAAAATAAAATTAAGAGATCTTCTTGCTAAAATGATACATTCTCACTTAGAGTGACAATAATTAGAAAAAAATCTGATAACATAAGGAGATTGTCGAAAAAACACCTTTGCTGGAGGCTCAAACGATTATCCATAATTTTTCTTGCTTGGAGACTTGAACGATAGGGTGAAAAAAAGGGAACGCCTCATGGCTGAGCACGCTTTCTCTCAGCCATATTTTGAAATGATCGTCAGTAGAGTGATGTTACACATGTTTTTCTTGTGGTTTTCCTTTTCAAATACAATTACGGAATGAAAAACCTCAATAAGTGTACATCATGTGTTCATGTGAAGTCCTACGTAATCCATTTATCAGAATTTTAATTTTCGTTATGATTTTATTTTTTTTAAGCTTATCTGGATCAATTGCACTTCAAGTTCTTCGAATTTCTGTAAAAGCCGAACATTTTCGGAATGGATTATTTTAAGGCGCTTCTTCTTGCGGTAGCACTGGTTTCATGCCTAACTTTTTCGCACTCGGCTCCTCAATCAAATAAACAAGGAAACAAGGAAAAACAAGCAAAACAAGGTGGCAGTGGTAAACTCCACACTCTCCCTTTACGTAAGTTCATTTCTAATTACAAAAAAAATTGGAGTATCAAAATTCAAAGCAACTATAAAGTATAAGAATAATAATTAAGTAGCGGTCTGCACCTGAAAAAATTGATTGGTAGCTTCTTTTGATCGTTATCAGATGGCTGAATGCACGTCAAAACTTTCAAAGTTGTTCAACAAACTAAATTTCAAAGTTACTGAATTTTTTGTTTTGAATTTTCTACGAAAGATAAAGAAAAATTAGTAAAAGTTATACAAGACACTACTTCTTTTCGTGAAAGTATAAAGCGAGTGGAGGCGTTTTTACCCGTTGCATATATCACACACAAAAAAAACGGAGAAAAGTAATTAAAATAATTTAAGCAGACCCTACTGCATCATAAGTATACAACTGCAACTACATTTTAGTTTTTCTCGGAGAGGTAAATATTTCCTTTCTCTTTTATTTGATTTCTCATTTTTTTCTTAGTGTACACACTTTTGGCAAAAGTCAATCTAATCCGATCAGTCGATTAATCCAAATGTGTTTGATAATTGTATCACCTTCCTTTCTAGCGTCATACATTGGCAAAGGATGCAATCCTAATTTACCTCAGAACGAGTTTAACAAATGTGTTGTCAAAAAAGGACAGCCTGCAATAGAGAAAATTTCTGCAGGTAAGCTTTTTTTCATCGCATGCTTATCAATATTGTAATAACGCATGACAAAAGGGCAATTAGTGCCGACTGCTTTGAGTTCAAGATTAAAAAGTCTCCAACTAAAAAATATGTTTGAACATTTTGGCTCAATTTTGACACAACACGAAAAATAACCATGCATTCCCTTTAAAAGAAATCCATCGGTTTTGAAGGCATGGATCTAAGAAGATGAAACTACAAGCTCAGGATCAGTGAGAAAACTCGTGGTGTTGATAACGACGCCAACAATTTGAGCTCGATGCCTGCGTCCATGAATGAAGGCGTTTCTCATGGGTACGCTTATTTAACACAATGATTGACCGTATTGCATATTAAATTACTAAAACGGGTAGCTCGCTATTAATGAACATAATTTTTTTAGAAAATGTCGACAAATTATCCCTCAGCCCTTTTCAAAATATTTTATGAAAGAAATCTCAATGTAAAAAGTTATTGGATTAAAATGAAGTAATTAAACAATAGCAGTGCGTTTATAAAACATAATTTTTTTATTTTTTTTTTAAACATTATAAGGGAGATCATATTTCTCTGATTTGAATAATGAATCGGTAAATAGAAAAATGTAAACGCATCGGCTCTTGTTCTTCTCTGCAAATCATCACGTCAAACGATCGCTTCGACGTAATAAACTTCAACTTTCGATCTTGGGGGCAACAGTTTAGTAGATAACCAAAATAAGTGAACTCAAGTTGCTTTTTCCCATCATCGTTATTATTATTTTGTTCGTTTCATTTTTTATTTTGTACTTTATTTGTTACTTCTCCTCAGGTGATCCTCAATACAGAGTTCCAAAATTAGATCCTTTCACCATCCCAAGTTTGATCATCGATCAAGGAACGAAACAAGTAGGTATGAAAATGGCATGTACAAATTGTCAGTTGCGAGGTCTTAAGTACACGAAATTCGTCGCAGCCAGGTTAGTTGACAACTTCATTCCTTATTTTTGAAACATTTTTATTTGATATTTGTGTTCACTAGCTTAGATTTTTACACAATCAGGGTTTAAGAAAGGGAACTACATCGGGAAATGCTTGATGTATGAAAGAGCATAATAAGATTAGATAACTTTGTTTTTTATTTTCTTTTTGTACCGGAAGGGAAGAAATAATAATCAATAATGGAAAATTTCAGAATTAGGTTCGGAGTGGATTTGCCATATCACCGGGTGAACTTTTTCAGCCGGCGGGATTTTTTTTCTCTTAGAAAAGCTTTAGGCTCAATTATTCTTCAAAATCTCATTTCGATTTTACTTTTTGCTTCATGATTTCTAAAATACTTGAGCCATGACAGGATCTAGAAAAGACACCCACGAAAATAGGCGCAAAGATGGATTTTAGAACATTGTTGAGGCTATCAAATGATTGCACTGAAATTGATAGTTAGGTATTTTTGGAATTTTTTGTGTTGCGCCGGGCATAGGATAAAGCCATATAAAAAAGAGACAAATTATCTTACACTTAGAAAAAAAATCTCTTTGTACCACGAAAATATATGTTTAATTCATCAACCGAAAGGAGTAAATACATAAAGTAAAGAGAGAATTCCAAGAAAAAATGTTGCAAATTCAACTTGCACTTTTTATATTTTTACTTCAAATACGCACCTAATGAAGAAAAAAATATCTTTCTTTCGGTGGCTATGCCTCTCGATTTTGCCCTCTTTGTTTTTCTAGAAAGTTTAGAAACCAGTTTTTATTGCCAACGAATTTACGACACTATTGATTTTATTTTATTTCGTATTCTCATCTAGAGCCGACCTGAAAAAGCGACATGTGGAATGGGACTTCAAACTTGATAAAGTCTTGTTTACTGGCCAATATAAGGTCAGTGGGCAGGTTTTACTTCTTCCACTATTCGGAAGTGGATTCGCAAATATATCTCTCAGTAAGTACTTTATTTGCATGTATTCGTTTAAAAGCTTTTATTTTACCCGCAACTTTTAATACACCGAATATATTTCAATAATTTGAGAAGATTGCTCATTTTAGCTGGTTGAGTTTCAAAATTACTTACCCTTGTATCATTTTTCATCTTGCTGTCAATCAAAAATTTAAGATCAAGGGGAACAAAATACTACAATGTACCTTTTTTCCTTCAATGAGTCACACTTTTTTCGTACCATCATAATTTATACTGATGATATATCTGAGATGAAATGTACGGGAAATGATGAACTTATAGGTCCCGTTTGTTTAGTGTTGTTTTATCGGCTGACAGTATATCTAGAGAGGAAAATCAGGAAAATGATCTAACTACTAAAAGCAAACGTGGTTTTCTGATTGATTCACGCATATTGCTCACCGTTACCCAGTCGACAAGGTTAGGTTATTTACTAATGGACATTTAGCTACAAAGGCTATGAAAGTCCATATTGTTCTTTCGTCACTAAATGTAGACACTTTGTCGTTTGTTTCTAGTTAATAAATCTCTGAGTTTGTACTTACTTTTGCCATATCATTTTCAGCTGGGGTGAAATTCACATTCGTTTACGATTTTGATGTGGTGAAGAAAGAAAATGGAAGAGAGTACGTAGAACTGAAAGAGGGCAGTAAACTTACCTTCGGTGCCGAATCAATGAAAATTCGACTGGAAAATCTCTTCAATGGAGACAAGCTTTTAGGTGAGTTTATTATACATATCATAAACTTAAATTTTTCTTGGACTCTAAAAGTCTACTCATCATTGTATCACAATTTTTGGACGTAAAAAGTCAGGTTAAAAAAAAACGAAGGCAAAGGTGCGCCGTGATTTAGGTGAAAATTTACAAGGATTGATAAATTATTTACTGATAAAGTTGGTGACTGAGTTTTGTTGAGAAAAGTGAACGTAAATAAGGATGAACATATTATTAGCAAACTGCGGAGTTATTAAAGTAAGGTCTATTACAAAGAATACACAAATGAAGCGTATTGCTTTAAGTGATGATAAAATGAATTTTTCAAGTCATTTTTTCTCATTCTCTCAAAAACTATAAAAGCTTGGAATATTTTAAACATGCGTTGCAAAATTCAGTAGTTCAGCTTTCAAATGGACGTATTTCTGTCAAACGGAACTAAGGGCCAAATTGAGTTCCTTTTGAGGATTTTAGAATCCCGGATAGCGCGTTCTGTCGAACGGAACTAACTGCCATGGGACAGCATTGCGAGTACAGGACGGAGCGAGCATCGCGTTCCGCGACACCCGCCAATCCAAGCCCCCCCCTCCCTTCCACCCCCTATGGCACTTAGTTCCGTTTAATAGAAATAAGTCCAAATAATAAGTATAATACTTATTATGACCAAACAATAATGTAAGAATGAGCGGAATGAGAATGTATTATTTAGCGGTCTCTACAAAAACTTTCTCGTAATTTTTTATTCGATCGCTATTAAAGCTACCGAGCCATTCTACATTAACAATCGAAGGGTGTTATGTGACGATTTAAGAGACATGGCATCGTCAAACGGGCCCTGAACGTGTTTGAACTAATATTGTTCTTGTTCTAGGTGAAAATATGAACACTTTCTTAAACGAAAACTGGAAGGATTTGCTCAACGAAGTAGGTCCGGCCATAGGAGATGCGCTCAGCACGATATTTAGAAGCACTCTGGCGTCAGTTGCCACTCTAGTCCCATACGATACCATGTTCCCACTAGACTGAATCATTAGATAAACACTACCACAAAAAAAAAGAAAAAAAATGAAAAATGAAAAACAAAAAACGGAAAAAAAGAGTAAAAAGGTTAATAATGAAAGAAAAAAAATGCAACATCTCTGCGTCATCTCACCAAATGAAGGTATTTGTATCCCAATTTGGTGCGAGGCACGGCACGTCCTTAACAGCGGCAAGCATGCCAATCTTAAGATTCTACGGTGCATTTTCCACAAGTGGCCCGGCGATTTTTGCTGCAACTGTCGGAGCATGTTCATTGGCACGCGGGATTAACTGATTAATCTGAAAAATGCGAAAAAATCGCCCAGAAAAATTAAATAATTAAGACAGTTACTTTTTGCTTGCAACCAGACACCGTATCGAGCGGCAGTTTTATTAATTATTTTAACTATTTAAATATATAACTCCTCACATTGAGATTGCAATCTCTGATGATTATTTCCGACCCAGCGAGTTCAGTTTCAAATTTACTTTTGCTTGGTAATGTTTTAGGTGAAAACATGAACACTATCTTAAACGAAAACTGGAAAGACCTCTTAAGAGAGGTAGGACCAGCAGTTGGAGACGCACTGGCTTCTGTATTCAGAAACACACTAAGCTCAGTCGCACAGCTAGTCCCATACGACGTTCTTTTCCCCACGAAATAATATATTATTCAAATTTAAGTAGCCTAAGTTAATGAGGCTAAACTTGGCCTAGGAGATACACGATTACAATAACATACAGGAAAAACACGAACACAATTATTATTATTCATTGTATCGAAAGAGCTTCAAATTTTTCCCTCAATTATTTCCCACCGAGATCAAGGTATGAAATTTTGAATCACTCGACAGCATGACTTCAGTCAGTCACAGTAGCTAGTCTTCATTCATTGAAGCACGTGTTACATGTCATCAAAGTAGTGATCAGAATGTAGAAAGAGTCATCGTCCAAATATCATCCTTAATATGTAATTTTGTTTCAATCACCCAGTGACCATATTCAAAGGTGCCATGCGTCATGAGGTCTTCATTTTCTGTCCACAGTTTTTCATTACTTTAGTTAGCAATACAGTAGTCTTGACATTTCTAGATATCCATACTTAGTTGTTCGGTATTTACCTGCATTTTCAGTTAGATACTTCCTCGTAGATTCACGTAGTGAATGTTTCCTCCGCTCAGTAGTTATATTTGCTTTCTCTCCTTTACATCAGTGATACAGATTTTGTTCTTTTTCATTCAGTCTTCTATAAAGAGAACATCACATTCCAGCCGATCTCACTCATTTACGCACCGTGCTCGTAGTTTTGAGCAGTGCTCAGGCGAAACAGACAGGAGAGGAAGGACGATATTTTCTCTGACCTACTCTTTCTCAGGTCCACAACCTCCCTTAATTTTTCTCTATCTCTCTACATTCAAGAGGGCACAAAGGCATATATCTTACACGTGGACTCCTTGTTATCTTTTTTCAAAATCCCATCAGTGGGCTTGTAAACCTGTTATGTAAAGCAATGAGTTAGAAGTGGACCTGCAACGAAATATAATTTGAGTAGACTTCGATAATATATGATTAATGAGAGCAGATAGTTGAAGTACGCAAGAAGATGAGGCTCGCCTCAATACACCAGTGGCACCAGTCACCACGAATAGCACCATTGCACGCCTTGAAATTTTTCCCCGTCTTCCTCTGATTACCGGACAGACGAGAAAAAGTTATTTTTCGCACAAATTGAAGAAAATTGTTGAGGTTCTCTAAATGATCTACATTAAGTAATTATTCGGCCCCTGATTCTTTCAGTTCGTCCCGTGCACTCTTCAGATTGTGTAAATTGCGTCTAGTCTGCCGGGTGGGTAATATTTCAGATCATCAGGACGTTTCGTGGTTTGAACCTATTGATCAGATGGATTGAAATGTAGTGACAATGCACTTCTCGTGGTCACCGTATACAACTGTTGAATTTTGATTTGTCTGGTGTCGTTACAGGAGGAAAACGACTAATCTCTCTTAGACATGTTGAGTATTTAGAATAATTGCTGTAAAATTGCGAATGTGTGAAGTCTTCGGGCAGAAACTGAAGAAGAGATTATTCAGTTTCATCGTCAGTTACGAAGGAAAAAATCCTTGAAGCGCCTTGGAAAACAATTGCATGCAATTATTACTACTCGATGGATATTAAAGTTGCATATACAAGTACGTGAAGGGGCACTGGCTATTCTCACGCAGAAGCGCTGCTCTCGCAACGACGCACAATGTATCGAGTCAATGGCAGAAGTCGGACATGATTTAAAATCTTTAAAAGCGAATATGTTCATGAATATGAAACGTTGACGTTTCAAAAGTAGTTTCATCGGTTTTCTCGTAAAATTGTTTGTAAAAATCACCGCTTAAAATTAAAATTGTAACGAGATAAACGTAAATTCTTAGAATTTTTGTCAAAAATTTCATGTCCAACTTCTTCCAAAGACTCGTTCCACAGTGCGACGTGGGTCGTGCTCTCACACGCACACCTTCCAACACGCTGATACTGTTAAGTTCACATGCTGAAGAGCAGTACTGAAAGTAGGAGTCATTGATTGGTGTTCAAAAATCTTATTTACTATAAGGGTTTTTTTTTTTCTATCCACATACTTGAACCGAATCCATTCGATTAGTTCCTCATCCATTATAGAGAATCACGCTACTTCTGCAAACAGGGAGCCGCTCAACGACGCACCGATGACTCAAGTTTCAGCTCCCATCTTAAGCGTGTGAACTTGGAATAAGATTAAAAAAATGCAAAGAAGAGAGAACCACCTCGTCAGGCTTCATTCGGATCATAATTTCTGGCGCAGTGCATGGTTTTTGCTACTTACCTCAGGAATGCTTTTGTCTCTACTTTTTAACATTTAGAGGCTTCCTGCTTTCACGAATCAGCATGCAACACGAATGCTTACGCATGGATGCTCTAATACCAATTTTTATGCCAAATTCTTGGCTTGATGAAGATGAAAAATGAGCTTTACTCGTTTTACATTCTGGTCTTGATTTACCTACATTGACTCCTAGTTAAGGAATGATAAATGCCAGCATGTCCATTCGTAAAAGCCACAGTAACAATTATTAAAATGCGCATACTGATTTAAAATGCGCACTGATTTAAAATGTGCCAGTGGGTAATAGGACATTTCGTCAACGAGTTTTTGTCCGCGCACCTGTTTTTTCCAGTAATTTACGTCCACGCGTTTTTTCGGCACATGAGTTTTGGTCCACGTGCCAGTTGAGACCCAAAGTTAATTGGCCTACATGTAGGTAAATACAAACGACAATTGCTCACGACGTTTTTGGATGAAAATGTATAATGTCTTGGAAGAATGAGGTAGATACAATTTTTTTAGGAGCAGCCCGAGACGATGATAACAGTGGAACAACAAAGATGAAAAAAACGGGAAACAAGGCTAAAAATACACAATTATGAAACCCGAGACGTTTCGACTCAACACTGAGTCATTTTCAGTCGGAAACAATAAAAAATTTTAAAAGAAAAACGCTAAAAACCTGAGCTCTACATGGTGGGGCCGGGATCTGAGAGAAAAAAAAAAAGAAAATTGATAACAAACAAGACACATCGATGCCAGCACCAGTAACCGAAAATGACCGATACGCTAGTTCACGATCCACACACAGATGGCAGCACTAACCAGTGAAACAATTAAGTTCAAGGAAAAGCCAATAGGTGCCGCTGGGGCGTCAACCTAAACCTGACTTTTTAAAAAGTGAGTGGTATATTGCACTAAGCCCGCTGATGTCAGTGCGGTTATTACACACAGAATCCCCATGTTTGAGGATTTCGATCATTTCCAGGACCAGTCTGGGAAACAACTTCTCTTCCTTACATAAAATTACCACCTTATCAAAATCGAACCGGTGACCAAATTCTGTTTGGTGCCTCTTGAGTGCTGTTAACTCACTATTGTCATATTTATGACCACCAAGCCTCTTCCTTAGAAGTTGCTTGGTCTGACCGATGTAACTGATGTCGCAATTTCCACAAGGAATTTTATAGACCAACCCCGATTCCTGCAGAATCGGATTTTTAGCCTTCACCCTAGACATCAGGAACTCAAGATTGTTGTATTTGGTGTTAACCACATGGTACCCGAACAATTTTAAAATCGATGACAAATTTTCCGAAAGGAAGGGAACGTATGGAAGGCATACAATTTTGTCGAGATCCCGTTCTTTGGTAGTTTTATCCTGCCCCCCTCTCTTATTAAAACTACTAAGTACCTGGCGGAAAATCTTTGCTATCAAATTGGGTGGATAACAATTTTCAACCAACAGATTCTTTCCAATCTGGATCATCTCATGCCGATATGAAACATGAGAGAGACCAATTATGCGCCGTGCTAAATTAGATGCAACGTTTTTCTTTACATTCATGGGTTGAACAGATAAAAAATTAACATAACGACCAGACGCCGTTGGTTTCTGATACCACTTACATCTAATCTCGCTATTCACCCTTATTAAAGTCATATCCAAAAAATTGAGGCAGTTGTTATTCTCAATTTCAAGGGTAAATTTTATGGCGGGATTTAAACTGTTGAAAAATTCAAGAATAGCATGCGTATCTTCTTTTTTTACACAAGAAAAAATATCATCGACATACCGCTTGTACATGCGGATTTCGATGGGAGATAAACTCAAAGCAGTACTTTCGATGCGCTCCATGGATATGTTAGCCATGACAGCCGAAAGGCTACCTCCCATGGCCAAACCCGAAATTTGTTGATAAAACGCATCATTATACTGACAGATGGTATTGGTGAGGCACACTTTTAACGTACTAAAAAACTGTTCTTTAGGTAACGGACAGAACATTTCAACTTCCTCCCATTTCAATTCCACACATTGAAGGGCAAAATCAACAGATATGTTAGTGTACATGCTAACTACATCAAGAGATATTAAATCATAACCGTCAGGTACCTTTACACCATTGATGAAATCAAAAAATTCAAAAGAGTTCCGAATATGCGAGTCCCCCTTACCGACAATGTTCGACAAAATGCTAGATAAAAACCTGGATAGTTTTTGGTATGGTGTTCCTATTGTGCTAACGATTGGTCGCAAAGGCAATTCTGCCTTATGCAGCTTAACAAAACCATAAATTTTGGCAACGCTGCCACCACTAACCATAAGATGTTTACACATACCATCATTTATATGACCTTCCGCAAGCCATTTTTTGACAATAGAGTTGTTCTTATCGATTTGCGCAGGCACTAGAGACCTAGCCACCTTCTTGTATACACTTGTATCCCTGAGAATATGAAGCATTTTGTTTGAGTAGTCATTGCCATCCATGACCACTACCTTGTTGGACTTATCTGCTTTTACAAACTTTAAAGACCTGTTTCTTTTACAAAACATTATGGTGTTCTTTAGATCCTCTTTGAGATTTCTCATCAACCTACACTGATTAAATTTCCGGTTCGACATGATGTTTATTTTTTCAGGATATCCCTGAGATCTTTGCATTTCTCGGTGATAACGGTTAATCACCAAGCAAATGCCTTCCCTAATTTTATCAGCAACCATAGATGATTCATTTCTGATTTTACCTTCAATTTGAGAAATTATTTTCTCAAGAGGAACAGGTTTAAAAATTGAGTTTGCATCAGCTCCGATTTTAAAAAATGGCAAAGAAAACATGGGACCCAGACACATTACTCTTTCAACATAGCCTGAATTGGCCGGAAGAATGAGGGTTTGCTTGTTTTTTTGTTTTGTCTGTTTGGTCTAACGGAGAATAATATATAGCTGAGAGTTTTGGTAAAAATTGGGGAGCGTCAATTCCATGAGACAAAATTCACTGAAACTCTCTACACATCTTTGGTGTAACAGGACTTAATTATCTTTCAAGAAATTCTCACCTTGTTATACCTGAACCGGATAAACCTCTATATTTGCCTCAGCTAAAGGCTCTTACATTTTTTCAGTGTACGATGAGTATCTTAATTTATTTTGTGAGGAAAGATCGGTACTTTTAAAGGATGCCTGTCATTCTTAATACGTTCAATTTCGTTTAATTCTGTAAAACACCTCTGTTGTGAAATAGTTGCTTAAGGCGCCGCCGCGCGCCGCACGGCGAGCGGCGGGCGGGCGGCCAGCGCGAAACGCGCATTGGCGCCTACAAACCTATGTGGATACTTCAAGCATTGTGCAATGCAGGAAGTATCCACCTAGGTTTGTAGGCGCCAGTGAGCCTCTCGCGCTGGCAACACGCCGCTCCGCTCTGTTAGGCTTTAATATTTATACTCGCATAGTCAGCGTTTTTTAACTCATGATTTTGAAATGTTTGCACACTCTGCATTGATTATTCACATTTTAATTGATGGGGGAAAATATATATCAATTTATCAAAGGAGAATACTAATATAATGTGTGTTTTTTTTAAAATATTGGTGGTTCCGTGTCAAATTTAATGATTTCCAAAGCACTTTAATTTTTTCTTTTACATTTTGTGCTTTTATTGTGCTGCAGAGAGATGTACGCGCAACTAAACGCTCAAAATTTGACGTATTTGACTCTAAAAGATCGATGTACAAATGGGTTAAAACTAAAGATTGCGTGCTTCTTGGTTTCTTCCTCTTTTATTCATTTTTGCAGTTCCTGTCGGCACAACTGCGGCTCATTGAGATTAATGTCGCTTGGAAAAGGTTTTACAGATATTTGTCACGTTTTAAAAATATAAATGTTTTCAAAATGAAGTAATAATTTCGTAAAGAAAAAATAAAAAAGTACCTATGCATAAGGTATATTGTACATCGAATATTTTAAGGATAGAAATAAAACCAAATATTCACCAATGACAAGTTAAAAAGATTATTCAAAGGGAGAAAGTAATAACATTTCATTTAGAAAATGAGCAACCATAACAACACCTCCTTATTCTCTCTCAATTTCTCATTTCCATATTGTCAATATAATTTTATATACCGACTAAAATAACGCTTGGACCGAGTCACTGTTGCTTATTTTACGCGTGGACGTAAACTACTGGACAAAAAAGGAGCGCGGACAAAAAATCGTTGACAAAATGTCCTGAAACCGTGCCAGTGAGTGTTTCTGAAACTACTAAAAAGTGTCTTCCCCAGCAAAAACTTGGCTCCTCAAACCTCTCCCACCAAAACGGCACAGGCTACAACAAATTGCACTTAATTACGTGGTAAAATTATGCTATTGTATCTGGGTGTTGTGTTTGTTGTCTACCCTCTAATTGAAGGGGCTCTTCTTATTGAAACTCATTGCAATAAAATTGGAATAAGATGCAATTTTTTTCCACACTGCAAATTTGCTGCCTTTCTTACACACATGGAAGTCATTTTAAGTATCTTTAGAATTTTTTTTTTACCTGTAAAAATCTTTCAATTTTATGGTACAAAAATTGCAGTTTCACATTTTTGGCGCCGTGCTCATTGGGCGTCCGTTTGAATGAGCTTCTCTAAGAAGTGAGGACTGTTTGTTTAACACATATTTTGTTTTATCTTCTTTCAGGTAAAAATGCGAGCACGTTTTTGGATGGGTACAATCAAGCACTTGAGGGCCTGGATACTGAACCAAGCAGGATCAATGTTTCAGGCACTACAAGATTGTTAAACATTATTCTTGCACTTGTTCCTTACAAAATTCCTTATTGTATATATAGACTGAATATCAACTCAAAATTCACTGAACTAAACATTTTTCTTTTTTTGTCTTGGACCTTGAATTGTTTCACACTCCATAGAAAATACTCTTGAGACTTTGATGAAATTAGTAGTAATAAATGAGAACCTATGCAGCCACTTAAATACATTCCTCCTCGACTTTAAACTTACCCAATTAGCAGTAAACGCGATAAATAGCGATTTTATCGGTTGGTTATTGCGATTATATCGGTGGGAATATATCGAGATATTATCGCATTAAAAATTGCGATATATGACGATTAAATAGCTACACACCGCAATTTTTGGTTCGATAAAATCACGATTAATTTTCGTCGATAAAATCGAAATTCAATCACCATTTATCGCGATTTTTATTTCGAAAATATCGCGATAAATTGCCGGGCGATATCACGATTTTATCCCGATAAGATTCAGGAGAATCGCTCATATGTTGACGATCTCAGCGATTTTATCGCCGATAAAATTGCAACAAATCCCGATTTTTCCGTTGAAAAATGCTACTTGGGTTAGGTATCTCCGCTTACTAATTATTGTAAGCCTTGCTCCTTGCAGTCCGTAGGTGCCACGATTTTGAATAATGGATTTCTTTATTCTACAGTGACTCGTAGGTCATAATAGACGTACAAGTGATAGATCGACAGTAAAATACGATTCTGAAGAATAAGGTATCAAAATCAAGGAATAGTGCAGACTCATGATCTTCGGTTAAAGATACATTGATTCTTAAAATGGATGAAATTACTTACTGTGCCTTTGGTTGAAATGACAAATGCTTAATAGATTGGTAAAAAACATGAAATGTGGTTGGCGGACGATNGGGGGGGGGGGGGGGAGATATAGAGACACCTTACTTTTTCACTGAAGTCCAAAAACTTTATGTTAGCATTCGTTTTTATCACATAATTATCAATGAAAAGCCATCGATTTCAAATTTATCGATATCTGTCACACTTAATTTTATTTCAGATCCCGCCCCCCCACACTCACACACGCGCGTGAGGACCCCTTAATCCCCTCCCCCTGAAGTGACGAGAACTTTTCAGTAGTTGGATTGACAACCATGAGCTAAAATTTAGTCATTACCTATCAAATGGACAACATTTTGCAATTTGAAACTATAAATTCTAGCCCGGTTTAAAAACGACGTACGTGCCATTAATTTCCAAATGCACATGAAAGTTTCCCCAGAAGAGCCAGGATTCATAGAGCCAAATTGCAAAATGCAGTCCAAATAGAAAGTAGGATTTAAAGCAGTCGCGCTCACATTATGACAACCCAACGCTCTCTGGTGGCTCGATACTGAACCGCAAGCCGGGCTCTTTCCCCTCCCCTCCCTACATCTTTCATCGAGGCACATCGCACGTCTCGTGTCGCCACTCTGTCTGGCGGCACCTCCGACCCTTTGTGCCACGCCGCGCGCCATCGCAGTCTTTGTGGAATTTGCGGAAGCGCCGGCGCCCCAGAGACTTTGTTTTGGTGGTCCGAGATTTGATTCCTCCGTTATCTATCTCTTCCACTCCTGACCCACTTCTCCAGACCACCCACGTCGAATTAGCGGAACCGGAGGACGCGCGTCCCCTAGTGCGATTCTGATGTATGATACATGGTTCCCTGGTGCTTTTCAACGAGGATTACGAATCTGAGATCAGATTTTGGCTCCCATGCATTGCAACATTCCCATGATGAGGAATCGTCCTGCAGGAATTACGTCAAGTTGACCGAACACCCCCCCCCCNAAATGAGACAAAATGCTTACGTAATTTAGCACGGTAGGTATGGTGTTGAAAAAATCAATCCTGTTTGAGGCATCGAATATATTCTAGGGAAATTTCCTATCATGAATACAAATCGGACGCAGGTGCATTACAAAAAGAAAAGGAAGGGGAAAAAACGGAACAAAAAAGAAGGAGAAAATAAATGTGAGTGATTTCCAGTAGAAGTTCATCTCAAATTTCTTTGTCTCCTCTTTTCAAGCGGACGTTTTAAACTTCCTCTTCCTTCGTAACATCCGTAAGACACCTGCTGTTGCCCCTCCCCCCCCTTCACAGTTGTCTGACCCACGTAATTAAGGGACGGCCAATTTTTCAAAGGACTGTTCATTTCAATATTCACCTTCTTCGAAATTTCACAGGATGATTCAGGATTATTTATAGCCTCGGTTTCTTTAATCAATGAAGATTTTCTCATGATATAAGGCTTTTAACGGGAAAAACTTCTTCTAAGGTCCCGGCTCCAGAATTAACAGCAAAAGGAGTGTGCGTTTTTATTAAATTTTGCAGGCAATGTTTAAAAATTGAATTAGAAGCACAAATTGAGGCTATTTTCGAGATGGCTGTAACTATCACCCATCCAAATGGTTCAGGTTGCAACATTCCTGCAGGTATTCCTACTGCATATGAACGTCGTGTATGTTGCCTATATCTACAATTAGAAGGGGCTCCTCTCATTGAGATTCATTGCGATAGCATTGAAATAAGTTGCAATTTTTTGCTACCTACTTTGCGAATCGCCTTGATTTTTTCCAAATACAGGGAACTCACTCTATCTACTAATTGTTTTAAATCGGAATATTGACTAAATGATATGAAAATATTGCAATTTCGAGATAAGAGATTGCAGTACCTATTATCGCAATGATCTGCGACTTCATTTCAATTTTTCGTTGCACTGTGCTACTAGGTAATAGAGAATTTGCAGGTATCTGAAATTTCGTAAATTTCATATTTAAAATGATGGGCCCTGCTAGGAAATCTGAGTGCGATGATATCTTTGGTTTCTAGATTGGACAATTATTGGAGAAAATATGCCAAAATAACCTATGATCTACTAGAATACATGTGTTTAAATGGCAAATGCCGCCAGATGACTTCATGAGGCGGCACATTTTCTTATTTTTAAATAAATTTTTCTCCGATTTCCCATGTCAGGAAAAAATCATGAATAATACTGCGAACTCAGCTCATTAGACACTCACAGATGAAGCAATAATATTTTTGTAAAATTTTGATTCTCCATTGTATTTTCTATCTTGGACTAAATGACTGATTACGGGAGGATAAGCTAAGAGATAAGGCACAACGATGAAAGAAGAACAAATAAAAAAATCATCGATAACAGCTCTTAAATTGAAATGAAAAGGAGAGCTGAGGTTACATCCCAGCGCCTATGTGACATCACCATTCTGGTGCTAACTGAATTTTGATCATTAGAGCCACTATGACGGCGGTAAAAATACTTTAAAAGAAAAATAGGCTGATTAAACACGGATAATTATTTATTTCCATTCATAATAGTGACTAAAAATAACAATTATGCCAAACAGAATGAAAAAAAATCCTGTTCAACAAAACAATTGATGAAAAATGTGTCCAAGACAGAGGAGAAAGTACCAAAAAAACTTGGTGTTGGATGCCAGACGATTTGCTTATCTAAGGCGACGTCAAAATGAGACTTAACAGAACTTGCTGAAAATTTAATCTTGAGCCGAAGATTTTCTTCTTCCTCATTCTTTCATTACATCATTTAACTTCATGGGGATTTAAACAATCCACTTATTGATATCTAACATTGCCCACATATTAACAAAAGAAACAAAAAAAGAGACAGGAAATGTTTCAAAAATACTTAAAATGAAAAAAAGAAAGGGGGGGGGGGTGGAGGAAGAAACTTCAGAGAGGGGTCTTGCAGCATTGAATAAATACAAGCACTACAGTGAAAGCAATTTTCCATAAAATCGAGCAGTTTTGGAGATGTTAAGCAGAACTAAAGAAAGAGGACAAGTAAAATTATCATACAATGGAATTCAAGTGTCTTTCATAGCTCATTACAAACCTATCTATACATATTAGCTGCTATACATTATAATCGCACCCTAGAAAAAGAAGCTTCATCCAAAGGAATTATTTTCAGGAGAGCCAGAAACTCATTTGAGGATATTAACATTTTACAGTGGTTAATGGCACAAAGAGTATGTAAATAAGCAGAGCTACCAGATCTACTTCTGTGAAAGAATCAGCTGTTAAGTTCTGGTACAATGTTTCATAGGGACTTTTTAAGCCGACCCAGTTTTTTTAGCTCTCGTGAAGAGAGTGACACTCAATTTGATTCTGCAGATGCTTTATGCACTACATAGTCTAAAAGTATTGGCTATAATTTACGCTGGTCCATTTGACAGAATTTATTCTATTGATAATTAACACACATATGCCTCACTGAATTATTATTTACCAGAGATAAGGTTCATTTTCTGGAGCAAGTAGTTTGATTCACACTTTCATGAAAGAGATAAATGGAGGCAGGAAAAGACGAGAGGAAACAGAAGATTCATTCCGCATTGTTGGAACTTTTATAAACATCAGTGCAGGGAATACAGAGTTTGCTGAAAATAAATGCTATTGTGCGAATTTTTCCTTTCAATTAGAAAAATTTTAAGACTAGAAATGAAGTGATTTATAAATTTGAAGTACGGCACTTAAGACGCGCAGGTCCGCCCTGTCATTTGGTAACTTATGCTGGCGCGATGATCCAACCAAGAGACTCGGTTTGATTTACTTTGATAGATTGTTGTATCACCTACGGTCGCCAACTTGCAAAGTGAACTTGCGCTACTTAAATGCAGTGCCTTGAAAACAAGCAAGATTATTTGAATGAATATCGTTTTGAATTATGCAACTGCTACAAAAATTAGGAAAACAATCAAAATTAATAAAATTAAATAACGCTCAATTTTTTTTTCCCCAACTTGGGGCAACAGGCGAAGTATCTCACAGTGAAGCTCACATGATACTTAAAACGCTTTTTAGACAAGTTTGGTGGTTGCATCCTTGATCTTTAAAAAACCGATCAAAGCCATTCAAGTTAAGCTAAATCATTTCCATGCTAAGGGAAAATGCTGTATGATCATTTGAATATTGCCTCCCCCCTCCCCCGCACACGGTAAAATATTTATTTTTTATGAAATGTACAAATATTTTTCTTTGAATTTTGTCGAATAATTTACATAATTTAATTGCTATTAAATTTCTGCGCAAAAATGAACGAAAATTTTTGGAAGTTTCCTGGAAAATCGTAATTAAAGAAAATAAATTTGGCAACATCTGAAAACTCATACGGCGTTCTTCCTCAGCACGGCAGACAAACGTTTGCAAATTTGAAAAAAGTTCTATAAAGCTTGATTAAAGCAAAAACAGTGAAGATACGACAAATAACTAGCAATTTTAATCGGGCAACATTTCTTTTACCTTTATTGAATTTTGTTCTTGTGTTCCTATAGGTCTTAAGTTGAGAACTTACTTGTGGGAAAACTATTAGAAAATGTGAGTTAATGTTCTGCCTTGATCTGTATTAAAGAGCGGTTTGTTAGCACGTGAAGTTAAAAAAGAAATGTTCTCTTAATTGATTTACATCTAAACAACTTTACTTTAGAAGTTTAGATAGGTACACTAAGAATTGCTGACTTCAGTTTAATAAATTTTGCTTGACTAGAGACTCAAAACTCAAAATCAAAAATAAAAAGTAAGACAACTTTAACACTAGTTCATTAAGGTATTGATCATACATAAAGATGCAATTTATATCCTTGTAAAAATCTGAAAAATACGAATTTATCTGCATCTTAAATTAAAACGATAAAAAAGAGAGATGAAGGCTCAACATTACTTGAATTACTGGCGAAATATTTCATTAAACTTAAAAGAGATTACTCGGGAATTTCTTTGACCACAATTTCAGCTCATGAAACAACGGATGCAAGGGTACATCATAAAATGTAAAAAGGTACATTACCTTAACTTAATGAAATAAGTATACAAAAATAGGATAGTTGAGGAAAAGAAATAATTCCGACCTCTCATTCAAGAAAATGGTTTGGTAAAGGAACGAAAAGAACAATGCGGCACAGTTAAAATAAACTAATGTCTGTACTTAAATTTGGTTTCAATTTGTTAGGAATCAAAGAAGAACATCTAACTTTAGATGTTAAATAAAATGAGAGATCATGATAACTCAAAAAATTAGATTTTTTAAATTAAAATTAAAATAAAATAAAATATGTCTTAGACTGAGACTCAAGTCTCTCTAACAACTTGGTACATTGAATATCTGAGGATTAGAATTTTTATTATTTTCACATTTTTTAAAACTAGAAAATACTGTTACATGGACTTACTTCTAGTTTAAAAAAGCTTTAGTACTTACAGAGATGTAATACAGAAAATGCATAAAAAAAAGTTGTCTCTTTACTGTGAGATAAACTATTTGAGGCGAACATCTGAAAAGTAGGAACAAAAAGAAATATACTGTCTTTAAAGACTTTTTTTCACTTTTTTTGTTTGACTAAAAATCATGGAAAAAGGAGAGGAAAAGTTAAGAAGGGCAACCATTAATTTACTTCAAGTAAGGGGAAAGTATCGATCTCCTAGTCCTAGGTAGCCATTGAAGACCTCTGGGAGCAGAGGTTTTGGTGAGAATTTGGCGCCAGCATGATGAGGCCAACTGATGAGACTTTCATTCCTATTGTATTGAGCGTTCCACACAGCCAAAAACAGTGTGTGAGCTTTCTTTGATCGTAAATGATAGAATACGACAACTTTGAAAACATGACACGAATTGACGCACTCATACAAGAAAAACAATACACTCATACAATTTTAAAAGGTAATTTATAGATACCGTTAGATATCTTCCTTCAAAACAATTCTCGATGTATTTTCAAGATTTACTTTGCTGGCATTGGGTGTCATAGGCGAAAGTTTTCTCTTTTTTTTGGAAAGGACAAGGATTCTTGAACATTCTACCTTCGAAGAAGGTATTAACATTTCTTTGAGAACAAAATTACACGAAACAAGGAATTTAAGTAAGAATAAAAATAGAGTGATATCTCTTAAAATACACCATTTTAGGGACTGAAGGTGGTTTTGTTGAGAAACTACAGAAAGGGTTGTTTTATAGGTTGTCGGTAAGCTACCGAAATAATTCCATTAAGAAAAAGTCACAATAAGAGGGCTCTTGCCGATAGCGCTCTAAGTTTTCGGAGCTGGCGAAATTAAGCTGTTGCCATATGTACGTCTATTTACGCGCCAGGCAATCTGACGAACCGACACATGGGGCAAAAATGCATTGAGTGCGAGCTCTCAGAACTTTGATAAGATACTGATAGCTTACCGGCAAGAATTCGTTTGAACTACCCTAGCTACAGGGTAAAATCTGTGATTATTTTTATAGCCTGGATTGTTATGCAGTTGATTGGATAGGAGTTGCACCTGGATTGGGTCAGTTGCAAAAGTTGGAAACAAAGTACCATGGTGAAATATTATCTAAGAAGGAGAAAAAATAATCACTTTCTATCCTTTTCCTGGGCATAGTTAAAAAATTAGCAGAAAATAAATGTAACCAATTTTAGTACTCATTTTTTCTTGACAAAAGCTCCTGACCCTTCCCATTACATTACTATCTACTAACTCCTGACTTTTAAATAGCACTCAGTAAAATTTGTACTAAATATTTGTTTGCCTATCAATAATACAAAGATTACATTCACATTAGAGAGAACTACGCTCAGGAAATGCATTGACTAAATAAAAGGGACTTGAATCGTAAGAAAGTTTTTAAGCTCAAACTTCATCTACTTGATTAAAATTTACAAAAAATGAGAAGCGCTTGGCAACTCAACAATGGGCGAATAAAAAGGACAAACATTTTTAATTCTTGGCTAAGAACAGCTAATGCAAAACAAAAGATTTTGGTGATGATAATTTATGCAAAAAATTGCCTCGAGGGACATAAATTTTTCAAAAAACGACCGTTTTCTGCTCTTCATAACGTATTCTCTTATCCTCACTCTTGAAAATTTATGATTTATGAACCATTTCTCAAAAAAATTGTTGATAGACCATCAGCAATGCCTGAAAGAAAAATTATGCTCCATAAAAATCTTTGTCTTCTAAGCATGCCTCACTTGCAGGCATTGTATACTACAAAATGAGACATTTTTAAGGTTTTCTAGGAATTTTTGCAATATACATAAACTGAACTTGTTTTGCTTAATGACTGACCAAATTTTCTTTCAGTTTCTATTTTTTATTCTTTTCTCTCTGACTTTTTCAAAGAATCAGACCAACGATAATTTCAAAGAGATATTTGTCTCAATAACACATTGTTAAATTTTGAGGTTTAGGCATCCAAAGATACGAGAAAATGTGCAGAAAATAGTACTCACGCCGCTCAATTGACAGTACAAATCATAAAATTACCGATCAATTAATTTAAAATTAAAGAACATACTCTTAACATGAATAGCTAATTTCAGATCTAAATCCAGATTTAATTTTTCATACTTTCAAAGCAAAACTCAAAAAATGTCGTAAACTGGAACAAAAGCTATTAATGTAAAACAATGTCTCAATTTGACTACATTTTGCAATAAGGAGCTACCATTCTTGGCTCACCCATTAAAGCATCTACGAGGGTCATCCAAAAAGTAAGGTTCCCTCGCTTGTATCATCTAAACGAAAAGAGATAAATCAAATCAGTAAAAAAGGTCTTATCACACATATTCTAAGCTTCAAAACAAGCTCAAGTTTTTTAAAATTGGTTGAGGAGTTTGCGAGAAAGCTCAATTTTACTGAGACAACCTCCTGTCGCTTCGTTCCCACCTCCGGAGTCAGGATGTGCGGAGAGTCGATTACTTCAGACTCGTGATTTTGCTGCTGAGCATCATATCAAAGGGGTATTTAACAGTTTTCATTAATACTTTGGCTTATTTTGAAGCTTAGAGCATGTGTGATAAGACCATTTTTACCGATTTGATTTACCTCTGTTCATTCGGTAGATACAAGGTAGGGAACCTTACTTTTTGGACGACCCTTGTACCTGCATGGAAAACTAATGGCATACATGTTGATTATAAAACGAGTTGGAAATGGTAGTTCTTATTGCAGACCATAGTTTAGTAGGCCTTGAAGAAAAAATGATAAAAAACTGTCCAAAAAAAATCAGAATTGTAAAATTTAAGACCCATTTGTAAAAATTTCTCTTAGATCTGGACATTTTAGGGAGCAGAGGGCCAGTGTAAAACATGTTGAGAACTGCTTCTGGTGATTATTGGTGGGTAAGTTTCCGGATCATTATCTCAAACAGTGTTAGGGTAATATTTTTTAGTAATCCTACCCAGCTTTAGTCAGAGAAAGGAGGTAAGCCAAATTCCTCGGGCTTAAACTCCTCCAATGACTTGAGAACTTTGGTGGCCAAAGTACGTTTCTCTGGTGGCACAATTGCATCTGGGACCATTATAACTTGCATACCAGCACTTGACGCAGCTTGAACTCCATTAGGGGCATCCTCAAAAACTAGACACTGTAACAAGAGAGGTTTTCGCAATTATTAATTACAATTACCCAAAAGAGAACATTGAGAAAAATTGAATTTGGATTAATTTATAACTTATTCGTACTGAAAAAAAATATCTAATTTTGTCTTTAATCCAATGCAAAACAAAAGGCCTGAGCACTTCTTGATTGACTAACAATCTTGACACTCTTTAACTAAGTAAGTCTGAAGTCCCGCTATTTTTGAGAACTCTTAAGTTCCCTTACTTTCTGTTATTAATCCTTATTTTTTGTAATGTTATGTGCTCGCTGAAGATGATGGGTAGTAGCCTGAACTATGTCCAAATTATGATAAAAAGTAAAGGGATTTAAGAGTTTTCAAAAGTTGCAAGTTCCTTGCGTATTAATTAATTCTGTTTAACATAATTGACACTCTTTAATTGATCGATTTCTCTTGCTTCATCACAATATGCATGAGTATCACTTGATAAAGGAATACAGAAAATGCTTGAGCATGCAAGCTACAGTGAAGAAATTTATTTCTAGCGGAAATTTTCCCCCTAAAAAGAATTTCCAAACATAAGATTGCACTCATTTTTCGATTTTTCCGGGCAATGCAAACTTTCGATGTTTTTGCTGAGTGAGTATCAGAAAAATTCACTCTTTATCATGGGTGTTTACACAAAGCACTTACTTAGGGGATGTCGATTATTTCATTGCGTTTTATTTTTACGAAAATATTAACACAGCATACTCTGTTAAAAATTTAGAAATTTCAGAAAAAAAAAGAAAAATATATTGTCCCTAAAAACTTTGACAGTAATAAAAAAAAAAGAAAAAAGAATTCACAAGCTGCCAAACAGGCTTTGGATAGGTAAGAACATTTAGGAGATTACTTGAGCATTGCTAAATTCCTTGAGATAAAAAAAAAATATCTAGAAAACTTTCATTTCCATCAGAGAATTTTATTTGTAATTCAAGCTGAAGTACTTACCTAAAATTTTCAAGGAAGCATGTCCGGTGCTTTCCTAAAATGATGAAATTTATAAGAAAAGGACCCAACATAGCCCTTATGGGCTCTGGTGCTCACATAAAATCTCATAAAGGGTGAGCAAGATTCTTTAGAGACTTTTCAATGTTTAAACAACATTCCTCTCTACGCAATATTAGTCCAGGCTTTTTCCTTTATTTAAAGACAGAAACAATAAGGGGTTGAGAGTAAGTACATTATTACTTCATACCTGATCTGGACTGGGTTTTTCATCAAATCTTGAAGCACAAATGAGAAATATATCTGGCGCTGGTTTTCCTTGTTTCACCTCTGGATCACTGCTACCAACTACAATGTGATGAAAAAGATCAAATATTTGTCTGTGATTGGATGTTTTGATTTCAAAAGTGTCTTTTCCGCTACTTGTTGCGACTGCTATGGGGATATTGTTGTTCTTAAGGTGACGAATCAGACGTTCAGCACCTAAAAAGTTAAAAACATTAAAAAATTATGAAGTGGTATTGGCAAACTCAATCGTGAGGTTCTGGGAGTGTGTATGTAAGTAATTATGAAAGCTCATAATTTTTTTTGTTCCTCATAAGAGAGGGAACATAAGTACATCAAAATAATTAGACCTGCTTATGTTTACACTCTGAGGAAGTCTCCAATATAGTAACAATGAAACTGCAGGACAATCATATCTTGTGTACCTTGCATTAGAACTTCCCATCATTTTTTCATTTCACTACATATTTTATGTGGTCATTAGTGATGGCTGGATTTATTCAATTTTCAAGTTAATCTTTAACTATTTCGTTTATCTTCCAGCTGTCACCCATTATTTTAATGGCCAGACTTGAAACTGATAGCTACTGATAGCTTGAAACCCGCCAATCACGTGTAGATTTATTGACTCACCACCTGAGACGTCACTAATTCAATAAAAGCGTGGGCTACTTGTTTCTCGTTGTCCATTCTATCCATGCCTGGCATGTATGTTATCTCTGCTCTTCCGGCATTTCTTACTGATTGTGAGTGTGACTTGTAATTTGTAAAAGTTTTTCGAAATTTAAATACATCTCAGCTCTTTAGGCCCTATCAACTTTTCAATCTCATTCAGCTATCCCAAAATTTTAATCCTCAACCCTTGACATGGTTCCGACATTTTATTCCAAATCTAAACCCTTGACATGGTGTTTCAAAATCCCTGTTAATTTATTTAATCAGAAGAGAACAAACCAACAATAAAGCTTGAAAGTTTGATAGATTATTTTCCACACTAAAAGGGAAGTTTTCAAGAAACGAAGCTGAGTATTTTTCTGTTCAAGAATCTCAGAATGGTTGGAAGTTTGTATTGTCGCTAACTGAGGTGTGGGTTCCTGCTTTTCCATTGAGGAAAAATGTGTCATATTTTTCAGTTTAATTTTCCACAGTAGAAACGACAGGGAGAAGAGGTATGACCTAACTTCGAGTCTTTCCAAATCAAAAAAACTGAAAGCATTGTATCTTCATGCTGTTTACCTGGCATAAATTGTGCTAAATGCATCCTTTCTCTGAGGAGTCCATGAATTTCTTCACCAAGCTGTTCTGGAGAGACGTCCACACCAGTGTTTTCTTTGATGATTCTGAAAGTGTCTTTTGGTTGGGTGCCCATAACTTTGACTCGAACTTCATCAAGATATTCTTTGCCATACTTCCCCAGTACTTCAGAGAATGTTTTCAAGTAAATTTTCTCAGTGTCTGAAAAATTAAGATAAAAATTATTTAGACATCAATACAAAACGATAAATAGGAGAAGCTGGCAAATTTTAAGCTGAGCCCAGGGTTTTAAAAGAATAGCTGGGTTTCATTCTAACTCTATCTTTGTACTACTTGCATCAAAGTTTTATTAATTTATTACTTTATTTCATACATTACACATTTTACATATTGATTTCATGACTACATTCAACTAATTTTAAGTAAAATTAAATGAAATTAAGTATAATTTATAAATTTTATGGCCAACCGCCTGCATACAAAGCTTGCTGAGATAGCTTTTTGTTAGTTTCGATGTTCCCTAATTTTCTGAGTCTCAATAATATAGCATGGGTAAATTCTCCATTTAGTAAATGTAAAAATGTACTCACAAGCTTTCCAATAAATTCATTTTATCAGAAAAATTTCTTTTCAGTCCTAATATTCACAAATTTTTCCTTGAGCAGGCAGTGCGTACTTAAATTTTCATACATACCTATCAAAACTGTTGGCTAAGTTGCTGATCCACTTGTTTCAAAGTGGATTCTTAAACATGTTCCGAAAAGTAAAAAAAAAAGAGGTATTGTGACACCATTTGTTATGATCTGTTTTGTTGTAGTTCAAGTATTTGTTATTTAGAGAGGATTTTGCATAGAAAGCCAAAACATTTGGGGCAGGCTAAATTTATGCCTTTTCATTTGATATGATAATCTTTGAAGCGTTCTGAGCACAATGAGATTTAAATCAAACTTCTTAAGTAGGTATGTGCCAATATCCAGAGTAGCAAGGCTGAGATGTGAATTATTTGGCATTCATACAAAGATTTTCCTACTAAGTCTTGGGACTGTGATGCATGTGCGGACGCTGCCCTGCAAGCATTTGACACTCAGAAGGGGAGGGATTAGATTATTTTCTTCTACCTCTTCTTCGCGACCAATGAGGACACACAATTTGTCCATGATTATCAATCTTTCTACTGGATAGCATGTAAGAATGCGGAGAAATTTAAATTTCAGCCTCCCTTTTTCTTCAAAAACACTTTAATTTCAATGTTCATTGAATTTTGGTGGCTGTAAAGAACAGCATGTCAAAAAAATGATGAAATTTGGCCGTGCCTAGTCCCTTGCTTTCCTATTAACAGCACATCACAGAATAGGTGCGTATGTAGAAAAGCCTTTGACTATTGTCATGGTGGCATCCTTAATGATGCCTCCCTCCCCCAATCACAAATTGTGCAATTTAGGTAAATAATCTCACTCCAGGAAAATCTGCAGTAGAGGGACATACATCCCAAAGTAAATGAACAAGTGATAAAAAACTACAGGGGTTTACAATAAGAGTCAACGTAGAATTTAAAAGTAAACTAATTATGAAGCAACATGTAATCAATGATACTATATGATTTCAGCTGATGAAATTCTTCTCCTTATTATACCATCATGGGCTTACGACAAGAATCGAAGAGATCATGACAGATAAAGGGGTTACGCTCAGTTCTTGACTTACATTAGCTAACAAGGAAAACTTGCAAATTAAGAGTGCAGTTGGAAATGCTCTTCTTGATCTCAAAAACTCAAGCAGTTAACTTCTCCTGCTTTGACAAACATGAAACTTGAGTGACATGATACTAAGTTGCAAAATGCCAACTCCGAGCGGGGTAGGCATAACATGGAAAAGTATAGGGGAGGCCAAAGGAAGCATATAAATTGATAGGCAGAAGAGATTAAAAAAGGTAATAATTAGACTGGAAAACAAAACCAAATCCTACGCTTTTGGAGGCTCATTATGGTCAAATTTATTTAATTTGTAGTGATCGTTTTGACGTTCTAACCTCAATACTCAGTAAAATGATGCAACTCAGTGACAGGTAATCATATGTTAAAACCTCACCCAGCAAGAGTCCGTCCATATCAAAGATAACATGAGTCACCGGTTTGAAATTCGCCATTATCACTTATCAGGGGAAAATAATTTAATTGACGCAATTAACAATGATGTTTCGGAGAATGATAAGCGGCACCAACACATTCACAGTGATACGAGCCAAGATACGAGCTGCACAGGAAGAGTTTCTCAATAGAGAGGTACTCTACATCGGCGACTTGTGGACCACTACGCTGACCTTGATGCTAACAGCTGTTTTTATTATCACGGTGCACTGGCAAGCGGTGCGGCATCCCCTCTTATGGTTTCTCTCCTTCCTCCCCGCCGCGCNCGCCCCCCCCCCAAAAAAAAAATAGAGGAAATAGCTATCAAAATTGTGACCATCTGAATTTCACTTTCCCCCAACGTTTGAGAATTATTACCCATACGGGCCAAAAATTCAGCATGGAACTTACAGATTGATCAAAGACTGAAATTATCATTCAGAATGAGTATAAGTGATGTGTGCTTACCATGGGCGGTAATAGGTGGGGGCTAAACCCCCCCCCTCCCCTATCCTTTAGAAATGTGAGGAAATTTGTTATAAGTAATTGTGTGACATATCGAAGGTGAAATATACTGTCAGGCAGACCACGTATACCTATCTCGGTTTGCGACGTTGCAGACTCGGCCTTACTTCATTTTTTAAATGAAAAACTACTTCACGTAAATTCTTGAAAACTTCCGTGATATTCCCTCTCTAAGCGAAGAAAACACTGTGAAAATTTCGAGGAATAATACTGATTTGTTTCCTTTAAACAAATAAAAATAAAATGAAAGCGGAATTATTAAACACCGCAAACGAGATACGTGGTTAATTGGTAATTTCACCGTCGATACCGTCGATATGCTTCATCCTCGAATGTTGTAATCGGTGAGTTCAAAATTGCGCCTGGTGTAACTTCATGTCTCAAAATTTTCCGGGGAGATTCCTCGGACACCCTTCAATGCGAGGGAAATTCCCCAGGCCTTACCTTGGAATAGTAACCCCCCACCCCCCGATTTCCTCAAAGTGTTATTCCTATTTGCGCCAATGGTAGGTGGTACCATTTATATTAAACACTTTGATCTCCATTCATTTATATCACTTGAAAAATGAGACCTGAAAGCAGCGCACCGCAGTAGCAATGCAGGCACAGTAGTAGAGACTCAAAGATGTGTATTTTTCTTTTTTTCGTACGGCCGTATGAACTCTCAACGCCATTTTTTGGTCAGCAACGGGACCACTGTGTGGCGAAATCATGCGCATAGTCGCGTAAGTGCTTGTGCAATTGATGCCACTTGCGGAACTTACGGATACGAAACGTCTCTCTTATTCAGACAGTGGGCGTTGCTCAAATTTTTTCGGATAAGATATTTCTTGTGAGAATAATTTGGAATATTTTTCCATGATTTTATCGCTTGTATCCATGCAATAGATACAGTTGAAAATCAAATTCTCCGAAAATTCAGCGACACTTTTTCGATTGAAAATGTATGATCCATACAAGTAAATTTACAATTTAAAAAACAAAAACGAAATTGATCTTTGACATACTTTCATTGTTTAATTTTCCTGAATCCGATCAGCGGAGAAGGCATCCATGAGCCTTTCTGATTGAAAATGTATTCGTTTGCTTTATGGCAAAGAGAAAGAATATACATGATGCGCAAGCTAGTAGAAGAGTATCGGAAGTGGGGTCTGGAAGTCAGCATATCCAAATCTGAGAAGATGACTTTTGGCGGTGATCAGCAAAGCATTGAGTTGGAGGATGGGCAGCAGATCAAAGGCTGCGAGCACTTTAAGTACTTGGGAGTGCGGTTGACCCAGGATGGAAGGACGGATCAAGCTATCAGGGAAAGGAACACCTTAGCAAGGAAGGCTATAGCGATGTTAAATGGAATCCTCTGGGATCAGCGGATTTCCAAAGATAACAAGAGGAGGATATACAACGCTGTAGTCAAAAGTATATTAACATACGGATGTGAAGTTTGGCAGCTGAAGAAACGGACACAGGATATGCTAAGAGCAACGGAGATGGATTTCTGGAGAAGGTCAGCAGGAATTTCTAGGAGAGATCGGGTCCGTAATGATAGAGTGCGTCAGATAATGGAAGTCGAAAATGACATCGTGTTCGACGTCATGACCAAACAACTTGTTTGGTATGGTCATGTCAATAGGATGACGGAAGAGAGGCTGCCAAAAAAGATGCTTGATTGGGTTCCTCCTGGGAGGAGACGTAGGGGACGCCCAGTGAGAGGTTGGCGACAGGGGGTGTTAAATGAGATAAGAGATTGTCAACTCCATGATGACCTGTGGGAAGACCGAGCTTTGTGGCGATTAGGCGTCGCACAGCGCCAAAGAGCGCTATAAAAGCGACTCATATATATATATAACTTTCGAAAAATGTAGCAGAAATAAATGATTTCCAGTTCAAGAAAATGGACAGTTCTCTTGTTTGATGTAAAATGTATGATTATTTCTCTATCAAGTAAATTGATAACAGTTCCAACTTTTTTGCATTTTCTTGCTTAAATCAGAGAAGCTCAAATTTTTGAAAATTCGAACCGCTCGTGGCGAGGCTGTAGATTTTTCAAGAACCGTCAAGGTGACCAGACACAAGTCACCAGATAATAGCACGTGCCAATAACAGAAAGCGCGTATTCGAAGCCACGTATTCCGCGTGTGCAGAAGAGCACTGCCTTCATTTGTATGTAAATTTTGCGTTCATCGAATAAATTAGTCAACGCAAAATTTGAATGTTCCAGAACTCCTCTACAGCTAAAGTAATGGATATTATATTTGCGTTGAGGGAAACAATAGGAGTAGTTAAAAGGAGAGAATCGCGCGGATTGGAGAAGACAGGGCCAGAGCTTCAGAATAATGGAGGAACTCAAAATAAGTATCTCCATTGCAGTCCCTCTTTCTACCTTCCTCTTATCACAAGCGTAAACAAAACATGACCATGACATCATGCGTGGTAAACAGATAACATGAGTAAGTATGCACTGACGTCATTGACAGAGCGCTAACGGAAATTTATCTGTTGGAGTCAGGTACACTGCCGTTTTAATGAAAAAACGCCGTATGAACCTCCTTCAATACATTTTCTTCAATACAAACCTAATTTACTAGGAAAATTGTGAATATTTTTCCTCATTTTTTTCAGACAATTTTGTTCGCAATTCTATCTAAAACGTCTGAAAATTTCAAAGAAAAATTCGCATAATTTTTTTTTCAAAAATGCATGTTTTATCCGGGGCAATTTGGCAACTCTCGAAAGTTCATACGGCGTTCTTCCTTAGCACAGCAGTACACCCCAATGGTTCACTGGGGGATTATTGCCACGCACAAGGGAAAAATTCCTATGGAAAACTAAAGTAATCTATCCAGCTAATTAAAATTTAAAGTATTAGATATTGAACCTCGGTTCTGATAACTGATGTCTTTCGTGGAGAATACGAGTCTCAGTTTGGCTACAGGTTCGATTCGACTAAAAACTTACAAGCGAGTCTTACCAAAATTGATTATACAAGAGCCGCACGTCGAGTCGTGTAGGATCAGGACTCTGAACAGTGGTAAACAATACGGGTCAATTTATGGACGATAATGCGCCTTCATTTTCGTCGGATACCGTGCAATACTTCTGTGGCGGAATAGTTGCTCAGAGCGCCTTCACGAGTACCTCCTCGACTTGATGTAGACGCAGAGGATCGCGACCGCTATGATATCTATACTATAAGCTCCGAGACCTCCTAATTTTGCGTAACTGGTAACGCTTAGTTCCAGCGTTCTACCGGGCCGATTTTCATGATTTTTGCGGAAATCGACGGGCAATTGTCTCTAGATTAGCCCATTCTATTCAGTTTTTCAAAATATGACCCAGGTTTTTTTTACATTACGTGGTAAAGTTGCGAATTCTCCCATTTAAACAATGTAAATTTATACTTTTTGTCATAGTTCGTTTGAGCGTTCTACCGGGCCGATTTCCATGCTTTTTGCGTAAATTGACAGGTAATTGGCCCTAGATAAGCCCGCTTTAATCAGATTTTGGAAAAAGGACCCAGGTTTTTTTAAAATCACGTTATAAAAGTGAGTGAGTTTACAGAATGCTCCGGTACTGCTACCGCTATGCGCGGGAGGATGCGCAATGGTCGAGGAGGTTGCGCAGTAGCTGGGTAGCCTGCGCATCAGCTCTACACTTATCTACACAAGATTCGCACCTGAAACTTCATGTCGTGCGGTGGCCGGGTCGTCTAAGACATCAAATGCGTCTGCTATGATCACAGTGTGAGTTCGATCCCCGACAAATGAAGTCTTAATTATTTCCTGACTGTCATTGTTCATTTTTTTACTGCAATATTTCATCAAGCAGTCATTCCAAAACGCGTCCTTCTAATTTTAAAGTAATTTTAAGTAAAGTTTAAAATTAAAGTATACCTCATATCGTATTTTTTTAGGGGAAAAATAAAACTAACACTGATAGGAGGGTAAAATTGCGTGTTTTTTTTGACAGGAAACTTGAATTACAACACAATTTTTCAAAATTCGAAAAAGCAAGGAATGGCGTTCGCCTCGAGTGCTATCTGTTTGATCGATTTTTGTGAAGCTTTGGTGTCAGGAGGTATTACTTTTTGACGCAAAAACCAAATTTCCGGTGAAATGTTCAAAATTCAAAAGTCAAAAATCTAAAATGGCGGAAGTAGCTTAAAATGCTATCTTGGCACCCTGTGGGAGAGGGGTATATGAGACGCGTTTACTCGTGTTGGGCACATTTTTTGTGAAAGTCCCGTCAACACTAACAAAAGTTCAGTTCCGTAAACCCATCTCTGTTTGGACAAGACCTTCCACATATAAAAAACGAACGAAAAAATTATGAAAGAACAAAAACAAATGTGGTTAATAATTTAAACTTCCACTGCACCGTGTTGGTGCCATGCGTGAAGTATTCATGCAGTCTTGTAGGCGCTATGCGTTTCACGCCGACCGCCTCACCGCTCCGTTCTAGGTCAAATCGTGTGTTTGGCTCTTAACTCGACTAACTAAAGGTGTTGTCTCTTGTATCACCGAAAGACGACAAAATTAGAAATTACTATACTTTCACTCTCAGGGATTTTGTCGCCTTTTCTCGTTTGTAATTTATTTTCTGAATTCGATTTTTTCCTCTCTTTTTTTGATACCCCCTAAATTTTGCCGCCATGGGCCGCGGCCCATATGGCCACCTTCTTAATTTGGCCCTGTTCAGGTATCCATTCCATTTCCACTCAATTTCAAAATCGATGAATAAATCTCGGTTGACTTAGACCTCGATATTGGCGCAATCCTCAATCTTTTCGAATTGATACTGATTGTTTATACATTCATAGGATTATTCTTCTATTCCTTTTTTTTTACCGTCTCATTTGATCATTCGGAGAAATAAAGTGAAAATTCATAATCTTTACATCATATACGTAAAAGCGATCTGATAATAACTCTGATTAGAGGAAATGTAAGATGTAAATGAGAAGACAAAGAAAAAAGAAAGAAGAAAGGATTATGAATTATGTTTTTCTTTTTTTTTTACATTAGAGATGTGCTATTATGGAGCTTGTAAATTTAATGAAAAACGTATGTATGTAACAACATGGTAACTATCGCAAGGCGACTTCTATAATTATCAAAGGAAGAAGTGTCATGGAAGATTTTTTGGCTTTCGTTAAATTTTTAATACAGGTGTATTTTACAAGAAGACTTTAATTTTGCCTCACCTCCGGATGAGTTTGAAAGGAATGTGTGTTCAGTTCACCGCACCGGTTCGAGGAAACTGTCCATATAAAGTTTTCCTTCAATTTCTGTGTAGGCAATAAGCCTATACCTGGGTGCGCAAAACTCAATCTCTCCGTACCAAAATACCAAAAACGAATTTTCTGTCGAGCATATGCTGCATATGTGAGGCAACTTGCTATGTTCTTGCCTCTATTATACCTCCAACCTTGTACTAACAATATATTGCTAGATATGTAACGTCATACGTCTTTAGATCACACGTTGTCCGTAAAATATGGAATGGAAAAATTAGGTAATCATGTGGTTCTCTAAACAATAGGCACTACGAGCTTTAAATATCCATTGCGGACCTTCGTCTAAAAATATTTTTGCCTATTAAAATATGTGAAAAAAGATAATCCTGTGACTGAAATAAAGTATGTCATTTACTGCCACAATCCAGAGAATCATTGCATTGTATAGAGGCACAATGTACATCACAATAATTATGCCGCATGTCAATGTGCGAACTTCGAGTATGTGTGCCTATTTTATGGTTGGTTGGTTGGTTGGTGAATAAATTTACTTAAAGGTGTTAGTGGTCAAAAATGCGTGCCAGTTGTTAACAATTCATCCTTGCCGTCACCATAAAAGAAGGAAGGCTAATCAGTTTTTTATAAATGATAATTAAAATGTATTTTTTATTTGAAATTTGATGTCTCAGTGTGCTTTTTGCCTTTTCGAGCGTTACGGAAGTTTCCTTATTTTTAACTAGGCTTTGACAAATGGTGCTAAGTTTTCAGGCCTCAGAATGAGTTAATTTTCTCTGCAACTCTTATCCTTATAAGTGCATGGAACTTGTTCTAAAGTTTTTCGCCTTCAGAAAATTACGATCAAATTTTTGAGGAGTATATAAGACGTGAATCGAACCTTCTCCCTCAATTCTCAGATCTCATACAGAAAACATACATTTTAAGCAGTACACACCAAATCACTGAAATTATTTGGAATGGGAGGGGGTGGGGGATTAGAAATATACATGACAATATTCTTTATTAATTAGTGGGAAATAATTACTTTTAAGAATAATTTTATTTAAATAAATTATAACAAGTGAATATGATGAAGTCCACAGACGGAATCACGTTTCCGTATCGTGACTAGATGAAAATTGTTTATCCCTCCTTCCTTAGAGAGAGGGGGAACAAACAAAATTGAAAAAGATCAAACTTTAGAATTTCAACCTAGGCATTTTTAAGGTTGATCCAAGAATCCAAGATGGACATTATTTCCACACTTTTTTGTAGATTTCTCTTATTTGAGAATATTGATTCCGTTACGAGTTAGTTTTCACCTTCGTCTTTTGCTTTTCTTTGAAGCGGTCCCACAACTTTTTGAAATCTTGAACCCCCTTTTCATTTAGCTCCTGGTAATCCGGTACAGCTTGCTTGCAATGAGCAAACCATCGCACAATATTCGGATAGTTTGCAATGTCAAAACCGACGGTCTGGAACATAAAATCAAATTCTTGAAATAATGAGGATGTTTGAACTTGCTGTCACCGTCATCAAAAAAAAAGGTTCTAGAGAGGAATTGCAAGCTTGAATATCAGTAGCGTGGCGTGCTTTGCGATGTATCGATTGTCGTTAAACCCCAAAAGTATCCAAAATCGCAAATATAGCATTTTCTGAAAAGAAGTTGAAGGGTCGAAACGTCCAAACCTCCTACCTCTGGACTACACCTGTGACCTTCATTTAGTACTTTACCCAGGTACAATACCTCACTTGCGTTCAAGTCATGTATATTTTTGATGGAAGAGAGAAAATTTACTTACATTCACTGATGATACGCCCGCAAGAAGAGAAATATCAGCGAGAGAAATGTTTTGTCCGGTAACGAAATCCGATTTCTTCAACATATCATCAAAGATTGGAAAAGATTTAGGCACTTTTTGGAACCGTTCTTCATCATGAGGAGCAGGTCCGAGCATGCAGTAGTACTAGAATAACAAATATTTGAAAAACATTTTGATCTGAAATATGGGCGAAGTAAAACTGAAACATTCCATGATAATAGATCCATGGAACAGTGGAAGAAATAAAACTTTGGGCAAAAACGCGCGAGTTTTTTGTTTTCACTAATTACCTACCTAGAAATGGGCCATGCAGTAAATGCAATTTATAGTTTTTGTATACGAATTTAAGCATCCTAATACATGTTTCCTAATTAAAATCTTACATGTCAAGCTTATTAAAATACAATTTTAATGTATTAAAACTTAAAATATGGGGCAAGAGGACAATGATCTTATTGCTAAATTATGTTTTATCATTCCAGCAGGTGTGCCTGTCAATCGGAAATTTTAGTTGGGCGCAACATTCGTAGCTTTCTGGAAAAATTACGGTCGTTGCCGGATCATTTTTACGTATTTAAATCAAAGGAAGTATCTCCGTTGTGACTTGAGCCCTGAGATCCATAGGAATACTCGCATAACGCGGCCCATGTCACAATGGAGATAGTTTCCTTTGATTTAAATGCGACTATTTGGATGATCAGTTATAACGTGGAACTTACCCAATAATCAATAAAAGGTTGATAAAAAGTATTCATGTCAAAATCCAGCGCTTGGTCCACTAGTGCTCTTTTTTGAGCGTCTTTAGGGTACAGCGAATCGTCTTTCCCATATTTGTTTGCCAAGTACCTCATAATTGCCCGGCTGAAAAATGATAGGAATTGCGCATAATTAATCAATTTCGGGTTGAAACTAGACGCAAGCTGCTACAGTCACGGGGAAAAGTCCATTAGCCGGATGCCCACTGATTATTCAAAAGTTTTTTCCGTGCAGACAATTCCTCTTTTTCTACCTCTCTCCAAATCAGACTCCATTCACTCATTTGTCAAAAACCTAAACTTATTAAATCTTTATACGAATCATCCCAATTCAAAACGTTTGTCTCACAATCGACCTATAATATCCTCCCGGGCTCGGGCGATTCCAGCGTGTGCGTGTCTTGTTCCGTACTGTGATTCCTTAGTTTCCTCTTAAATTGGTAGGTTGACCACACGCATTACATTCAAGTATACAACCAACCACCGCGACGCGTCCGCGCGTGTTTTGTCAGTATGCTGCGCCGCCGGCGCGCACAGTGGATCGAGTCAATAGGAAAGGTCGGACGAAAATTGAAAACTTCAAACCCTCATAACTTCGTGAATACAAAACTTGGAGGTTTTGAAAGTGGTTCCATTGGTTTCCTCCGGAAATTCTCTACTGTAAGCACCCCTTAAAGTTTAAAATGTAACGGAATAAACATCGGAATTAGCAGTTTTAGTCATAAATTTCATGTCCGACCCCGCTAATTGACTCAAACCACTGTGCGGCGCGACAGGCGGGCGACAAGCGCCTGCAAACCTAAGGGGATACTTCACGCATCGCGCAATGCTAGAAGTATCCCCTTAGGTTTGTAGGGGCCTGTGCGGCACGCCGCGCTGCTGCGCCGCATAGTGGATCGAGTCAATAGAGGAGGTCGGACAAAATCTGGAAACATTTAAAGCTTATAACTCCGTTTATACAAACTGAGGTTCCAAAATTGGTTTAATCGGTTTTCTTGTAAAATTTTCCTCAGGATGTACGACCCCTTTGAAAAAAATGTGACGAAATAAACATAAAAAATTGCAGTTTTAGTCAAAAATTTCATTTTCGACCACTCTGATTGACCATGCGCCGTTCCGCCGCTTGAGAGCGATATGCGTCATAGCACGAGGAGTCAGCTATTTGAAACATGTTGCATGAATCAGGGGGCTTCGAGATCGAGTCGATGAAATTCGGATTTTTTAAGGTCAACTCCCAAACCGTATACCCGTAGCCTCCGACTGGCGGCCTAAAATAACGGAGAAAAACATCTAAAACAGGTTGATTCGGCCACCTCGTTTAAAATATTTCAAGTCCAAATTTGGCTGGCTAAGATATGAAAACGAGCTAAAAGCCAAAAATACTTCAGTGTATTCAACCACATGATGTTAACACAACAAGCTAAAGATGAAAATACAACTCACAAAAAATGTGTCAAAATGTGCTGTCTTTGTGAAAATGTTTCCATTGGTTTTTGATTGTTGCACGGAGGAAGACCCGCCCAATCCTCTGGGTCGAAATGTCTGCCGCTGTAAATAATTTTTAGTGAATTGTATTTTCATCTTTTGCGTGTTGTGTTGACATCATGGGGTTGAATACTCTGAATTATGTTTGGCTTTTATCTCGTTTTTATATCATTCACTATGTCTTGTATAAAGTTGTTTTTAGTTCTATTAAATCGGGCTCAAAAGTAAACGAAATCCACTTGTGGTAATTTGTAAAATAAATAAATAATTAAATAATATTGATAAAAACGAAAAATCTCACCTTTCGTATAAGACGAATCCGTCGTCATCTAAAACGGGTACTGTGTGCTGAGAGTTCATCTAGAAAATGAGGCTGGTGAAAAAATATTGCAAACAAAAAATGTTAAATAAACCGAAACATCAAAGTAGAGCTGAAGGGATTAGGGATAAAGCTTATATATGGTGAGGTATTGATCAATCTCAGTATGATTTGTACAAATGCGCAACGCACGTAAACCATAAATTTTTGTGCATAAGGAGGAATCAACGCGCATTAAAAATCGTGTATTACTAGCTCATAGCAGTACTCTAATTTTTACATCTGAAGAGGAAATCATTTTGGAATTGTGTTCACGAAGAGAAATATAACAAAACAATGATATATCTCAATTCTCAATCGACGCACAGTGGATGGAGACGCACAGGTCAGACATCAAAGTTTTGACCAAAACTGCAAATTATGACATTCACTTCGTCACATTTTAAATTTGAAGGGGTGCTTCAAGAAGACAATTTTACGAGGAAATCAATAGAACCACTCTTAGAACCTCAAAATTTTGTAAAAACGGAGTTATTAGCTTTTGAAGTTTCCAAATTTTGTTCGACCTCTCCTATATTGACCAGGCACGTAGCCAAGATTTTGTTTCCGGGGGGGGTTGGTCGGTTGAGCGAGGTTCTCTCTCCTCCTCCAAGGGGGAGTTTGGGGGTATGGAATACCTCCCAGCTCAGAGGAGGTTCGGGGGCTCCCTCGGAAAATTTTTGAAATTTTAAATCTATTTGGACGCATTTTGAGGCTTCCGTGACGCAGACTTTCCATCAATTTTTGCGGAAAAATTAATTTCCTGAAAATTCCCGCCTCTATGTTATTTTTTTGAAGGAGATAACAAATTGACATCATTTCTTGAAGTTTTTGCAGAATTTTCTTCGCACAGAGAAGAAAAATCACGGCAGTTTTAAAGAATTGTAGTTTTCCGTTTAAAAAATAAAGTATGACAAGAAGTCTGCGACGCGACGTCGCAAACCGAGATATGTGATTGCCGACTTAAACCATGTGGATATGGAGTTTTGCTATACAATGGTAAAGCAAAGGAAGGATGTAAGGTTGCGTTTCAAAATGAGGATTTTGCAGTATCAACTTGCCATATATTATAAACAGCATTTCTCCAACAAGCTCATGAACTTTGAACTTTCATTCGCCATAACTCTAGCTGGGATTGTAATTTAAAGATTCTTTTTGTCTCGAAATATTTGCAGCGTTCTCCTCTATGATGTGGTATTACTAATTGTTGAGGTGTTTTTTCCCATTCGAACTGGGACTTTCCCCACTGTTGTTTTTTATTAGTAGTCACTCACCTTCAAGAACTCCGGTGTTTTATGCTCATTTTTGAAAAGGTTTGTGAATTTTAGATTTATGTTCACTTCCAGGAGTTTTGCAGCCATTATTACAGCACGACAAGGAGGGCTGAAAGGGATGTAGTACAGATGAAGCCGCCCCATCTGCTATAATAAAATTACACAGATCATTACATGAAAGAAGCTATGTTCTAATGATGTAATATGCTGACCGCGTCCGATTAATCTTGACCGATAATGGAGCTCTTGCATGTAACGGGGATTTGCGATTCAAGGACTTCTTCCATCGTAGAAAGCGAGAAACACGATGGTACCACTGCTTTTCTCTGTAACAAACTCCAAAGCTCCAAGAAGCTTTCAAAATTGAAGTCGGGGACCATCAGGATCACCCGCGTTACGCTGAGAGCCCACCTCCATATCTAATCGAACTCTCTATCCATCCATCGGGTTTGCGGACTCCAAAGATGGAACTGCAGCAACCCTGCTAATATTTACCCTGTTTGTGCATGGAGAGTTATAGAATATTTGGACATATAGAGGTGGACTCTCAGCGTAGCGTGGGGGACACCCCCCTCCCCCCCCACCATTACGACCTCATCAATTTGGAGAGCTTCCCTGGAGGTTTCAATTTTTTTCCAGAAAAATCAGTGGCTTTATTGTGTTTTTCCTGTAACTTTAAGTGAGAAAAAGTACTCAGCTTGCAAATACATGACACATGCAAGAGTTTCATTTTCATTATACGTTCCTTTATAAAAATTAAGACGGTTGAAGGACAAGGCGCACGAGTGCAGTTTTCGCTATTGCGAGAAGTGTGCGTGTTTGAAGTTGTGAAATTACACGGATCCTTATGGCGGAAAGAAAGTTCAAACTGACTTCTTGATGTTTAAAAATTGGAATATGGGAGGTATTTTTCACAGAATATGCATTGAGACTAGTTTTACTTGAAATTAATAATACGTCCATTGTTTCAAAAACTGCATGCACTTATGCACCTTATTGTCCTCCAAGCCCCACAATGGTTGATTGAGTTCGGATTTGTCAAACTTTTTTTATACTGTGATATTGACCGTAACATACAAAGTTACATCTAAACTTACGATTGTCATAAATTCTCACAGAAGATAAGATTTTGAAATGAATACAAGATTAGGGGGTTTGGTGGAATTTTTCCTTCCTTCTTTTCAGCGTAAAATGTGATTTAATTCACTTTTATGAAGTTTTTCAAATAATTCCACAAAATACAGAATGAAAAAAAGGAACGTGCTTGCGTAAGTCAAATTTTGAGAACCTATTTACCCCTCGCAGGGATCGCATGATAGTTTTGAGTAGATACCCATAAACTGTCACACATTTTTTGAAAAGAAGGAGGGGGGGGGGTAGCCATTTGAAGGAACAGCCTCTTAGGATCCCCCTAGCTGCGTATGTGTGCTTATCATCCATCACTGGCAGTGTGCTTTTTAGTTCCCGGCCAATTGTTATAGTAGAAGGTGATCGCAAGTATCAGTCTACTCATTCTGTAGATATTATTTATTTCCATCGTCACTTACCTCAGTGGAATATGCAGCAGTATTCCGCACATGACAACTCGCCAAACGTTGTGTGAATTTGAACATTAGACGATTTGTATTGTATTACTTGCCGCAAAGAAAGTGTAGATAAATAACTTAAATTCCCGTGATAAAATGATCACGAACTGCACCGATTCAGAGTGGAGTTTACACTGATGGGAGAGCAGTGTGTGCATACACCGTGCACCGTGCAGGCTCGCGCCAAGCCGCGTCTTAGCATGTATACGCAACGATATGAAAGCGGCAAGGAAGGTGCAATGGCCTCTTCTGAACGCTCAACGTCCAACCGTCCAACGTAACGTCACTAGAGTTCTAGTTGTTGCCGAACCGTGCTACGACAAACTGATGCCAGTTCGACGGACTTTTTTTTAGGGGATTCGATGTACGCCATATTTTGTGTCAGAACGGCATGCAATATATCGCATCAATTGGTTCCATTTTTTCAGGTACTCGTCATTTTTCTCCAATTTTGAGATCGCGATTCTGTTGTCAGGAGACTAAAACACTCACTTACCAATTTTAACTAGAGTCCCTTTATACCCAGAGTTAAGACAACTCGATTATCAGCTGACTGGCAGCCGGCCTTTGCTGGCCATGGAGGCCGAAACGAGTGCACCCAAACGAACGATATTGAGGGATAAGGATCAGGAATCCTGCGATGTCTGTCACACAAAAACAACAACATCAACAAATTGATCAATTAAAAGGAAAATTAGATTGGTTTGTGAATAATTTCTTAATCTATTTTCATTTTAGACCGATGGAAATAACAATTTACTCTTGATAAACCACAATTAGGTAATATTTTCATTATTCTTGTTCACATTCGAGGTACCGCCATCTTGGTGCACTCGTTTCGGCCTCCATGAGCGAGAACCAATCAGAATTGGATTTTTTTTTAGGCCACTTTCAGCCCAACCAAAAGTGAGTTGTCTTAACTCTGGGTATAAAGGGACTCTAATTTTAACCAAGAAATTCAACGTAATAAAGGTGTGGTTTTTTATAGAGAAAATATCGCAATCGAGTGCAGTTTCGATTTCAGTATCGAATGTGATGTTTTCTCTCTGAAAAAACCACGCCTTTATTGCGTTGAATTTATTTGTTAAAATTGGTCAGTGAGTGCTTTAGTCACAAACTGATTGCGGTGGACGCACGGGTCGTTGGTATGTTGGAGTATTTTTTTCTGCCAACGTACGTTAAAAACTCAGCATTAAGCTGAAAATTCTCACAACAGAGGGAATAACTCCTTTGGAGTAACGGTTTCCCTCATAGAGATATGCTGTTTGGTGCAACACTAGTTACGTCCATATTCAGGAAGGCAACTGCAGACGCGTTTCGGCCTTGTGCTTTAGTCTCCTGACAACAGAATCGCGATCTCAAAATGGAGAAAAATGACGAGTACCTGAAAAAATGGACCCAATTGATGCGATATATCGCATGCCGTTCTGACACGAAATATGGCGTCCATCGAATCACCTGGTACTCATCGGTACTCTGGTTGAGACGCAGTTTATCTTGCATTCACCGATGTACGAATACCGATGCATTAAGGAATTAAATTAAACCCTGCGGGCCGATAATTGAAATTGATAGACAAAGCTATAGACAAATAAAACAAAAGAAAAGATCCTATTGGAGAAATAGGGTGATTGCAATGGACTAAGGAGGTAGGTAATAGACTAACCAACGGCAACCGACGAGAGACACTTTAGTTAGTCCATCATTTCCTTCCTTAGTCTAGGAACCAATAGGATCGCTCCATACTCCCTATGTCTTCTTTGTCTATAGCTTTATCTATCGATTTCAATAATCAGCCCGCTGGTCATTGGTTTTTTAGTCACCCTTTTGATTTTGAGTCGTTGTTACAAGAGCTGCACATTGATAGGTAACACAGCACGACAAATTTCGGGTTTTGGTTTGTCCTTCGAACCAAACCAATTTTTTTCGATTCCTAGGTGCTGAAGAAGCCCGAAAATGGCCATATATTAACTTCAGGAAAATTGGCTGGTCCTCAGGGCGCCGCAATTTTTAATTTTTCAAAATTGAGAAAACCCGCGATTAGATTCTTGCAAATATCTCCTCGACGGTTCATCTCTCGAAAGGAACAAAAAACCAGCGGAAAGAGCATAAAATTCCCTACCGAAATCATCCTCCTTTGTTTTTTCTAACTTAATTTTTTGGTCGTGAAATTAACGTTTTTTTCAAAAATTAGCTTAAAAAAGACGCATTTTTGCTGATTTTAGGAGAAACTTTGCTTCATACCTCCAGCCATGATTATCTGAGAAAAAAACTGTCATGCTTATTGAAAAGAGCGTAAAATTTACTTCTAGAAAACATATGTCAATAGTTCCTAAACTTGATTTAGTCCTGTGAAACAGCAGTTTATTAGCTCCGCCCTTAAAATGTGATTTTTTCGACCATTTTCCTTGGAATCACGAAAAAAAGAGAACACATTTTTGCGGAGTATACTATAAGACGTGAATTGTACCTTCTCCCTCAATTCTCAAATCTTACACAGGAAACATACATTTTAAATTGCAGTTTAAAGCGAAAATTAGTGGAGAAGGTATTTTTCATAAATACGAAGCACATACCAAACCTCTCAAACTACTCTGGAATGGGACTGGGGGGGGGGGGGCATGAGAAACATACATGACAATATTCTTTATTAGTAGGAAATAATTACTTTTAAGAATAATTTTATTTCAATAAATTACAGCGAGTGAATATGATAAAGTCCACAGACAGAATCATGTTTCCGTATCGTGGCTAGGTGCGACAATTCTTGTTTATCCCTCCTTCCTTAGAGAGAGGGGAAAAACTAAAAATTGAAAAAGATTGAACTTTAGAATTTCAATCTAGGCATTTTCAGATTGATCCAAGTATCCAAGATGGATAGTATTTCCACGAGATCTTTTGTAGATTTCTCTTATTTGAGAATATTGATTCCGTTACGAGTTAGTTTTCACCTTCGTCTTTTGCTTTTCTTTGAAGCGGTCCCACAACTTTTTGAAATCTTGAACCCCCTTTTCATTTAGCTCCTGGTAATCCGGTACAGCTTGCTTGCAATGAGCAAACCATCGCACAATATTCGGATAGTTTGCAATGTCAAAACCGACGGCCTGGAACATAAAATCAAATTCTTGAAATAATGAGGATGTTTGAACTTGTTGCTGTCACCGTCATCAAAAAAAAAAGGTTCTAGAGAGGAATTGCAAGCTTGAATATCAGTAGCGTGGCGTGCTTTGCGATGTATCGATTGTCGTTTAACCCCAAAAGTATCCAAAATCGCAAATATTATAGCAAATTATTGAAATAATGAGGATGTTTAAACTTGCTGTCGCCGTCATTAGAAAAAAGGTCTCCAAGAGAAATTACACGCTTGAATGTGGAATTTAAGCGGTTTATACTATAGTGTTTGTTTCCGTCAACCATGTAAGCATATCCTCAAGATGAAATGGACTTTATTTTGCAATTAGGAACTATGATTTTTGCCCTAATTTACAAACGATGTACGTCCCATCAGTTTCTCCATGTCCATGCGAGTTTTTTACCGTTGAGCCAGAGGTTGCGTAGTTCCGAATTGCAAACTTTGGTCCAAATGATTACCGTGCGGACAGAATTGTTTCATGAGCCATTGATATTGTAAAGAGGGAGCTTACACCCCAAAAGTATCCAAAATCGCAAAAATAGCATTTTCTAAAAGAAGTTGAAGGGTCAAAACGTCCAAACCTCCCACCTCTGGACCGCACCTGTGACCTTCATTTAGTATACCACCCAGATACAATACCTTATATGCGTTTAGACCATATTTACTTTTGATGGAGGAGAGAAAATTTACTTACATGCACTGATGATACACCTGCAAGGAGAGAAATATCAGCGAGAGAAATGTTTTGTCCGGTAACGAAATCCGATTTCCTCAACATATCATCAATGATTGGAAAAGATTTAGACACTTTTTGGAACCGTTCTTCATCATGAGGAGCAGGTCCAATCATGCAGTAGATCTAGAAAAACAAATATTTGAAAAACATTTTGATCTGAAATAAGGGTAAATTAAAACTGGAACATTCCATAATAATAGCTCTACGGAACAGTGTCGAAAGAAATGAAAGTGTTTGCAAAAACGGGCGAGTTTTTTGTATTCACTATTTAACTCAGAATATGCCAGTAAAGAAGCTATAGCTTTTGTATACGAATTAAAGCATCCCGATACATGTTGCCTACTTCAAATTTTACATAACAAGCTAATTAAAATACAATTTTAATATATTAAAATTTAAAATATGGAGCAAGAGGACAATGATCTTATTATGAATTTTTTTTTATCATTCCAGCAGGTGTGCCCGTCAATCGGAAACTTTAGTTGGGCAACACTATATCTTTCCGGAAAAATTGTGGCCGTTGCCCGATCATTTTTATATATTTAAAACAAAATAAGTATCTCTGTTGCAACTTGAGCCCAAAGGAATACTTGCATAACACGGCCCATGTCACAATAGAGATGGTTTCATTAAATTTATATGCGACTAATTAGATGAGTAGTTATAACGTAGAACATACCCAATAATCAAAAAAAGGTTGATAAAAAGTATTCATGTCAAAATCCAGTGCTTGGTCCACCATTGCTCTTTTTTGAGGGTCTTTAGGGTACAGCGAGTCGTCTTTCCCATATTTGTTTGCCAAGTACCTCAAAATTGACCGGCTGAAAAATGATAGAAACTGCGCATAATTTCATCAATTTTGGGTTGAAACCAGATGCAAGCTGCTGCAGTCACGGGGAAAAGTCCATTAGTGGATGCCCATACAAGCTGGGAACGCCCATTCCTAAACAGCATCTCTTCCATTCCTTCAAAACCTCTTCAAGGTCCCTTTTAAATAAGGTTGGCGACAAACAACACCCTTGTTTAAGTTCCTTAGTTATTGAAAACCTCATTGATAACTCCTTATGTGATTTAACCCTAGAAAAGGCCCCATCATAAAATTCTTCAATCCTTTTCTTCCTCTAACTTCTTTAATTCCTCTAATTCCTCTTTTTCTACTTTTTTTAAATCAGACTCGACTCATTCATTTTTCAAAAAACCTAAACTATTAAAATCTCTATATGAATCATTCCATTTCAAAACGTTTATCTCACAATCAACCTATGATATGCCCCCGGGCTCGGGCGATTCCGGCGTGTCTTGTTCCGTACAGCGATTCCGTAGTTTCCCCTTCAATTGGTAGGTTGACCACACGCGTCACATTCAAGCATACAACCAACCACCGCGGCGCGTCCGCGCATTTTTTGTCAGTATGCTACGCCGCCGCACAATGGATCGAGTCAATAGGAGAGGTCGGACATTAAATCTTGGACAAAAACTGCGAATTTTTATGTTTATTTTGTCACATTTTAATTGTACGGGATGTATCTTAAAGAAAATTTCACGAGGAAACCAATGGAACCACATTTAGAACCTCAAATTCTTGTATAAACGGAGTTATAAGCATTTGAAGTTTCCAAATTTTGTCCGACCTCTCCTATGGACTCGATCCACCGTGCGCCGCCGCCGCGCCGCATAGTGGATCGAGTCAATAAGAGAGGTCGGACAATATCTGGAAACTTTAAATGCTTTTAACTTCGTTTATACGAACTTTGAGGTTCCAAAAATGGTTTAGAAGCACCCCTTAAAATTTAAAATGTGACGAAATAAACATAAAAAATTGCAGTTTTAGTCAAAAATTTCATGTCCGACCACTCTGGTTGACTCGATTGACTGTGCGCCGTTCCTCCGCTTCAGAGCGATATGTGTCGTAGCACGAGGAGTTAGCTATTTGAAACCTGTTGCATGGGCTTCGAGATCGGGACGATGAAATTCGGATTTTTTAAGGTCAACCCCCCAACCGTATACCCGCAGCCTCCGACTTGCGGCCTAAAATAACGGAGAAAAACATCTAGAACAGGTCGATTTGGCCACCTTGTTTAAAACATTTCAACTCCAAAGGCTGGCTAAGATATAAAAACGCGCTAAAAGCCAAAAATAATTCAGTGTATTCAACCACATGATGTTAACACAACAAGCTAAAGATGAAAATACAACTAAAAAAAAAAAAAATGTTTCAAAATGTGCTGTCTTTGTGAAAATGTTTCCATTAGTTTTTGATGGTTGCACTGAGGAAGACCCTAGTCCTTATACATACATAAATCGGACTCAATAGTGAACGAAATCCACTTGTGGTAACTTGTAAAATAAATAAATAATTAAAGAATATTGGTACAAATGAAAAATCTCACCTTTCATATAAGAAGAATCCGTCGTCATCTAAAACAGGTATTGTGTGCAGAGAGTTCATCTAGAAAATGGGACTGGTGAAAAAGTATTGCAAACACAATGTTAAATAAACTGAAATATCAAGGTAGAGCTGAAGAAATAGGGATAAAGCTTATAAATGGCGAGTATTGGTGAGGTGTTGATCAATCCCAGTATGCATTGTACAAATCCGTAACGTACTCGAAATGTACAATTTTGTGCGAGGAGGAATCAACGCTCATTTAAAATCGAGAATTACTAGCTTACAGCCGCACGATAATTTTTGTATCTAAGAGAAGAAATCATTGCGGACTTCTGTTCACGACGGGAAATATATGTACAACAAAACAATAATTTATCTCAATTCTCAATCGACGCACAGTGTATCGAGTCAATCAGAGAGGTCGGACATCAAATTTTTGACCAAAACTGTAAATTATGATATTTATTTCGTCACATTTTAAATTTTAAGGGGTGCTTCAAGAAGGCAATTTTACGCGGAAACCAGTGGAACCACTTTTAAAACGTCAACATTTTGTAAAAACGAAGTTATTAGCTTTTAAAGTTTCCAAATTTTGTCCGACCTCTCCTATTGACTCGATCTATTGTGCGACGAAGCGTCTCACACAATGAGCCATTAATGATAACGCCTGGATGCAACTATGTTTATGCTCTATTGATGACCATGTTGCATACAGATAAAATTGCAGGCGCTTCGGATGCCTCGATTCTTACGGATAAACGTCACAATCAGTCAGTAGTCGCCGAAGGCGCACTTATCATGAGCAATTAAGGCATATAACAACACTGGAAAAAAAACACATTGGATCTAGAGTCCAGACTCTTGAAAACATTGACAAGAAAAAATACTCTTGACTCAATCAGATTTCAAAAGAAATCTCAAAAGAAAATCCGCTCAAATTAAGAGGCTTGGTTCTTTATTTAAGCTTAAATCTGATTGAATCAAGTCATTTTTCTTGTCGGTGTTTTTAAGAGTCTGGACTCTAGATCCAATGTGGTTTTTTTTAAGTGAAGAGCGACTACAAGGCGTTTCCACTCCACCATAACGGAATTATTTCAGCAAGTTTAGGCTATAGTGAATCGAGCTGGATAAATTTTTGTGGTATTTAATCAATTGCCAACTTTTCAATTTCGGACCTAGATTTTTGGAGATTTAAGGGGATATGGAGTTTTGCTATACAATGGTAAAGCAAAGGAAGGATTTAAGGTTGCGTATATCAAAGTGAGGATTTTGCATATATTCTCAACTTGCCATATTAGAATAAATTATAATCAGCATTTCCCCAACAAGTTCATGAACTTTGAACTTTCATTCGCCATAACTCCAGTTGGGATTGTAATTTTTGTATATTTTTTATCCCGAAATATATTCGTAGCGCTCTTCTCTATGATGTGGTATCAATAATTGTTAAGGTGTTTTTTCCCATTCGAACTGGGACTTTCCCCACTGTTGTTTTATATCAGTAGTCACTCACCTTCAAGAACTCCGGTGTTTTTTGCTCCCCTTTGAAAAGGTCTGTGAATTTTAGGTTAATGTCCACTTCCAGGAGTTTTGCAGCCATTATTACTGCACGACAAGGAGGGCTAAACGGCATGTAGTACAGATCAATACGCCCCATCTGCTATGATAAAATTACACAGGTACATGAAAGAAGCTATGTCATAATGATATAATATGCTGACCACGTGCAATTAATCTTGACCGATAATGGAGCTCTTGCATGTGCCGGGGATTGGCGATTCAAGGACTTTTTTCATCGTAGAAAGCGAGAAACACGATGGTGCCACTGCTTTTTCCTGAAACAAACTCCAAAGCTCAAAGAAACTATGAAAGTTGAAGTCGTAATGGCGAGGATCACCTACGCTATGCTGAGAGTCCACCTCTAAATCTAGTCAAACTCTTTATCCATCCATCGGGTTTGCGAACTCCAAAGATAGAACTGCAGCAACTCTGCTGATGTATTTACTCCCTATTCGTGCATGGAGAGTTAAAATATTTGTAGATACAGAGGTGATCTCTCAGCGTAGCGTGGGGGACAGCCCCCCCCCCCTCCATTACGACCTTAATTTGGAGAGCTTTCTTGGGGGTTTGAAATTTTTTTTTTCAGAGAAATCAGTGGTCTCATTGTGTTTCTCCTGAAATTTTACGTAATAAAAATACTCAGCTTACAAATACATGACACATGCAATAGTTTCATTTTCATTATACGTTTCTTTGTAAAAATTGAGAGGCTAGGCGGACAAGTCGCATGAGTGCAGTTTCCGCTATTTTGAGAAATACGTGTTTAAAGTTGCGAAATTACACGGATCCTTATGATAGGAAGAAAGTTCAATTGACTTTTTTATGCTTAAAAATTGGAATATGGGAGCGATTTTTCACAGAATATGCATTTAAGACTAGGTTTGCTTGAAATCATTAATGTCTCAATTGTTTTAAAAACTGCACTTATGTGCCTTGTCCTCTAAGCCCCTCAATGATTGTTTGAGTTCTGCTTCGTCGAACTTTTTTTATATACTGTGATATTTGACCGTAACATAGTTACATCTAAACTTATGATTGTCACAAATTCTTACAGAAAAAGAAAATTTTGGAATAAATACAAGATTATGGGGTTTGGTGGAGTTTTTCCTTCCTTCTTTTTAGCGTAAAATGTGAATTTTATTCACTTTTATGAGGTTTTTCACGAAAAGCAGTATGAAAAAATGGAAGGTGCGCTAGCGTTGTAGAAGTCCCATTTTGAGGACTTATTTACCCCTCTCAGGGGTCTAATAGTATGAAGTAGATACCTATATACAGTCACACATTTTATTAAAAAGAGGGAGGGGAAGGGGCAGCCATCTGAAGGAACAGCCTCCTAATACCCCCCTAGCTGCGCCAATGTGTGCTTATCAGCCATTATTGGCAGTTTTTAGTTTCTGGCCAAATGTTATGCTGAGTGCAGGTATTAGTCTACTCATTCTATAGATATTATTTATTTTCATCGTCACTTACCTCGGTGGAAAATGCAGCAATATTCCGCAAATTAAAACTCGTCAAACGTCATGTAAATTTGAACGTAAACAGTTTGTGTCGTATTACACGCCGCGAAGAAAGTGTAGATAAATAATTAAAATTTCCGTGATAAAATGATCTCGATAGGAGGACTGCACCGCTCAAGAGTGGAGTTTACACTGATGGGACATGGCCTAACGAGACTAGGTCTGTCCTGTCCGTGCGCAGGTCCCCCCGCCCGCGCGGCTTCACAGCCGCCCCTCGCCCATCGGAGTTTTGCCGTGACGTCAGCAGGAGCCCACTCCGATTCCCGGAATGAGGAGCACGTGAGTCACACGAGAGTCGTCGGATAACCTGCTGAGACATGCCACTGAAAGATTTGTTTTAGCCATGGCTGGAGTGAAGTGAATATTTTTATGTGTTTAGTGATGTACCTAGTCTAGTCATAGTAGTTATTGAAGTTGAAGATCGAAAATGGGCTGCTGCAGCCGAATGAATTAGTTGTCAAGTACGTGAAGCACGTATAGGAGACGACGCGACACCTCATGCGTCTTCAAAACTTCCCGCTCGAGTGGGCTCCTGCTGACGTCATGCGCAGAAGAGGTCTTATTTTCGTTTTCGGAAGGACAGACCTAGTCTCGTTAGGCCATGCTCAGAGACAAGCCATGCTGATGGGAGATCAGTGCGTACACGCGCGCGTCAAGCCGCACCTCAGCATGTATAGGTACGCAACGATATAAAATGGGCAAGGAAGGTGCAATAGCCTCCTCTCATCGCTCAACGTCCAACCGTCCAACGTAACGTCATTCGAGTTCTAGTTGTTGCCGAACCATGCTGCGACAAACTGATGCCAGTTCAACAGTCTTTTTTAAGTTCTCTGAACGCAGACGGAAAAAAAAAACATTTACTAAAATGGCAAAAAATGGTTTGTGATTTCTGAAATTCGCTTTGTTTGCTAAAATGCCCACCCTCGTGGTGAGGACGACAAAATAATTTGAAAAAATAGTAATTTTTTTGTGCGAAAATTGCAAACTATAATTTTGCGAATAACATTACTATAGGTACCCGATTATTGAACTTGATAGACAAAACTATAGACAAATAAGACAAAAGGAAAGATCCTATTGGTGAAATCGGTTGATTGCAATGGACAAAGGAGGTAGGTAATAGACTAACCAACGGTAACCGACGAGAGACCCTTTAGTTAAGTCCATCATTTTCCCCCTTTAGTCCATAAGAACCACCCATCTCAACCAATAGGATTGCTCCATACTCCCAATGTCTTCTTTGTCTGTCACTTTGTCTATCAATTTCAATTATCAGCCCGCTAGTCATTGGTTTTTTAGTCATCCCTTTGATTTCAAGTCGTTGTTGTAAGAGCTGCACATGGATAATTGATTTATCTACGAAACAAAGAAAAAGTAAGGTTATTTTTGGATTTGTTTTATGTGTTTTTTTTTTCAAAGTTTCCCGCAAGGAAATATACTCATAACGAGTAGTTCAAAAATCAATTTTTCCTGCCGATTTCGAAACATTTAAAGTTGAGATTGCTCAAAGGTAAAAAGTAAAAGATCAGACAACAAAATGTAGTTCTGGCGAAAATTAGCGATTGTGGTGATTGCGTTTCCATCGAATCGTACATATTAATAGGTGGTGTACAGATGCACCGATGGATGTTGTAAGAAAATTTTCGAAACTTACGATAAATAGAAATTTCGGAGAAAAAAACACACCAGGTATGACAGTGATTTTCGGACACAGGAAGAAAGACTAAAACTTGATTTAAGGTACTAATGAAAAAGGTCAAGAAGCTTTTGTGGAAGATTGAAAAAGAGAAATTTTAAATCCACTTCAAATCTGTACATTGCATAAAATAAAGAAGTACATTTTAAGTATAATACTTATATAAACTTGATACATTTATAATTTTGTTTGACTTTACGTCGCGGTGGTTTCATTTTTGTGTTTCAGGAATATGGTGATATTCATAAATACTTGATAGGTACCTCTATGCTGCCGTGCCAAGGAAGAACATTCGAAAGTTGCCAAATTTCCTCCGATAAAATGTTTATCTTTGAGAAAAGTTATGAATATTTTTCCTTGACATTTTCAGACTCTTTAGATCAAAGTACAAACCAAATCATCTGAGAAATTAGAGGAAAAATATGCACGCCTGTAAATTAGTTATTTATGTCGAATGACATTTGGCAACGCCTGAAGGTTCAAACGGCGCGGCGCGGCGTTTTTCCTCAGCACGGAAGTATGTGTATGGGGTATTTTTGCATTACCCAATTAATGGAAAAGTTTGCTTGACAACAATTTAAATAGAAAATTAAATACGAGTAATGCGCGATGATTATGTTAATGTAGTGAGTTATTGCAATTTTCGAACTGCATACTGATCCACCAACTGTTTGAAGAGAGCAGCACCCTCGGCGTTAGCTTCCTCGTAATCTGGTAGAGTTCTCTTGCATGCCGTAAACCATCTATTGACATTCGGGTATTTTTTAAGATCTATTATACCGACAATCTGGAAAAAAAAGGTATTTTATTTTCAGCAACTATGTGCAAACAACTTCTTGTATTTTAGTCCCACTGGAGTTTTAACCGCTCATAAGTAAAAATTATAAGATAAAATAAGTAGAGTCTTCGAAAAAATCATTGCATGCAATAATTGCGAATATTGTATAATCGGACATGGATGCACCTATTCGTGTTCGTGGGATGTCTATGTTGCATGCATGAAAAATGAAGGCGCCTTAGCGTTGTGCATTATTGCAGTGGTAGTTCTAGTTTCAAGTTTAGTTGCAGTTCAAGTGGCAGACAAACATTAACACCAAGTCACCACTTAAAACATTATTTCAAAAGCTGTAAATGTATATGAAGAAACACTCGCTCTATAAAGTGTGTGAGTGAGTAATGATAAAGAGAGGAGCATACATTACAAGGAGCTACCATATATCAGCACCCTGCCTCTCATTACCTACTATTTCACATTTTAAATGCATCCATGCATCTATGTATCAAGACAGGATATAAGCAATTTTTACGTGGGCCCCCGTGTTAATAATACGCAGGTAAAAATATCAAAACACATGGGAGTCAAGGTCGAAAATGTGTTGAACGAAAAGCCCGAGACATTCTGGCTGGTCATCCAGTTATTATATGTCGGTAAATGGATAAATAATTGGAGACGTATTAGTAATCTCAGCATCGGACTGTGAACGGCAAGAATAATTTTTCATTTCTTTGTTGTTTTCCTCCCAATGAATGGATCACCAACCAAAACGTAGTAGTTTCAATGTTTCAATTAAGGGACTTGTGCGGAAAAAGCTCCCTCATTTTAAATTAAAACGTAGAAGGTTATTTTTGTTCATATATTTTCAGCCTTGTTTACAAAGTTTTCTTTTTATTTTTTTCTTTATCGTCATCGACGTAAGTATAGGCCTTTAACGTATATAAGTAACCAAAACGTAATAGGTTTTCGTTCATATACATAGAGTACATAGAGTCGTAATGTAAATGGGAGAGCTGGCGCCATGTTCTGCTCGACGAATTCCGAGCCCGGTGTGCGCCGCTCGGGTCGCTTTTTCGATACATTTTCGATCCAAAATGGCGGTGTGGAATACGCTGTAATTCCTATCTCCTTTGATGTTGTTGTTGTTGTCATCGGATGGCCGGCCGGGTGCCCGTGTATCGCACAATCGATTACGTATCGAAAAAGTGACCCGGCGTCACACAGGAGTCTCGGAATTCGGGACATGGAAAATGCTTTAAAGTGGCGCCAGCTCTACCAATTACATTACGACTCTATGTACTCTATGTTCATATATTTTCAGCGCTTGTTTACAGTTTTTTTAAATTTTTTTTTCGTCATCAACGTAAGTATAGGTCTTAGCGTATAAGTTTTAATGAAACCTGATCCAAATATTGATTTGAAGTGCGGTCTCTGGGAGCATACATATAAGCTGATGTCACACGATCAAATCGAGCTAGCAAATCTTCAAGGTTAGATGTTGTGATTGGCTTATTTGATGACTTGGACCAATCACATGCACCTCACCTTGATATATTGATGGCGGTTTGATCGTGTGACATTAGCTGTTGGGTGGAAAATTGCGTGAATGTGAAATTACATCGACTGTTGAGACCGAGGCTGCGAGAGACGCATCTGCCAACGTGATTGAGTCCCCTGCTGCGTATATAGATCCCTCCAGCATTACATCCAAAAATCCAAATGCCTCCTCCAATTTTCTCAGCTTATCCAGATCAGCAGGAGCTCCGAAGAAAGTGCTGGGGTACTGCAAAGAACACGAAATTCGAAAATTTGACGTTTTTACCCCAAAATAAAGTCAATGAATGCATTCATTGAAGGTTCTGCGGCTTTTTTTTTTTTTTTTTTTTTTTTTTTTTTTTTTTAATTTTAATAATGCATAGGCTGTCTAAAAAATCTGATGCTCCGTTCCAATCCAATATCCATTAATTCTCCTCATCAAGTCACCAATTTACATATTTTTAAAGAGCATTTTATAAAATCGGTTTATTCGGCCTTATAGATCGACGGTGAAACTGAGACAGTGGCGTGGCGTGCTCTGCAATATATCGACTGATCGGCCCTTTAAACCTATGGAAAAGGATCGATAAACAGGGTGTTCGCAGCGAACACCTTAATAATCGATTCTTTATCATGGGTTTGAATGGCATAACAATCGATATATCGCAATTCACGCCACGCCACTGAACTGAGACCACGTACCTCGTTTACGGTGTTAAAAAATCCCCACTGCCATTTTACTTTTTTAAGAAGGAGAAGAAATCAAAATATCCTCTCTTGAAATGTTTACAGAGTTTTTTTCTGCACAGAGAAGAGGAAGCATATAAGTTTTCAAGAATTAACGTTGAGTAGTTGTCCATTTAAACAATAAAATATGACTGAAAGTCTACAATGTTGCATACCGAGATACACGGTCTGGAAGTTTTATCGTCGATATCGCCTCTATATTTTTTATCGTATTAAAATGTACGTTTTTGCCTCATTTATTGAGAATGTAGGCGTTAGTAATACATTGCTCGCACATAGAGGATAGAATATTGTGCAGTAATGACCAAGAGTAAAGCTCTTTTTATTTTGTTGGTATTTTTTCAAAGCCCATTCAAGAGAGTAATGAAATAAAATTAAAAGTGCGATACTGTAAAAAGAGGATGCTTTTTAGGAGATCAATGCTACTTGAAAGAAAAATCATTGGTTTATTCATTTTTGTATAAACTCACAAAATAGTCGATGTACCGTTGCAAAAGGGTACCCATGTCAAAATAGAATCTTTGGTCAACGATTGCTCGTTTTTTAGGGTCTTGAGGGTACAACGAGTCATCTTTACCGTACTTGTTGAACAGATAGGTAATTATTGCACGGCTGTAAACAGAAACCAATTTTATTAAACCTTTGTAGATTTGTTTAATTCAAGAATGGAATCACGATATGTAAATGAGGCCAGTTAAATAGATTGTTCCAGATAGATTGTCTTTCGCTGAAGAGAGTGTTCCGTTGAATCGGAAAAATCGAGAATCTGTTAATGCAGAATATTCTGGAAGACTATTACTTTTAAGCTTAGGAGGTTTCTGCTGGTCTCTTCTTCTTCTTCTTCCTCTTCTTTTTCTGTAGACCTGAATTATCCTATGCGATAAAATATTTATTTTTGAGGAAAATTAGCCATCCCTTTCCTTGAAATTTTCAAATAATATTTTAGATTGAATTTCGAATGAAATTGTCTGGAAATTTTGAATGAAAATATTCACAACTTTTCCAGAAAATCGTTTTATGTTGGAGGAAATATGACAACGCCTGAAAGATCATACAAAATTCTTCTATAGCATGAAAGTTTGAGCGTTTATTCTCAGAAATTCCAGTTTACCCGTACCCTGATTCCAAAAGTTTCAGTTTATTCAGGCTTGCATGAGCTCTAGTCCAGCATCACTAGTCTTAGTCTCCAGTTAATTTTTGTACCCTGTGCTGAGAATGTAGTTATCTCTTTCCAAATCTTGACTTTTAAAATTCAAACGAACAGCAGATGAACGTTGGCATCAAAAAACCAAAACTACTATGAAACGGCTAACATTTTTTTGTAGGTACTAGAAGACAACTACAATAAACTGACCTTTCCCACAGGTAGAACCCATTGTCATCCAACGTTGGGATTGTGTGTTGAGGATTCATCTAGAAAACAAAAGTCAACTACATATTCATAATAGTTAACTTTCATCTAGGAAAGGAACCTTCAAGAATTGAAGGTATATCTTCTGCAAAAAAAAAAAAAAAAAAAAAAAAAAAAAAAAAAAAAAAAAAAAAAATTGAAAATATTAATCCGGATAAAACTTTTTTGATTTGCGGTTCAAAAAAGAAAGAAAAAACTGGAAAAATTTACGCAATAGGAACGTTCTTCGGGATTTTTTAAAATGTGCTCTTAGCGAATTTTGGCTTCAATTTATTCAATTCACCCGGAATTACAGATAATTTATACGATAAGTTCTCTAGAAAACTGAGGGTACGTGTTGAATCGTCGAGACTTGGCGAGAAGACGCTAATGCGTCTTCAGTACGTCACTGTCATCTTAATGCAAAAAATAAAAGACTTTCAGACTCCTGAAATTGTGTCCGCATCCTATTTTGATGGGGAAAAAATTGGATGCTCAATTTAAAGGATCTATCTCTATGTATTCTGGCTTGAGTCATGTATGTATTTTGATGGGTCTCAAGGCCCGGGTCACAATAGGGCTAGTTCCTTTTAATTTAAATACGTTCAATTTGAACATCATTGTGGCCACGATCACATAGAACTTTTAGGAAGTTCGTTTAAGATGTCATAAACTTACCTTCAGGAAGTGTGGTGTCATATTTTCACCCTTAGCCACGTTTGTATGCTTAATGTTGAGGTCAACACCGATTAACTTTGCCGCCAGCAAAACACCGCGGCAAGGTGCACTCGCTGGGTGGAAGTACAAATCGATCGTCATGTCTTCTTAAGGTAAACAAAATTGACCATGAAAACTTGCAAAAGTGTTATGAAAAATAAAATCTTATGATTTAGGATTGATAGGTAAAATAGGTTGACAAGAAATATTATTTGAACGCAAAGCCACGAATATCAGAATACTAGTTTTCATCACGATTTGCCTCACATAGATTACTCTTCATTTTTTGCGACCGGAAAATTTGTATTGCTGAACATAGAATACGTCAATTTTACATTCACAAGTTGAACTCGGAATTATTATAAGCTCATTTTGCATCCCACATAAAGTTGTGTTGAAACTCATGTGTTGAGTCTAACTTCTTTTATGGTCACTTTTAGGAGTTGATATATTTTTCATGTCACTTGGAGGTACTGCTCCAGTCCCAGTCTTTGGTTGACGCAATTATTGTTCGCGTGCTTGTACTCAAGTAGCACAGATTGCAATAAGTGGCAATTCCATTGTAAAAAATATTACAATTCCACTGACAATGAGTGTTGTGTATGCTGCCTAGTTCCTATTTGAAGGGGCCCCATTCATTGAAACTTATTCAATAAGATTGAAATAAGTTGCAATTTTTCATTGCATTGCGCATCGCCCATCTTTCTGACACATGCAGCTCATTTTGTCGATTGTTAAACATTGGCATGAATCGACTAAATGATGTAAAAATATTGCAATTTAACGGTAAAAGATTTAAAATTGTATTGAAATCTAATTGCAATTTAATTTCAATCCTTTCGTTGCACTGTGCTACTTGGGAGTTTCAAAATGTTACGATGTAGAGTGCAAAATGAATAGGACTGCTTGAAAACGATTTTTTTTTTAAAATTAACCTCCTGATAAAGAAATAAAACGATAGGAGGTTACAATTTGTACTTCTATGAAGCTCAACCTCGGAAACACACTGACAAATGGTTGAAAAAGGTTTTTATTTTTTATTGTTATTTTTACTTTCGTGAAGATACATTCTAAGAACTTACCAAATATGAAGCTTTAAAACCGAGTCTATAGAATCTCCAAAAGTAGAACGTTCACTGTCAACCGATTGACGATTTATATCCAACCATTGAACTGACAATAAAAGGGAAATTGGTCTATGCAAGTCTTTACAAAGCCTGTGTACGTTTTGTGGAGCGTTTTGGATCGATATCCGTATCAGAAAGATAGGTTCCCTATCTGACGAGTGTCTGAAATAACTGTATTTTTTCCCGAATTCAATTAGCACCTCTTAAACTCGTCGTTCGTTTCATACAAAGCCGTGCCTTTTTGAGGATCGCCAAAATGATGAAGGTAGTGAGATGAATGACACAAATCCATTGATTAATCTCATTTTGATTAGGCTATCTCAAGAACAGCCATCTTCCGGATGAACTGACGCTCCTCTTTGCAATTCATTCTGTCGAAGACTATTTAATTGGACTGGATTTGACGATCAGCAGGTACTCAATGTGGGAAAAAAAGAAGAAAAAAAACAGGAAGAGAATTTTTTTACCCCTTTGACAGGCTTTATTAGAAAATGTATCACTCTGAGCATGTAAAGTAGAACAAGTGCATATATGGTTGCAAAACGTAAAATTATGGAAACATATTTACCAGAGCAAAGGATTTAATCTTAATGACGCTGGAAATTGACTATACCACTAAATTTAAAACCAAGGAACAGTAGAGACAAGGCTAACATATATAAAAATACACGGAACGTTTCGGTTTCTCACGATACTATTACCAACCGCAAAAAAGTATAAAAATAAAATCTACTATAACCTATACCAGATTTCCCCTGCAAACAGACCCAGAATGTTAAATATTCGCGGAATATTTTGAACGGAATATTCTAAAGTAGGATATTCCCAAAACATTCTCTGAATAATCTGTGCAGAATGTACATTGTTGAATATTCGGAGAACGTTCGTAGACTAATTACAGAAAATATTCTTAGAATATATTTAACTGAATTTTCACAGAATATTCCACACGTGAGAAAACAGAATATTCTTCGAATGTTACAACTTGAACATTCTAGGAATGTTCACAAAAAGGATATTCCAAAAAGATATTCGCAGAATACTCCTAGAAATATGATTAAAATATTATTGGAATATTCTTAATGAATAGCCTAGGAATATTCTTTGAATCCAGAACGCAGGTCAATTTTTACACTACATAGGGGATGATCACTGTTTCAATGTAGTATCCATCCATTCGTGTTCTAATCTAGGGCGAGATTTCAATATGAAATGCAGCCCTCCCCCGTGAAATAATCGGTCAATGTATTAGGTTCATAAATACGTTTTAGGCGGCATGATAATNCCGGCTACACAATTTCTTATAGCCTTTTATAGTCAATGGCGAGTAAGCAACAGCCTGGCAATATAGTGTATGCTAAACGTTAGTAATTACGGATGCTAGGACTTAGTGAGTTTTTGGACCACTGCTCTCTTTTTGGGCCGAAGTATCTTGATCTATGTTGCGAGGAAAGCTCCGTACTTTTGATGGATGCCTGCCATTCCTTATATATTAGAGCGCCTTCAGTTTCGTATGATACTGTGCAATACCTCTGGTGTGAAATAGTTGCTTCAAGCGCCGTGGCACACTGCGGTGGGGCAGGCGGGCAGCAAGCGCGAAACGCGCATTGGCGCCTACAAACCTAACAGGGATACTTCACGCATTGCGCAACGCGTGAAGTATCCCTGTTAGGTTTGTAGGCGCCAGTGCGTCGCCGCTCAGCTTTCTGTTAGGCTCTAATATTTAGTCTGGCGGATTCAGCGTTATTCAACTCATGATTTTGAAATGTTTGCACATCCTGTATGGATTATTCTTGTTTTAACTGATGAAAAAAATATGTATTAAAGGAAAATACAACGTGTGTTTTGTAAATACTAAGGTGGCTCTGTAGCAAACTTAATGATTTCCAAAGCACACGAATTTCTACACAATTTCTTATAGCCTTTTATAATCGATGGCGGAAAAGCAACAGCCAGGCGATAAAGTGTAAAGCCCGGCGACAGGAACTATAGCCCGGCTGCATAATTTTTTATCACTTCGTATAGCCCGGCCGTATGATTTTCTCCGCATTCTACGGCCAGCTATATGATTTTCTGTAGCCTTCTTTAGCCGGCTATAAGAATTCCCATGGTATTTTGAAACGCAGCTCTTATCGCCAATTTGTACCAGGGTATCAACACCATTCCATGTGAAGCCACGCTGGTTTCTTTCGATTTTAATCTATTTTTTTTATTTTTGTAATGTTTTAGCAGTCGATAATGGTGTCGTAAGACACCGAAACGTCTCGTGTATTTTTGTGTATTTTAGCCTTGTTTCCACTGTTTCTTTGTTTTGCCTCGACTATTTCCGTTTTGGGCTGCCTGTGTACTTTTGTCTTTGTTACTAAACTTATTTGAATTCATCATCACAATGAGGAAGTAAAACAGGGGAAAAACTCAATCGGTACGTAATTCTTTTATTGTTATGCATTTGTGCCAAAAGAAATAGACAAAATCCGTTTTTGCTGGCTTAAAAACAAAGCGTCTTTTGTACTTTTAAAAACCTATGCTTACATTGAATTTTGACTCGTGCGAAGGACGCCTGCTTTTAGAGGCCAATCGTCGTGTGACATAGATGAACATTTAAATATATTGTAAAAACTGCAAGAGTAACTTTATTCATCCAATTCACTCTAAAACATTACGGCTACATATACAAATAAAGTGAAACATGCATTGGAAATTTTAGATGACACATAGTTCACAATTCCTTTCAGAGCTAAATGCATGAATTTGTTTTTTAGAATGTGAGTAAAATTATAACTTTTTTTGAAGGAGATGATAAACTTGTCGCACGATCTTCAAGTATATATGTAGTTGATCATTACTCGTTTAACTGCTGCTTTAAAAAAAAAAAAAAAAAAAAAAAAACTGTTTGTTTTGTGAAATAATTGGACCTCCAGTAGTGGTGCTGAGGTTGCGACGAATAAAAAATATGAGCTGCTCTTGACGATGTGCACGAATATAATACTGCAGACTGACGAGTTCTCATTATTGCACGTAGAGGAAACCCTTTTGGTTCATTGGTTCTCATTGTTTCAGAAAATTTGCAGCGATGCAAGTTTCTCATTTTATTTTGACTTTAAATCTTCCCAAAGCTCTTTTAATTCAATGGCTCCTTTCAGATTAATTTCGTCATAACCCGGTAGTATTTTTTGGCACGTAGTATACCACCGGTGAATATTTGGAAACTTGGTGAGGTCAACACCAACCACCTAGAATAAAATTGAATAACATTTTTCCGCCATTAAAATTTATCTCGGGAGCAGAATGAGGACTTACGTCGAACGCTTAGGGTATGGGAAAGCCTCCTGGGCGATGGACTGAAGCATATAATTTAAATAATCATTAAATACTAAATTCTGCTAAATTTTGCTGATGTGGTGCATTTTTTCTTTCAATAAGGTACTCTCAATTTTTCCACAGACACTTCAAGTAAGCTGATAATGATGGAATAATGCCATGTTTGGTCTGCAAAAAAAAAGGTATGGAATACTCTGTTTGAGTGTTGTGATAACGTTCAATCGAGTCGGTCATTATGTGCTTTGCGCTCCCTTATCAAGTTTGATTTAAGCTTTTGCCAACTCCTCTCCTCTATAGAATGTGTTCAACCATAAAGCCAATTATGGAATTAAAATCGCTAGTTTTTGTTGATAGAAACTTTCTGTGTGAACATTTTTTCGAATGGCCTTGTAAGCTTTGTGCCCCTAAAGGCCTCATTTGTTATGGTGATGCTCTGAAAATAAAGTGTTACCATGAAACCAGAGGATATCAATGTCTCCGTTGTGCTCAGTTATTCACGATGCTTCGTTACGAATCGCTTGAAATAGCGAAAAATGAACCGGAACAACTTATTCTATCAGATTATATAGATCTGTGTGAACGTTTAAAAATTCGGGAGAAAGATCTGGAGAGAACAGCTGAGCTAACCATTGTTGCTGACAATTTTCGGTGCTGCCACGGAAAAAGTTTAAACAGTGAAAATTGTGGAGAATGCAATCCTCGGGCTCAAGGAGAGTATCTGTGCTTTCACACAATTAAAACTATTCTTTGTGAACATTCGCTCACAGCATATAAGTGTAGTATCTGCTCGCATTTTATCAACATTAAGTCAAAGTTTTATAGCGATTGCTACCCGTATAAACTTTTAAAAACTGATCATATTAGAACAGTGGCAGAGGTTAGCGGTGTAAAAGAATGGGGACTCATAACTCCTTCAATAGCTACAGTGCCGGAAATTACAAATACAGTGTTAAAACCGAGTGACAGTAGTAATACTTTGGTATCGAAAACTGATTCAAGAGTGATCTTAGACAAAATTGGAGAAATGGACGTATCACTAATTTATGATCCTAAGACGGGAAAAAATGATTTACCTGCTCCTGAAAGACAATCAACAAACCCCCTTGAGGACCGTCACAAATGGAAATCAGCAAAAAATAAAAAGATATGCAATTGCGGCAATCGTTTCTCAAATTGGAAAGGTCGTCCAAAGTATAAAAGAATTAGAAAACAGCGATTAAATCTTGCTGACAAATTTAATACAGACCACAAATCTCCCAACTCGAGTGATGATAAGAGCAAAGGAAAAACGGACACACGTAGTAATAAAAATAAGAGAGGTAATCATGAGCAGCCCACCGTCAATAGTGATTCAACAAATGACGAGTCTCTAGAAAAATTCTCTAACAAATTAGAAGAAAAGTATGAAAAAAGACTCGAAGTATTAGAACGTGTCATCTCGGCGCAATCTGAACAGATTTCCCAATTGATGACGATACTCGGGGGTCTTATCCCTGGTCTTATTGGATCAGCGGTGCGCCCTGCAAATTGAGACTCAAATTTCTTATCCCCAGTAGGTATTAGGAAATATAGGGAAAACTTATATATGTATGTTTATTTATGTGATTGTCCAACTAACAATAAGAAAAACAAAAATGTCATTCCCGATAGCGAGTATTCTGAATATTTCACTCTTTTCCTGCAATAGTTAATTATTGGTAAGCTAACGCAGGTTTTTGTGTGAAATCATAAAGAATGATTTCAGTTTTTAACCTCTCTAGAAGACAAAATATAACTTTGCACTCAAGAATGTTGGAAAACTCGCTATGTTTAATCATATCAAATTGTCAAATTACTACCTGTAGGCACGACGAGACAAGAGAGACAAACCATCTCGGTGTCGCTCCTATGATCTATTAATTGTCAATAGAAATACATATATAATCTCAGCCACTTGAAGATTATGAGTTCTAAACAACTAGATAATAATTTTGACTTGTAATTATATGTAACAGTTATTTTTAAGCGACATATTTGTCAACAGGCGACAATAAAGAAATTTAAAAAAGAAAAAATTTAAAAAAAAGAAATAGTCTCTTGTAGTCCAATCAACTATTATGTCTACCTCAGTTTTTATATTTGTCCTGCACTGCACTACATAAAATCAATCCTCGCTATTAAATGAGCATAGAGAATAGTTATATTAATTTAATACGCACCTCATAATTAGAAACAGTAGTGACGAGTGCAACATCAGCTATTGTAATAGAACCCCCTGCTACGAATTCTGAGTTCTCAAGTATTTTTTCAAGAAAGGGTAGATTCCTAGGAATTTCTTGAAATTTCACCTCGTCATGGCCTTTTTTCAAAACCAGTGGTAACTATTGGATCAAAATTTATGCCATTAGCATAAAATGTGAAAACCAAAAATAATAATATCAAGAACACGAATGTTTTGGCACTGTTTTGCAAAAGGAAATCAGGTGCCATGGACTCGGAGATAAACGGGTTGGAAGTTTCTTTTCTTCACAAGTTTCAGCAAAAATATTAACTTAATTTTTCGAACAATATACGTATGTCGCTGATATTAGATTTTTGTCAGAGAATAAGCTTCCGAAAAAGTTAGAAACCATCATTACCCAATGTTTTTTTCTAAAAATATCACCCGATTACTTTTCGCTAAAATCTACCCATTTTGACTAAAAAGATAGATGTAGATGAGATGTAGAAAATGATTTCCCTCATCTTCTCAAACTGTGAATAATCAAGTTTTGTCTCTTCTTTCCACCCAACATGAATAAATTGAAGTTTTTAAGAGAGAAAATGGCACAAAGACAGTTGAAGAAAAACCACAGATGGTCACAATTAACCCATAATTATATTATCAGTGGAGCCAATTATCAAACGTTTACTATAAAGAGTGTATTTAAACGTTTGTATGTGAGCTGCGATTCTCTCATGATTATATATGCCGTCTTTACAAATATGAAAAAGAAATTATTTGGAATCCAAGAGAATTTCAAGTTTAAGTACTTACAAAATAATCTTTGAAGGGCTGAAATATTATTTCCATATCAAAGAAAAGTCTCTGATCCACGATAGCTTTCTTCTGAACATCCTTTGGATACAAAGAATAATCTGTTCCATATTTGCTGGCTAAATACGTCATAATGGCACGACTGGAATTTAAAATTGGGCACCATTCCAATTAGAGCTTAGGTTTTAATTTTCTCAAATAAAAACTTCATCGTTTACTTTTCTCAAAGAAATGTTGTATTTTATAATAGCATTCTTTTCGCATGTTTGCATGTGCCGTTTATTTAAGAAGTTGGTGTGATTGAGTACATAGTGCAGGTTATCTTAGCCTGGTTACATGCCCTATTGCAATGATAGTTGGTGAGCTGCTTATCAATTCTTGCAATTTTTTTAAAATAAAGCTCTGTCAAAGAATCAAGACTGTCTGATTTGTATGCTGTCAGTTATGCATTTGGTTCTCCTTAACGATCCCACTTTTCAACAACAAGCATGAATAACTGCTTTCTTATTCCATTGATTATGCCATTCAAAGTTCTTCATTCCGCTGAGCTCTAACATTCGTGGCTGATCTCTCATTTGTTTTAGTACATTTTATTTGATAAAACGTGTCTGAATATGTAATTTTTTTCTAAACAAGATGTAGAGAACTCTTGATGTCTTTACCTTTCCGTCAAGTAAAATCCATTGTCATCCAGAACAGGGATCGTGTGTTGAGGATTCATCTAAAATAAAAAGCAATACTGGATTAGAAAGTTTGATTCGCACATCAATATTTTTGACCTGGAAGTAAGAGATCTAGGATCACAGAATTATTAGTTTAAGGTTTCTTTAAAGTTTTGTTGAGGGGTCAAAGACACTATTGCCTGCTCTGGGAATTCATCCACTATATATCGCTTTCTCTAGCTTCCTCTTTTGCGGCAGTTTTATAAAGAGTGCTCTCAGAAGAATAAATCCTCTTTTTGAAGTCAACCACCCCCCCCCCAAAAAAAAAAGACCATCTCCTCGGGAAAGGGGAGGTAATAAATGCATGCAAATATTTCAAAGGAACAATTTCTGTCAAATGGGACTAAAAGTTCATCAGAGCGTGAATTTTCGACCGAAAAGTATTCGACAAAAGAAAATACGAGTGACGTACATTTCTGTGCCCCAGAGAGTTTATAATAAATTTTAAAAATAATACAAAAAATTTGAGCTTCAAAAATAACAGATTAGAACATCAAATTGTCTTTTTGCTAAATCACTTTTTTTCAGTGCAATCTTCGAACCGTCCAAACTCAAGTTTCATTTGAGTTTGAATTTTTGGGCACTCACTGTTTAAAAATTCTATGGAAAACTCCTCTATGATACTGTGTAGTCCGTATTTTTTTCTGTTGAACGATCATAGAATGATATCCTTACCATTTTTTTAAAAGTTAATGAGAAAACTTCCTGTAACCTGCGATAAAAAGTCTACTTTCATGGAATCTTTGCTGAATATCTAAATACATATACTAATATAGACATCTCCTAAATATCACTAATCCCCAAGTAGCGCAGTGCAACGAAAATATTGAAATTAAATTGCAATTTGATTTCAATACAATTGTAATTCTTTTACTGTTAAATTGAAATAGTTTTACATCACTTAGTTGATTTATGCCGATTTTAAGCAATCAAAAAAATAAGCTCCCTGTGTCAGTCAGAAAGATAGGCAATATGCAATGCAATGAAAAATTGCAACTTATTTCAATTTTATTGCAATAAGTTTCAATGAATGGGGCCCCTTCAAATAGGAGCTAGGCAACACACACAACACTCAGTTGAATTGCAATATTTGTTACAATGTAATTGCTATCTTATTGCAAACCGTGCTACTTATGGGTCACCATGGTGTGCGAGCAAAATTATTGAAGAAAAAAATATTCAGAAGGATTAGACATTATTGTTCAGATCCAATGCGCGCTTGTCACCTATCAGCAAATGTTGCTACTTTTTCCTTCACTCTTAATTATTAGCACAAGAACGTGGTACGGACACTCCTTGACGGCACTCAAATTTTGCATGCTATTTCTGGTTAATTTTTAAGTTGATCATCCTAAACGATCTTAAAAAAATCGAACTTACCTTCAAAAATTCTGGAGTCAAGTGTTCCCATTCAAAGATATTGATAACCTTGAGGTTTAAGTCCACCCCGATTAGCTTTGCAGCTAATCTGACTGCACGGCATGGGGAACTTAATGAAATATGATACAAGTCGATAGTCATTTCATTCTGAAATTAAGCACAAGCAGAGTTTGGCAACTAATTTTAAAGAGCTCTTACGACAGTATGGTGTATTTTTTGTCTCCTTAGTTTTTAATGCATACATAATTTTATTCTTCATCAGCCCCTCAATGGTTTGCTTTTAAGCTTTGTCAAATGTTGTCAAAGTACCAACATCCTAATTACAACAGATTCTTGTTGGGTTATTCTCGCAAAAGTGAAAAAGGCAAATTAACATAACACGTCGAATTTGAGATCTAAGTCATGTTGTTATGCTTTTATTTTTGTTATAACCATCAACTACATCGAATGGTATGCGCTTTAAATAAGTTTACTGGCATCTGTAACGTGGAAGGTGACTGCATTCGATGAGACACTTGAGATAAAATTAATCTTAAAAATAAATACAACCAGTCAGCCTTAGAGTGTTTTAACTTCTCGTTAGATCATGAAGCAAGAAAGGGAGTCAGGATAACCAACATTACAATCTCATATTTTTCTATTCCAAAAAATACAGTGGGTAGTGCAACAAATCGTCTTTTGAAATCAAATGGCTTGTAAAATTAATTTTTCTGACGTTCGTGAAATGGTGAAGAGTGAGCATCATGGAATGCTGAACTTGCACTCATTCCACAGACGTCTACTTTTAGCTTTCAAACTTAAAAATGGTTCTGTAAAACTGTAAGAAAGCTCAACTTGAGAGTCTTAAGTGACTAACTAATTAACTGCTAAAATTAAGTTGTGGTCACCATGTTGTCTAAAGATTCTCAGTTTTTATCGTGCCAGGGTGATTTTATGACAATCATGCATGTGAAAATGAATGCTGCAAACTGCCGTGCTAAGGGAAAACGCTGTATGAACATCCAGGCGTTACCAAATTTCCTTCGATAAAACACATATTTCCTGGTACACTTATGAATATTTTCCTTTCAATTTTTCAGATACTTTTGCTCGCAATTTCACCTAAAGTTCCCGAAAATGTCATGGAAATAGATTCATAACTCTCCTCAAAAATGAATATTTTATCGAGGGAAAGGCAAGTCTCGAATGTTCATACGGCGTTCTTCCTTAGCACGGCAGAATTGCTGTTTTGATAATTACCACGGAACCAACACGGCCGCACTCGCCTTTCTTAAGCTGAGATATAAACTTTGTTGATGCAAACACTCGTATGATGGATTACGAAACTTAAAGAGTTCAACCTGTTCCAACGGATGTCGAACAAACACTGACTATTACTAGCTTTTCTGAACTGGTCTGAAATGTTCGGCGTGCGGTTGTTTGACCTGTCTCTAGCGAATCTCGCGCGCTTCTTAACGTAATCAGCTAATAGAAAAGTCAGCAAAACAAATTTTACTCCAGGGCTAATTAGCGGGATTAGAAAAGATATTAAACTTAGAGATATTATAGTTTGAGATATGCAATAATTAATGTGACAACGCAGCATCTTCAATTCACCGCGAAAAACGATAAAGCAGTCGCACCCTCCAAGACTTTACTAGGGTCCTCGTCCCCCTTGTTCATAGGCCGATACGCTTGCGTTGTGCAATCCCTTGTCTTCAACTTTAGTTCAGCTTCTTCTCTGTAGCTTTACGCCGAGGCTGGTTCAGTGCTGTAAAACTGAATACGTTCTACTTCGGAATTAAAAAAATATCCTATTGATATCATAACCTTAATTTCTTCAGTTATCAACTCGAAATTGCTTTTAAAATTTGCGTCACATTAATGTTTTTTGCACAAAATTTTGAGGCTGTATTGTAGCCCAAGCGATGACGAATTACATACGATCGTCGTAGAAGTTGCATATTCTTAAATTGAAGGCTTTGTGCAAGATACGAATTAGTCGACTTAATTTCACGAAAAATAATTCAGTGTCCTAAGAAACTAAAAATCGTAAAAAAATAAATCATTCAAATATTGGTCCAAACAGGATATTCTTAAAAAAATTACGAGGGAGGACCCCCGGATCCGCTATGTATTCTGAGGGGAGGGGGGGGGGGGGGAGACCTCCTTAACCCGGCTAAGCTCTGCCCCTTCCCCGTAACACATTCCCGGCTATACGTACACGTGTTTCGCCGTTTCGAGAATCAGTTTTTCTTACAGTCTTAAACGATATTGCTTAGTGTTGTGCGTCAGTTATGGCTGCGCAAAGATATGGGCTAAGCATAAACTTGAAGTGATGGCGGTAAAAGTAAGATGCTCCGGGATAGATGCCGCACAGTGGATCGAGTCAATAGGAGAATTCGGACAAAACCGGGCAGCTTTGACAATTAGTATTTACGGAAATAAGAAACAAAAAATTTAAAGAGTGGTTTCATTGGTTTTCTCCTGAAATTTCCTTTCAGAAACACCTCTTAAAATTGAATTTATGACAAAATAATCACCAAAATTTGAAATTTTAGCGAAAAATTTCATGTCCGACCGCTTTTATTAGCTCGATGTACTGTGTGCCATTGATACTCGAACCAAATATCTGCTTTGCTATTTTGTGAATGGATAAGAGTCGCTTTGTCTCCGAGGCCGCTCCCAATAGAATCAACAAGAGAGGCAGACTGTGTGTGCTACCACCAACTACAGCACCTCATCGAGTCCCATTAGAGATGTTTTCAGACCAACCGAAAAGTGCTTTTCCTTGGAAACTGTAGTCAACAATGTCAAACCGACTGTAAAAGCAAATAGACGCGCTCGCGATGGGGCGATGAGCGACAAAAAGTCATCACTCTAGAGAAAGGAAAGTCATCTGAGTTTGGTCTTGATAGACGATCAAATTCCCGAACCGCAATTACCATCAAAGTGTCGGGAGTCATCAGTCCTAAAATCATTAATTTGCGTAATTTTAATATGAAAACTTGGCAGAAATGTTTCCTGTGGCAGGAAGTGATGAATGGTGGCACTCCATTCTGATCTTACTTTGAATAAAATATTGCGGCCCGTCAAAATTTGATGGTAGATGGTGACCATCAGTCATCAGCATGTCTACTTTGATCGGAATTGGTTCGTAATTTGGTCGTATGTCCAGGGCTTACCAAATATGTATTTTTGACTAAAAATTAAAATGACAGAGAACCTACCATTTTAATCGTCGCGTTAAAATTATCGAAATTTCAATAACCAGCTAAGTAGATATTTATCCGAGGTTCGCCTTTATATTGTTGAATTTGATAGGCTATTTCAGCACTCATTTCGTCGTTTTCAAGACGAGAGAACATCACTACCTTAGCCTTGAAAAACTTTCAGCCATGAGCTGGCTTCTTACCAGGAGATTTTTGGAATTTTCTAACCGAAATTTCACGGATTTCTCCTTTGATTCCACCCAATGATCATCAAAACTTTGGAGCGACATTATGCAGTCTATCTTGTGAAAAATTGAACTTTTTGAATTAGTGACTTTAATTAAGTTGTATGCCCCTCCGCTTGAGAAACAATGATTTGAAACTCTCAACAGTTCCAATGGTGCTGATGAGTTCTGTTGTATATTGACTCAATATTATTGAGCCACCATGGTCAGTCAATGGATGAAACGTTGTCTAGACACCAATACAAGAACAACTGTCGAAATCAAAAACTCATGTTTAAATCTGACAACCCTCTCATGTTTCGCGGAAATTTTAAGGCACGGTGAAATATTCGCATAAACTAACCTGTATAATTGACCATAGTGACCCATGCTGAATTCTCGCGAGGCCCCAATTGGAGGCGCCATTCATTTCAAGGTCCTTGCAACTCTTTCGCAAGGACCCCATCCTCGTGCCCGCGTTGAATCTCGAGTAGAGCAATTATCGGCCAAGCTTCCCTCCATGTGCTTATTGTAATACGCAGCACTCGTCAAACTTTTAAATTTACATGTAGCTGGAAGTGGTTCGTCCCAGCCGCAAGTTTATTTGCAAAACGAGCACACCCAGCGAAACTCTCGCAGAGGCATTCACGGGTTGTTTTAGATATTTCAATATTGACAAAAAGCCTCCATGTCATCAAATTTGAAAAATTTAAAATTTCAACCTTTTTTCGAGATCAAAGAATTCTGAGGTGCCTGACAATACTTTGAGTCAAAGTATCGATTGCTCAATCGACTATTGAATAGTCGTCCAAAATGATGAGGATCCACCTCCAACCTGATTGGGTCCCAAAAATAGTTTTAGAGGTATCTTTCTCAGCTCTTGCACTGCTTAACTCGTGCATTGAACCTTCGCCATATTTTACAATTTTAGGCGACATTTTTAGAGATGAAACATGAGAATCTACCATATCTAAGAGCACGTAAACAAAAAATACGCACATGAATCATTTAAATGACATACATTTTATTTAATTTTATACAAATGAATCGTAACTAGGAGTATCTCTCTTTTCGAGGCTCCTTTTTCACTTAATAAAATTCGAAAGATTAAAATAACACGGTGGTACTAAACATGGCAAATATATTAGAAGAGAGAGTAAAATTTAATTGTTGCCATCAATGTCCTTTCGTTACGCGATCCAATGTTTGTCATTTATTGATATTTAGAAAAAAAAGTGTACAGAAGCTGCAAAACTGGTCGCTTTGTGTTTCAACAAATTGAACTATCAAAATAACGTATACCAACTCTTATCAAGAAACTGATTTGCCTCTGACCTTTTAAGATTAAAGATTGTACGAGAGAAAAAAGGAACATGAATTAAACAAAAAATATTTTACAAAAAACAATGCCTGTTGCTTTTAAAGTGACCTAAGATGTTCCCAGAATTTTTTGAAATCTTCAGCTCCTTTTTGGTTGATTTCATCATAGTCTGGTATGACTTTTTTGCACTTGTCGTACCAACGGCTGATGTTAGGATACTTGCTGAAGTCAACGCCAACCATCTGGAATCAAATTTCATAGGAGATGGTAAGTAAAAACAAAAGAAAAATGTAACAGGTAAACTTATAAAATAATCCAATTTTTCCCAAAAGGAGAAAGCAAACATACACGCAACACAAGCATACACAACACATACAAGCATACACATTTCATACACGCAGAGCTCTCAAAAAATGTTGACGTATATTCTTTTAGGTGTGTACGATTTTTTGTAATTTTTAGAAATTTTTTCTTAGTCATAAAGCATGCGGAAGGTTGGGAGAGAGGGGAATAAGGAAGCCGGAAAGGGCAAGGGGGAGGGGGAAGGGGAGGAGGGAGGGTGAAAGAGAGATATAACATTGGAAACATCGATGCTGAGAGACCATTATACTTTCGTAGTATTCACAATTGGAATTTAAACAAGAAATATGATATGCATTAAATCCAATGGAGCGGTAGAACAAAACCCATACTTTGGTGTTGTTCATTGCGTACATTGAAATAAAACTTCAAAGATGTTTTGTTGTATTATCATTAACCAGAGACAAATTTCTCATTGCGGAATTTATAGCAACGAGTGGTGATTCCTAAATAGCTCACTCTTAAGTCTTAATATACAAATAGCATTTATTTCTCTCCACAACAACATTATTTGTAATGGATATTTCACGAGCATGCAGGAATTTTTTTTCTCTAGAATCTACTATGACTTTCATGGCTACAAAACATCGTTTGGTCACTTGCCGATTTGTTTTAGAAAGAGAGGGAGAGGGGGAGGAGGAGGTATATTGTGCCGTATTCATCTCGCGGAGGGAAAGAAATGAGATTGCGGGCTAAGTGATATTCATCTTTAAACAAACATACGTACGTCATAATTGGAGATGATGGTAACGATTGACGCATCAGCTACAGTAATACTGTCTCCAGCAACAAATTCTGACTCTTCGAGTATTTTTTCGAGAACAGGTAAGTTCTTCGGGATCTCTTGAAATTTTTTTTCGTCGTGAGGACCAACTTTGAAAACCAGCGGCCACTAATGGGTGAACGTAAAAATGTACAAAGGCATTAAAATATAGAAAACAAACATATAAATTAGGCCCGATTATCGCATGCACAGGCAGAAAAGTATTGGATGTGAACTAGGGTGGTGCTCTGACCGTAGAACAGCTCGAGTGAAAATGCCAGGGAATGTCCCCACAGGTTGCGACGCCACACAATAACATGTTTTCTAAGTCCGGAAAAGCTTTATGGCTGCACTGAGATTTTTGCCACATATTTGCGGGGGAAATGAATAGCTCATACGATATTTTGTCACCAAAATGGTATCTGACCTTGATTCCTTCCACTCATTTCTAAAGAAGATCAACAAGTAAAATACTCGAAGGAATGCCCCAGAGATTTCCTTCACAGCGCTCTCTTATGCCCATGCTCATTGCTCATGTTAGGAGTCGAAATTTAAAAACAAGTCAGCCTAAAAACTTTAAAGTAATAGTTTACTATAGTAGTGGAAAACTGTATCATGATTAGGGCTGACCACTTTCTTGTGACAATAATAGGCATCTTGCTGAGTGGCGTATCGACAACGGAAGTGAATGAAAGTATAGGTATTAGATAATTTGTTTTAATTTTTACATGGGGTACAGCTATCCACCAATAAAGTATGTGCATACTTTTTCTCCATGCTTAGAAAATGAGTCCCGCATTATTCAGGTATACTTACGAAATAATTCTTAAAAGGCTGGAATAAGCTTTCTAAATCAAAGAACAACCTCTGGTCCACAATTGCTTTTTTTTGAAGATCCTTAGGGTATAGAGAATCGTCTTTTCCGTACTTGCTGGCTAAGTATGTCATGATGGCACGACTGAAACGAAATCCAAATTATCGAATTACAAATTACGAAAACAAAACGCTCTGAAAATTTTTAGTTCGCATTTGAAGTCATGAACTTTTCAACGTCTTGTAAGTAACACTGGCATACATTCGTCTTTAACAATTTTATCGCATAAACAGTTGTACGTTGATGTATATTTCTGACTGGATTTTTTTTTCTTGTTTCGAGAAAACAAAAATTCTGGGATACACGCTGGATATTTTTTCCTTATGTATTCATGCAGACTCTGCCGCATTCGTTGTTCTTCAGGGGCCGCAGCGCATATTTCAGGAGGACAACGTTGTATCACATTTTTTTTAAAAAAAAAATAACAACAAAATTCTCGTAAAATTGACAGCATCGCTTTAAAAATCAGTAATTTATCAATCATCGGTATTATAAGCAACGCTGGAAATAAGTTTAAAAGAAGAGAAAAATGCAAAATTGCCCGCATTGAATGGCGCGCGCGATGAACACTAAACGAATGTCACTATAACGCCTGCATGCAACTATTCGAGCTCTGCGGATGTCCGGGTTGCATACGTGCAGAGATGAAGGCGTTTTGACCCTCCAGGCAGTCACCACTTGATCTGTACTGTACCGGGAGGTTGTGCTGTAGGGATCCAAAATGAGAGAGCACCGTCAATTCTTCTTTTATAATACGAATACATCTCTCAGGCACGAATAGTTGCATGATGTGTTGAAAGAGAATGAGATTCTATGAAAGACAGACAAAGACACTAATCAAGGATGCTTCGGGAAAAATATAAAAAGAAACGCACTATTATACCTCTCTGTTAGAATGAATCCATTGTCATCCATGACGGGGACAGTGTGTTGTGGATTTAACTGCAAGCAAAAGAAAAAATGAAATAAAAATGTAAAATTTAATTTAGATAAGTGAAAATGCGAATAATTTTCTTTTTTTATGTTGTGAAAATTGGAAAATTTTCCAAGAAAAATACTTCTTCCGTAAATACATCAAGGATCGTTAAATTGTCTAATAAAAGTTTTCTAAAAAGGGAAAAAAAAGAAAAAAAAACACAATTTCGCAGTCAAAATTTCTGAGTAAATTTCATGAGATTGGAAGAATAATCAGTGAAATTTTCAATTGAAAATTCTCAGAATTCTCCGGGAAGTTTGATTAGCGCGGAAAAATTTGGCAGCATTGAGCTGGGTTATGTTCCTTCATCTATGAAACGACGATACATCAAATGAATGGAGAGGCAGTTCGCTGCCCCAGTAAAAAGCCGCGTGAAAAATACTGCCGTGCTAAGGAAGATTGCATTATGAACATTGGAGGGTTGCCAAATTTCCCTTCACAAAACATGTATCATTGATAACATTCATGCATATTTTTCCATGAAATTTTCAAAGACTTTAGATTAAATTGCGCACAAAATTGTCTAAAACTTTTGGAGTTTAATATTCAGAATTTTCTCAGTAAATTCGGTTTTTAACGGAGGAAACTTAACAACGTCTGAAGGCTCATACGGCGTTCCTCCTTAGCACGGCAGTATACGAGCAAATTAGTGAGAAACCACCCTTAAAAATACTTTTTCTCGACGCCTGACTCATGATCAAAATGAAATTGTACTTACTTTTAAAAATTCTGGAGTCATTTGTTCTCCTTTCGTGATATCGATGACTTTAAGGTTCACATCGACGCCGATAAGTTTTGCAGCCAATCGGACAGCACGGCATGGTGGACTAGGTCCGATGTGATAAATGTCTACGGTCATCGTGTGCGCTGGAAGAAAATATAGATTGAAAATAATCCTCGAAAACTCCTAACAAAGCAGAGAATTGCATTGACACTGAAATAAAATTTTCGCTCCACCCTGAATGGAAATTGCAGGCATATTCGGTTTATTGGCTCATGTAGAATTCTCGACTACTTTTACGTCATTACCCATTGATTTGGGCTTCGATTTGATTTTACATAGCTCGTAACCGAGGAGAAAGATTTAACCGAGAGACAAAGATTTAAGTGAAATTATAATTAAAGTAACGAACATTTATGTAGATTAGCAGCAGATCGTTAATGCTGAATATAAAACGGTTATTCGACGCTTTAGTCATTCATTCAAGAAGGACGTCATGTCATGGAGACTACCAATGACTGGATTTTTGATGGAAAAAGCAATTATTACTTTCCATAGCCTGACGATCACCATACCTGGCTGAAATACCCGAGCTTAAGTTTTATTAGACTTCGCCGTCTCCCGGACGAAGAATAACGTAACTCCATTCCAACGTTGCAAAATTTCAACTCTAACAGTTAAATTTTTTTGGAAGAATATACCTACCTGCACAATTTTTGTCCGAAGTTTTTTTGATTTTGCATGAGATCAGAAGAAAAATCGGTGAAATTTTCAGTTGGAAATTCCCAAAATTCATTTGGTAAAAATGCAACTGGCGGAAGAAAATTTGGCAACCTTGGAATGTACTTACGTTCTTTTGTGAGGAACATGACGACTTCAGCGCTCCATACTGCCGTGCTTTAAGGAAGAACGCCGTATGAACATTCGAGAGTTGCCAAATTTCCTCCGGTAAAATGTTTATTCTTGAGGAAAATTGTCGATATTTTTCCTTGAAATTTTCAGACTTTTTAGATCAAATTACAGCCAAAATTACCCGAGAAATTGGAGCAAAAATATTCAAAAATTTCCTTGAAAATTAGTGATTTGTCAAAGGAGATTTGGCAACGCCTGAAGGTTCATATGGCGTTTTTCCTTAGCACGGCATCATAGTCATGACATTCCTTTGAGTAATGAGAGACCCGGGGCGTAACATGATCACTCTCAGAGCGCGTTTCGTCTATTTTATTGTTTCATTTCTCATTTTCTTGTATTTGCGTAACAGTGACGTAACAGTGCATGAAAAACTTTCATAAGAAGCGCTGTTCGTAAAATATTAAACTCTAAATTTTGGAATCTTTGACCCACCCCTTTTCCCAGTTAATGCTCCGCTGCCGTAGATCCCTTTCCATTTACAGAAAAAACCGAATGGCGTTACGCTCTCCTCACGCTTCTTACACCCTCTAAAGCGTTACATATTTTATGAACGGCCCCTATACTGCCGTGCCAAGGAAAAACGCCGTACGTGCCTTCAGACGTTGCCAATTTTCCTTCGGTAAAAACCGAATTTTCTGGGAAAATTGTGAATATTATTTTCCAAAATTTTCAGACAATTTTGTAATCAATTTAATCTAAAATATCTGAAAATTTCAAGGAAAAATTTGCATGAATGTTATGAAAAATACATGTTTTATCTAGGGATATTTGGCAACTCTCGAGTGTCCATACAGCGTTCTTCCTTAGCACGGCAGTATACGGCATCAACATCATACCCGATCATTGACAATACATCCTAAAATAATTTGATGATTTACTCTCGGGAATAAAGTGGTTAATTCTTTAGCCCCAGTTCTAGGATCTCTTGATATTGTTTAAACTCTTGCTATTTTCCCGATACTTTGAGTACAATCATTAATTTTAACGTGAGGTCAAGATTGTGGCTCAAAATTTTGACATCAAGTCCTAAAATCCTCCAAGACAACACGTCAGGTTTTATTTTGTGAAGGGGTCGAATTTATGGAGAGTCAGGAGAACCGGGCCTAAATAAAACAACAGCTCGGTATTTTGCACGGAAAATCCTAGACTAAAATCCCTAAAAAGGAAAATAGAGGAGGAAAAATGAATCTGTAAATGAAGCTGTAATTAATAGTGCTTTGAATACTGCAACTTGTCAGAGTGTCAATGTAAACATTGCAGTCTCACAAACCGATAAAAAAGTAAAGTTTTTGTTTACAGAAATACCTGATGAGCTCATAAATGAGTCGTAAAGCCCCCTTATCTGCACCAAGCAATGAAGTTTTTATTTTGTAGGAAGTGCTATCTCCTTTTTTTAAAAAAACATATTATCTTAAGAGATAATACTTCCAGAAAGAGCACTTGCAAATCTATGGTAAAATAATTTAACTTTAATTTGTTTGAGTCAAAAAGACTGAGCATTTTTTAACAGAATATTTGAAAATATTTTCGAAGTATAGAAAATATTGCAGTAAACGTACGATAAAGATACAAAGTTACGGGATACGGGGCTTCCTGATTATATAATCGTGTAACTATCTTTCTAACTCCAGTGAGGAATTCTGTATACACGTTTTACGCACCTTTTTGGATTAGAAGATCAACACTTAGACAAAAGAATGAAGTGAATGAACCAAACAATCGCACGCACGATAGCAAGCGGAGGTCGGACACAGTCCTACACTGACGAATGATAAACGAGTACTGGCCAAGGCGGATAAAGAATGGTGGTCGCATTTCGATTTTGGCTGCCATCTTGAAGCACTGTGACGTCAGGAGGGTACGGCTTTTGCCATGCAATTCGAGGTTGAGCCGACTCCCCCGGCCTCGGCCGGCCCATGTACCCGATGTACCCGATACCGTGTGACGTCCAGAGGGTACGAAATGCGACCACCATTCTTTATCCGCCTTGAGTACTGGCACGCTGACTCGCCTGAGTCGATTTGATTATCGCGTCGTATACATATTTTAGAGTGATCCTCGCAGGTTTCAACCAGACCTCCTGTCCACACTCATCTGCCACTTCTAGCAATGATGAAGACTTCATTCAAGGCCAGTCGGTATTATTGAAGATGACTCCATAGTGGTCGGCTCTTAAAATTATGTTAAAAGTGACAGGTCACGAGAGACTGGTGCGTCACTTATTCAAAAGAGGGTATGTGGGGTTCGGAGAGCAAGGCGCATAAGTGCAGTTTTTGCTACTTCGAGAAATACGTGTTTGAAGTTTCGAAATTACATGGATCCTTATGGCGGAGAGAAAATTCAAACCTACTTTTTGATGCTTAAAAATTGTAATTTGGAAGCGAAATTTTCACAGAATTTGCATCAATACTAGTTTTACTCGAAATCATTATTATCTCAATTTTTTCGAAAACTGAAGTTATGCATCTTGTCCTCCAAGTCCCTTACATCGAGTTGTCTGAATGAATGACAGCTTTGATGTGGAGAAAAATGCTTGCATATCGACGGTGAATTTGCAAAAAAGCGTATCTTGGTTTGCGACGCTGAAGACGTCTTGTTATAATTTATCTTTCTAGAAAAACTCGACGCGCGTCATTTCAAGAAAACTTCCCGGTTTAGCGTCTCTAAGTAAAAATGGAAAGGAAGGGTAGCAAGCACGCACTGAACGGTACAGTTAAAAGCGTCTTAACGTGATGGATAACATGCAAATTTGCTAAAAACGCCTTCAGACACATGTTTAGGCAACCTCTAGGTACGTGAAAAGAGTTGTATTGCCCAAATTATGTTTCTTTGTGAAGATCATATGCTTAGATCGTAATTTCAGCGTAGTAGCCAGAGTTCAGGGGGGTCCATCGCTGGAAAATAAGTCTCTTGGATCCAGGGTCCAGACTCTCAGAAAATTGGACAAGAAAAAACACTCTTGATTCAATCGGATTTTTGTGCTTAAAAGAAAATCCACTTAAATTATGAGGCTTGGCTCTTGACTTAAGCAAACGATCAAATTGGGTTAAGAGTATGTTTCATTGACAAATTTTTTAAGAATCTGGACTCTTGACGTAAGAGACCCCCCCCCCCCCCCCCCCNTGTGAAGCTCCCCCTCACCGAGGGTACAGCAACGGCCCCTCCCAAGTAGCAATGATCGCGATTTTATCGACGTCCATTTATTGTAATACTATCGGATAAAAAATAGCGATATATTGCGATTTCATCGCATGAATTTGCGATTATATCGACGGTAATTCATCGCAATACCTTCAAACAAAAAATCGTGATAAATTAAGATACAATTTCGATTTAATCGAACGCGATTTTAAAGGAATAAAATAGCGATAAGATATTCGCGATCCTAGCAATTATATCGCCTAAAATTCATAAAAAATCGCAACTAAAAAGAAAGATCCCGATTTTTTTTCAAAACTTCGCGATTTTCACGTTGAAAAAAGTTGCAGCAATCGCCACCCTTTCTTTCGAGCAATAGGGCTTGCTTGCTCCTCTTTGACGAAATAAATTAGAGTAGATTTTTTAAAACATCATAAACAAGATACGCTTTTTTCCAGTTTCTCTAGCAATATGCAAGACATATTAGTTTGTTGTCACTTGTAATAGAGGACGGACGATCGAGTTTTTACCGAAGTGATATCAATTTATCTCCATTTAAATGATGTAATGTGTAATGAGATAAGGGATTATTCTTAGGATTTGTGTCATAAATTGAAGCACCTACAATACTCAAAATGTTTCGTATGTGTGCGTGGGCTTTGCTGTGAGTAGTTGTAGAAATTTCTATGGCCAATTGAGACTTTATACAACATGAAGAGCAACAATCTGAAAGAATTGTTTACTTGAAAAAAGTCGTGATTGTTGAGAATGAGGTTTTCAGAAAATAAGATTAACCACTTTAATCTGAGGTAGTACTACATCTGATGCTTTTATACTGGAAGATAGAATGAAAAAAAATTGATAAATAGGTTGGTTGCCAAATTATTGGTTTTTCTGATGCAGAACAGAATGAGAAATCAACGATTAGGATTCAAGACGAGGATTATGCAGACAATTATGTACCGCGCTAAAATATTTTATTAAAAAATTAAAAGAACCAGATGGTAAAAAAGTTGTATACGATTTTAACAATTCATATTGTCGCACAATATATAAATTATACCCATTTGGTTTACAAGCAAAAATACTGAGTGAGATAATATTTAATAGAAATTATGAATGTAGTGAATAAAGAGAACACACGCAGAAAGATTTTGGTTCCTCGTTAACTTGAGTTTTGGAAATGAAAATAAATAAATAGTTGTTTCGCTACTCAGAAAAAAACATTTTAAAATTTGAACTTTCAGAAACATCATGTAAAAAATTTTCACGAGAAAAAAATACTCAACAAATCGAAAAATCAAAATTCTGAAATTCCGCAGAAATAATCATTAGAGAGACTCAATTAATTTACAGGTGGGAACTTGAGAGAATATCTTATGCTTTCTTAGATAAGTGGTCAGCCAATGCTTTGAAAGCAAGAGCACCTTTGTTGTTTGCTTCCTCGTAATCGGGCAGTGCAGCCTTACATTTGTTGAACCAGCTGGTAATGTTCTGGTATTTGCTGAGATCAACAATGCCAACAACCTGTAACAAACAAAACAGGAATATTAGAACTGCAATCCTCGTTAAACATGTATTAGTATAAAAAATTGCATGAGAACTGACATTTTTGTGAAATATCTCAGCACTCAGCATGCAAGCGATGCTTCAAGTGGTCTTAGAAAATGCGAAACCGATTAAAAAATTGCCTCAAAGGAAGAAAAAAAGGGAAAGTCTGTGTGGTGTTTGATTCATTTTTAAATTAAACACGGTGTTATCACTATGAATTACACGTGATTACAGTCAGAAAATACGTATCTCCGCCATGACAGCGTTTCTAAAGCTCCGATTTTAAGCGCTCAGCCGATAGGCAGCGCTTTTTGATTTCGACTTGCCTCTAGAGTACTAGTGTACTAGTGCTAATTCGTTTAAATGGCGCACCAGCTCATCGATGTATAGGCTTTTTTTTTGGGGGGGGGGAGGTCCATTTTTAAAATAAATAAAGCTGTGAAAACCGTATTTTACGCTTTTAACGTAATGCGCAGGTAGTTTCGATCGTTTGTCTATAAGATAATTCCTTAGCGGTAGAGTAATTCTTATCGAAATTGATCGTTGAACTCAAATGAAGCCTAAAAAAAACGCGCCTGATGAGCTCAACGGTGACTATCATTTTCAGGAAACGAAAAAACGCGTTTACGGCTTCCTTGGTAACCTTTGTTTGCTATCAGCTGATGTTTTATTTCCATTACCCAGCCAAGTCGACGGAGTTTATACTTCCTTTCTTCACTAAATACATTGACTAACACCTGAGCGCTTTTCTAATACGACAGTATTAGAACTTTCCCGCTTGTTTTTCTTAAAAAGCAAATGAATCAACATATCTCATTGATATTTCCTGTGAATATTCTTAATAAAAGGCCAGTTTTCTTTCAGAGAAAATAAAGACGAAAACAGAGGTGGATCATGGGTCCAGAGTTTCAAATTCCAATACTGCTTATAATTCTAGTATTGTCCAATACTGGTTATTCTTAATCCAATATCGAGATCGTAGTTTATTTTTTGAATGAGATCTTCTCAAAAATTTTACGCTGTTATCTAGGTAATTCATTTTATTTCATATTTGAATAATTTAATTTGGATGAATCCATTTTATTATTTTGAAAGATTTATTTATTTAAATATCTCCCCAATTCAACAAACAAAAATAAATTGAGTTTCTTGGTTTGTAAAATTTTAAAGGGGCTTCTTTTCTTTTGATTTTGAGCAGTATCTACAGGGGTATTGGGAGGGGAGGTAAAATAAGACATTAAAATGCAATTACATCGATAGTTGAGATAGATGCAGCCAAAGAGGCATCGGCCAAAGTGATGGAACTGCCAGCGGCGTATTCTGATCCCTCCAACATCTTGTCGAAATATCCTAAAGCTTCCTCCAATTTCTTCAACTTCTCTGGGTCAGCTGGTTGTCCTCCAAAAATGGTCGGGTACTGAAATTTGGTTACAACAAACAATTATTACAAGTGCAGGTCTTCAGGTGATGAAACACAACGATTTGAAATTTGAGGAGTTTTACTCTGTTCATAATCAAAAGCATGTCGAAGCTTATGCAGCAATTTTCAAAGGTTTATAATTAGCATAACAATGTAAAAAGTTTCACAATCAGTCAATGCAATGCAAGAAAATACTGGACGTAGAGACCAGTGGAAAACGCAATGAGAAGTTCCTCTCATCCGTTAGCAGCAATTTCAAACTGTTGCAGTTCAGATACTAGCTGGTCCAGGGATATTTCGCTCGTCTCCAGACATATTTACTAGTGACGTTTTTAGATCACACAGAGAAAGATTGGATTCATTGCGACAACGGAAACAGTTTTTTACCAAATTCCCGTTGCGCTGAGAAAAACAATCACTTTGCGCCAATGAATCAACTGCTTGCGCTGAGCAAAATTTTACTTGTGAGGAGAAAGTTTTTTGTGAAAACGAGAAAATTGTGGCGACGAAAGTTACCTCTTTGAGAGTAATGATCTTTTTTCATTTAATAGTGTCTACTAGCAAATTGTGGTGCCACAAGGAAACTTCCGTTGCAATCAGAAGACCCTCCTTGTCACATTAAAAATTTCTTCCTGAGTGCAAGTCCTTTTTTAATGCAATGAGTTTAACCCACAGCACAGACAAAAAAGGTTATTCCATTTTAAAATAATCCAATCGTTTAGTGTACGTACATCTACTCGAAATACGCAATAACTCGGTTATTTCAAAAACATAGGACACATAAACTTTTCAGGCACTATATTTTCCATATTTGCGATTTTTCAATAAGTTAACACAGTGAATACCTACATATCGATGAATAAAGAGTAAAACCACGTATCTTCTTTGAGGTTTCGAAATTTCCACTCCTAGTTTATTTTTTTGGAAAGAAACAAGTAAGATTTACAGCTTGAAATGCATACAGAGTATGCTACAAATAGAGAAGAAAAATTAAGGAAGTTTTCAAGAAATTACGATAACTAGTTTTTCAAAGAAATAATAAAATATAACTGGAAGTGTGCAACGTCGCATATACAGATACGTGGTTTCCTACTTTACCCATCGATATTTAAGTAAAATGCTAAATAATTTAGGTAAGCCCCTATTTTCAACTTTTTAAGAAACGATTGAAATATTTGGTCATATGGCAATTTAAAATGCATTTTTTCAAAGATAAATCGCTCGGAATGCGTCATTTTACCGAAAAATACCGTACATGATTCAAGAAAATACTCACGAAGTAGTCACCGAACCGCTGGTAGAGTGTTCCCATATCGAAGTACAATCTTTGGTCTACAATTGCTCGTTTTTCGGCATCCTTAGGGTATTGAGAGTCTTCCTTGCCATATTTGTTAAATAAGTAAGTGATGATGGCTCGGCTAAAACAAAAATGAAAAAGAAAATTAATTTCAGGTTTCTTTTCTAATTTTCTTAAAAAAGTGAAATATTCGCGGAGAAGCGAACAACTTGGGCTAAAAAATTTGAATTCATGGAAGATTATTTTTTTTTACTTTAATTTACAACATGTGACTTTCTGAAATCTATGGCATACATCAGTAGTAACTGGCCTAACTGATGAAAATCAAACCGAAAATAATAGAGACTCAGTGGAACAATGCTGTCATCACTCACAAGTGGTTACTCGTATTTATTTGCAGTTTTTTCCCACAAAATGTAATGAAGATTATTCATATCCACAAAAAAAGCACAAATTTTCATCATTATTTATGTGATATGATTCTGTGTGTGAGGCTACTCTTTTCAAATAGGTTTAAACTCCAATGGGAAAATAAAACACTCGCTTTCAATATATCGAATGATAATGCTCCGCAACATGCAGTTGTTGTAACAAGAGTTTCTTTGAATTAAGAGCAGAAAAAGTCTCATAGTTTTCAAGTATTTCTGTATGCAACTAGACCATAAAACGCAAACAAATTGCGCACTTGAAGGTGAAAAAATTGGCGCCACATGACTTTTATCTTCAATATTTACTTTTATGCAAGGATACTGACTGAATACTGAAGACTCACGGCTCGCTTTTCTTCTTATTTATTCTTTCCTCTGTAAATGAAGTGAGTGGTAGTATTTTTATTTATTTTCATTGAATTTCATTATCTTTCTCTTCTGATAAGAGAACCATAGGACAATTCATCAGGATAATTTTAAGTAGTTTCTCGACTTTGATTTACAAGACTGATTTAAACTTGCTCAAGTACAGACTAACGGTTCTAGACGTGATCAATGACACGCGCCTTAGATAATGGCGATTCTTGAAAGTTGGCAACACTGTTTTTTCTCCGTTTAAATCTATGTAAAACAATCGAGATTTTCAATGGATTTATTCAGCAATTGCGCAACACCGGATTCCCTCCATTTGAACCTATGTTAAATAATCGATTCTTGTCGAAGCACCTAGCCCCTCCGTGATTCGATACATTTCCATAGGTTTAAATGGAGAAAAACAATGTTGCCGATTTTCTGGATTCACCAATGATGTAAACTGAGGAAAAACAGTGTTGCCGACTTGCGAAATCACCCAAAGCTGGAGGTACCTAATTGTTTTTATCTCCACACACTAAGCAAATTATACTTATTCCGTGTATTTACCTTTCATGGAGGTAGAATCCATTGTCATCAATGGTAGGAACTGTGTGTTGTGGGTTCATCTGAAACAGAAAATTGAAAAGTGTAATTCGTGGAGAATCATCCAAAACTCAGTAACGAAAGTTCGCACATTATGATTTGATAGCTCTACTACAGAAGCCTACATAATATTATCACTTCCTTTGATAAATTGATACATATTTTTTTTTTTTTTTCATCAATTGAAATGAGAATAATCAATTGACTTACTTACTTTCTTTTTCGCTCGATGAATTTTAAGAAAAAAGAAAGTAAGAAAGTCAATCACGTAGTTCCCGATAAAGAAAACAAAGGATTAGTAGAATAATCAATGCAGAGTGTGCAAACATTTCAAAATCATCAGTTAAAAAACGCTGACAATGCGAGTTAAATATTAGAGCCTAACAGAGCGGAGCGGCGTGCTACCAGCGTGAGAGGCTCACTGGCGCGGCGCCTACAAACCTAAGTGGATACTTCTTGCATTGCACACTGCTTGAAGTATCCACTTAGGTTTGTAGGCGCCAATGCGCGTTTTGCGCTAACCGCCCGCCTGCTGCGCCGTGCGTGCGGCGGCGCCTGAAGCAACTATTTCACAACAGAGGTGTTACACAGTATTATACGAAATTGAACGTGTTAAGAATGACAGGCATCCTTTAAAAGTACAGATCTTTCCTCGCAAAATAAATCAAGATACTTATCGTACAAAAAATTATAAGGATATGAAAGTTAATTCTGATTACCGGAGTTCCATTATTTTAAAGCAATATATAAACGAAAGGCAAGCAAGCAATTAGAAATATGAAAATATTTGCCTCCTATACATCCAAAAAAGGTAGAAAAATAAAGGGTATAATAAAATACTCCTTACTTTTATGAATTCTGGAGTCATATGTTCTCCCTTCATCAGGTCTGTGTGCTTCAAGTTAAGCTCAACTCCGACCAGTGCGGCAGCGAGCTGCACACCACGGCAAGGTGCGCTTCCGGGAACATAGTATAAGTCGATCGGCATTTTGACTAAAACAAAATAAAAAACACAATCCATTATATAATGTCTTTCTAGTTAATTACGATTCGTTGAATAAAAAGAAAAAAACAAAGAAAGAAGAAAACAACCTTCAATTAATTTAAGTATTAAATTTCTCGGTGAAGTGTAGCTAGCAGGAGCTAACAAGTCGCACTAATTAAAGGCGGGTTAAATAGGCATAAAACATGAAGTTCAAAGGAAACAAGTACATAGTTTTGACAATTCTTTGACTTTTGTTGTAATTTTTATCCGCAATTCGTAATTCTGAACAAAACTGGTAACAAAATATAAAATTTTCACAAGTGAAAGCGAATCGATAATGCAATATTTTGTTGTGATAAAATTGAAGTTTTAATGTGCATTACNGGGGGGGGGGGGGGAGGGAGGTGTTCATATTATAATGGCATGAGAGCATTTTAATCCAAGATATCTAGAAATATCCATTAAAATCGAATTAAGAGACGATTCAAAAACATTGTAAGCTGGATCAGATTTTAATGAATGATAAGAAGAAAAACCTTAAATATTATTTGGTGGGTGCACGGAGAGACCGTGCGGGGATACGGTTTTCTGTCCTTGTTGCTTGCGTGGAACACAGCATGATATGTTGTTCATTGGCAATAGAAACTTTGCTCAAGGTCTAAAAACTTAATGATCCCTGACTTAGGAGTCGTAAATTAGGCTCATGTTGGAATGTGAGCATCCTGAGTGCGAAACGTTGGTAAAGGGAGGGAGGGAGGGAGGGAGGGAGGGAGATGGTGGNNNGAGGGAGAGAGGGAGGCGTAATGATTTGAGTATTACGAAACTGCTGGGCACGAAGTTATTCTCATTGCAACAGGTGAGCTGAGCCCACGGAATAAAATCGTTGTTTATCACAGGGCGGCTGGTATCCACATCACATCACACAGTGGGTCCATTTGCGGACTTGTTAGTCTCATTATGAAAAGGGGCATCTCAAGCCCAAAATTTAGTTCCTCTAAAGTATTTTCAATATGACTTTGAGATCGAAGAAAGAGGTTGATTAAGTTTTTAAATACTATATTGTTTACTCGAAACGACCAGCAGTGTCTATTTTTTAGACATTATTTGATGCTGCCTGATACATCGGCGACAAAATGTTGATCAACTAAACAGAGATAGTTTTGATAACAACAGTTCCAAGGCAAATTCAAAATTATTTATTTCAATTTTAAAGTCAAGTCTAAACATTCGACTAATAAATCGACAAAATCTCATCAATAAATATAGGAGACTCTCAGGTTCGCCATAAAGTGTATACTGTCCGACCTGCGAAGTATCTGGTTCGCAAAAAGCACTGAATTTTGGAGAATATGCTTTGGGAGCTGGTGTTGCCTACACTAAAAACTGAAGGCAAACCGACAAGGAGCTGAAGTCACAGCACAGCTCAACGTTTGATAAAGTCTGTTTCCTGGAGTGATCGATTCACCTTACAGTGATACAACTATTCGACCACGGGGAGCTCGTGTTGCCTACATTAAAAATTGAAGGCAAACTGACAAGAAACTAAAATTACTGCTCTACATCCGGTGAATCTAAAAACTTTCTGGAAAGGCCCTCCAGGTCCATCTCTTAGCATGGAGATACTCCTAACTCTTTAGACCCCCCGGTGAATGGGGTGGGGGAGTTGTTGTTCTATCTTTCTGAACACCATTTCATAGCGGATAAATCATCAAAATTGCTCTCAAGTATGAGACAGTGCTCATATAAAAATCTTCGCTAATACTAAAAATAATCCCTTTGAAAAATAAGGAGGAGTGAAGAACCGGTTAAATTGAAACCATCCTCCGAGTGTAGCGTTCAGAGGAATTTCAAGAGCTTTCATTCCTCTTCGAGTTAAAAGTTTTCACTGAGCCATGAGCTTTGGATAGCCGCAAGCTGAGGGCGTTACCAGCTTGCGTTGCCACTTCCACGTTCGGGGCCTCAGATAAATTGATTAACGACAGCATGAATGACACATTAGTCACTGTTATTCTATGCCGTGCTGAGGAAAAACGCCGTATGAACAGTCGAGAGTTGCCAAATTTCCCCGCACGAAACATGTATGTTTGAGGAAAGTTATGCACATTTTCCATTGACATTTTTAGATAATTTAGATTAAATTGCGCACAAAATGGTCCGAAAATTTGGAAGAAAAATATTCACATATTTTTTTGAAAATTTGCATTTTATCTGAAGAAATTTGGCAACGTCTGAAGGTTCATATGGGGTTTTACCTTGGAACGGCAGTTCTAGTGCCGTGTCAACAGCTCAATGCTACACGCACACGACTGCTAGTCCTTCGGTTTCCTCCTTCCGTTCGATGTATCCTCCGATGTTGCCTGACACCTAAATGGACGTATTTCTGCCAAACGGAACTATGTGCATTATGACATGAGCCCTGTTATGCATATATTCTTATGAGCCTCAGAGCTCATGTCTTAATGCACATAGTTCCTTTTGGCAGAGATACGTCAAAATTACCTTGTTTCGTCATCAAGCGTAATTGAGATATTTTAACCGAAAAAGTGTTTACAGCTCGCGCTCGTAAGACTGTGCAACTTCGTATACTCTATGTGATGGTTATAGATGGACCGCATTAAGCAGTGAGTAACCAAACCACATTAGCTATAGCCTAAAGTTGGGCTGAATTTTTTACCTGAAAACGGATATGCGGATTTAATTGCAAATTCCAGTGAATTTTCTGCATGGTACGAAGCAAATTCCTTAAATTTTTCGAAGGAATTCGCGCAAACTTTCTCTTGTAAAAAATCAAAATGCCCAGTAAATGCAAAAGTTGATGTGGCTTGGTTCATTTCTGCTAAACGCGGTCTTTATAACCGGCGTATTGAAAAAGTGCTTTTAGGAAAATGAGTAAGATTTCACTAGTTTGAGAGACTGCAGGGGTAAAAAAATGACTTTTTACGGGTACTTGCAATAGCTGCCGAAAATAATGTGCAAAATAAGTCAGAAATCATGATAGGGGTTCAGTAATCCTGAACAACGATAGCTTTATCATCAGGAATCTTATAAGGAGGATCGACTATTAATGTTAAGATTTAAGGTGAATCGGTGGCGTTGTTTCACTGAAACCTTGAGAAGACCAAATGAGTTTTTATTTTTTTACTTGTTAAAATATCACAGGGAGTCTAAAAAAAACGTTAATTCAAAAAGTAGCTTGTTTCTTTCTAGCCACTTATTCTCTTTCTTCTCCTTATTCATTTTCCTCATTTTTTGGGGGGCTTTCTCAAACCCAGGGTGGGTGTAGTTGCCCCACCTCACTCCACGTGATTTTACCTTGAGTGAACACATTTACCTTATTTCAATCCTAATCAAAGTAGATATTTTTACACTCAAATAAAGGTATGACTCTGAAACCCATAAAAAATGGCTCGGAGATCCATAATTTCTAACCAAAGTGACTTACCGTCCACAGTATGGCTTTCTGATACTTAATCCATACTTAATTGGCCGTGAACCTGTAAGCATGGCTCTACGAACTATATTCTATGGCTCCATGATCCATAACTCGGCCGGTAAGTCACTCTTCCCATACTTGTTTTTTGAGTGTACTGTTCCCGTAACGTTCGATAACCTAAGAGTAGCAATACACACCGAGTTGTTGTGGCTACGGTTAATTGATCATCGTTGATAGTTGGGTTCGGGTGAGGAGTGCCTCTGGGTCGCGTAGTCGGGATGTGTGTCAAGTACGTTCAACACCTCCAGCTCGGCGCGGCGCGTAGCGTTCATTCAACCGGCAAACATCGTCGCGCAAAGAGAGCATAGAAAAACCTTCTTAAACCAACAACTATTAAATCGCAATGTGCTCAGCTGCACCACAACTTCAGAGGCCATAAAGTTGTCAGTCTACATTAAGACTTAGAAACAGAAAAGCGTTTGTCACCTCGATAATAATAATTAGGAGCTTGGCTCTGTAGACCCTGCTCAAGGATGTAAAAGAAATGAAAATGGAAGCCATTGTTTTTTTCGTGGTAGTCTAAATTTTCCACACCATCTAACAAATGTATTGGCTATGGAAAAACCCCCTACTAGCTGGCCGGAGACCATTACATTGGAAATTGCATGAGATTGGAAATGGATAATACCACCATGTACCATATGTTCCTCCTCGCGCGATCCCTTTTTGCCTACCCCGTGAAATGAAGGCAAATTCGTTTGTCCAAGTTCCTCACACTTCGGTTTGGGGCCTTTGACTCTAGAGCGCTGAGAGTGGAAACACAAATGAGCAAAATCATTACACCGCCTAGTTTCTCGCTCAAAATGTTTGACAATGCACAAATAGCTCGATTCAACTCCATGTTCTTAGGAAGAGGTTTTTATTATATTTTAGTTTGTTCTTAAATAAGAGACTGCATCCAACCCCTCGTGTTCAATTCCTCAATCATCCACTTTCTTGGGCGAGAAAAATGCGCTTTGTGAGCGATTCAATATGCTTCAAACGTCTACAGATTGCCGTTATACTGTCGTGCTGAGGACAAACGCCGTATAAGCTTTCAGACGTTGCCAAGTTTCTTTCTCTAAAAACCGAATGTATTAAGAAATTTTGAATATATTTGTCCAGAGTTTTCAGACAATTTTCTACGCAATTTACTCTAAAATATCTGAAAAATTCCCGGAAAATACGTATGAATGTCGTTAAAAATACACACTGGAAAAAAAAACCACATTGGATCTAGAGTCCAGACTCTTGAAAACATTGACAAGAAAAGGAACTCTTGATTCAATCAGATTTAAGCTTAAATCAAAAGGAAATCCGCTAAAATCAAGAGGCTTGGTTCTTGATTCAAGCTTAAATCTGATTGAATCATAAGTATTTTTTCTTGTCGATGTTTTTAAGAGCGAATCTGGACTCTAGATCCAATGTGTTTTTTTTTTTTCCAGTGCATGTTTTATCAACGGAAAGACAGCCCTAGAATGTTCATACAACTTTCTTCCTTAGTGCGGTAGAATAGCTCACTTAGCGGCGTTTTGT